TCAAGATCCAGTGTGGACACAGTTGCTGTCGGTTAATGAATAGATTGTTTCCTTTCAGTGCAGCTTTGTCTGGTCAGATATGTGAAGTTGGGCTGCAAATAATGATTATTTTCACTATTGATGAAGCTATGAATCATTTTAATGCTTGATTACCAAATATTAATTTAGTTTACATAGTGTCAAAAAAATTAAATGGCTCAACTCAAGTTCCCAAAAACCCAAGGTGACATTTTAGATGTGTTTTGTCTGACCAACAGTCCAAAAAGCCAGATATTTTCAGTTTACAATAATATAGGAACAGAGAAGAACGGGAAATCAAAGCTAAAAGTCGTACAGCAGCCTTGCTAGCGGCTCTGCTTGGCTACTCAGCCACAGTGGCGCTTTTAGCTAAATGCTAACGTCAGCATGCTAACATGCTCACAATGACAATGCTAACATTCTAAAGTCTAGCTGGTATAATGTTAACAGTATTCACCGTCTTTGTTTATTGTGTCAGCATGCTAACATTTGCTAATTAGCACTTAAGTACAGCTGAGGATGATGGGAATGTCGTTAGGTTAACAGGTATTTGGTCACAAAACAATGGGTTGGACAAAGTGAAATTCTGACTTGACACTAGATGGAACGGATCACCAAAGTGATTACATTTCCTTCTGAGGGGGATGTGTGTATACCAGATTTCATGGCAATCCATTCAAAAGGTTGTTAGGATATTTTAGTCTGGAACAAAGTGGTGGACCGACCGGCCAACCAACATTTAAGAGACAAATCTGAATCCAATATAAATTAATGTAAATAATTTAGACCGATAATTAGACTGGGTTAATAATATAGTCGACCTGAACAGTCCCAAAAGAGAGAACACGAACACTGAACACATTATACATTCAGTTAACAAGCAGCCGCTGTTGAAACAGTAACAATAGAGGTCATTTTTAAACTCCTAAACCCATGTGTCTTCTGTGACTTTCTAAGCTTTGATGATTAAATGCTTCACTTGTGTTATTAAAGTGTGTCTATAAATATATACTATGCTAAAATGAGCAAAATATTGCATTAGCCGTTGCATAAATGTCATAACATAATTAAAGTGTTTCTGATTTTCTCATTTCTTAAATGCTTATTTTTAATTCATTTAAATGAATTACTTGTTCTCAGTTGTGATTAAAGTCTAGGTTATTTAAAATGGGGTGAATAATAAAGGATTATTTATTTATTCATTGCATAGTGACAGGTAGCAGACAGGAAGTGGGGAGAGAGATCGGGGTATGACATGCAGCAAAGGTCGAGCTAGAATCGAACCCTGCAACAGTTGCAGCCGTGAGGCATCTGTAACCATTCAGCTATATAGCTATTTTCAGTGAATGTAATATTTCCTATTGGCCTTTGATGTGAGCAAACTTGAACCTTTTTATCTTGTTCCAAGTTTCATTATGTCCTCTCAGTATCTCCCTTTATGACCTTCACATAAACGAAGAACCCCAAAGTGACCTTCTTGTCTGAGATGAGTGCTGCCATGTTAGCTCCATGAAGATGACACACTGCAACAGTGATACAGCAGCAGCTCTCCACCAGAGACCCTCTGAATTTTATTTCAGCTTCTATATTTGCTCTCTGTTCCTCCGTTGTTGCATTCGTCAGTCTCGATTCCCTTGCCTCTCTTGTTTTCTCTTGAGAAGATTGACAATGAACATGGTTTTCCCCTGTCTGTGTCTCTTTGTCGTCGTGTTTCTGTTTGTCTGCATGACTCTTCTGGTCTGCCATCTTAGTGTCCTGTGTAGTTTGGGGCAGATAGTTTGGTCAAAAATAGCAGCGTCCTCGCCATGACCCAGTGGACCGGTGTCACATAGAATCAGGCTGTGTGTGTGTTTGGGTGTGTCAGAAAGGATCAGAGTTTGCCTTTTGGTGGCTAAAATGCTGGTCATTAGAAGCCATCCGGAAAAAGGTTCAATAGACAGATAATATGTGTGGGTTCATGTCATAACAGAGCATCAGCAGGTCTGCTTTTGTTCAGCTTATGCAATAGGATATTCATGGACCAGTGGCATCCACTTAGATGTGCCATGTGTGTGCTTTGGTCGTTTGCAGGACTTTCCTCTGCTATGCCTGTTCTTGTGCTCTGCGGCAGCTGTGTGGTCCAACAGCCATGAATGGCATCTTTCTCCCAATTTGCACTCTGCGTTCTCTTTTTCTGGCGTAATTGGACACAATCCACGCAAATGGGAGAATACAACAACAAATCAATTCCTTCAAATGTAAAGCACCTTTTCCTGTCTTCTCAGTGCATCATTTGGCGCTTAGCCAGCCCAGACATTTGACAGACAGATAGTCAGAGGCAGAAGGATGACAGGCAGTTAGAGACAGACGGACATACAGCAGCTGGCTTGTGGATCGACAGGCGGGAAGCTTTCATTTCGCAGCAGAAATAAAAGACGACTTGAAACTGAATAATTTAGTTGACTGCAGCTGGGAAAGTCACTTGGATAATTCATGCATTGGGCACACTTTGTGACTGTAAGTGTGTTTGCTGTGATTGCGTCCATCTGTGTGTGTGTGTGTGTGTGTGAGTGATTGAGCTTTGAATGAATTACAAAAACTAGGCAAGTTTTGGGTTTCTCTGCGTGGACGTGTGTGCAAGCGGTTGGTCTTTGAATGAATTACAAAGTCAGATGTGCACTTGTGACAAATCCCTTGTAAAGATAGTGTTTCTGCAGCTTGAGGGATAACGAGGAGTTGGCGAAGCTTCAGCATAACATGCAGAAGGACACAGACTAACACACACATGCACACACAGAGTTACGTGTGTCTAGCTGCTGTTTGATTTTATCAGCAGACTTGATCTCAATGTCAACATGAGAGAGTGGGTGGATGGGTAATTCAACTGAATCCTCTCTTGGGAAGTGGGCTACTCTGCCAGGAACAAAAAACCCTAAATATAAAAACTTAAACACTTCTGGCAGTCAACCTCTGTTTAGCTGATGATATTTCTCTTTGAGTGCAGCTTAGTCTATCAGGAAAGTTCATCGGGTTTTTGCTAATTTTCATAAAAAACAAAACAAATTTTTTAGAGGGTGCGTCAGTTTCAACTAAACTTTCCTGGTGTAAGATGACAGTACAGTAAATGGGCTCCTCTTATAATGAGAGGTGTTCAGAAAAATGGGGGAGAAAATGTAAATTTGGTGACGATGTGCACCTGAATCTCTCTAAGAAAATGACAGAATTACATAAATGTTTACACTACTATATTTTTGGACTCAGATTATTGTTTTTTTTATTATGATTTGGTTTCGACAATATTTTGGTTTTCAAATAAATATCGATAAACTCATGGATTCAAAAGAACATTGAGCCCTATCCATTAGGGAGCCAACTCTAACGGATCTTTGTGACTTTTTTGGATTTACTGAATGGTAAGAATTTTCCATGAAACATTACCACAATGTTTGTACTCTAGATCTCTGGGTGCAACCAACTGTCTTTAAATTGGGCTGGATTAAATATTATCCCTCTCCAGCGGGGGAAAATTCTCTCAGTGCTGTTTGGACGATGCGTTCAGGTACAGTGGGCGAGCCCCGCGGGCAGAGGAAATGAAATTCTCTCTAAACACTTCAGCTGTAGCTGGAACCCTCTCAGTTCTGCATGGCAGTGACTCTTGTTATACATTTCCATTTCAAATCCCAGTGAAGCTGCATTTTTACCTCTGTCTGTGTGTGTGTGCGTGTCCATGTGTAAATGCCATGTCTGTGTGTGTGCGCTTGCATACGTTGCTGTCTGAATAGGCTGCTTGTGTGAATTTGCTTTCTGTGAAAAGAGGATGTGTAGACATTTCTACAGCGTGTGTGTGTGTGTGTGTGTGTGTGTGTGTGTGTGTGTGTGTGTGTGTGTGTGTGTGTGGATTGATCTGTCAGGGTTTGCATTTCAGTGTATGTATGAACATCATTGAGGAGTGGGTGACATCTGCATGAGCATGCAGGTTTAAGTTAGCTTGGCTGTGTGTGTGTGTGTGTGTGTGTGTGTGTGTGTTTGTCAGGCTGCTGTGAGCGAGTCGGCAGGACACAGCTCTCTGTCTGAAGAGCTGTCAACTGACACTCTCTGCTGATGGCTATTACACTCTCACAGCACAAAGTACCGTTCACTGCTAAGCATCTCTCTGTCCCTACCTCCTTACGTATCCTCCTGTTTATATTTTAAGCTACATTTCAAAACTTGTACAAACTTCAATCTTAACACAACATGCATTATATCTCCTTTTCATAATAATGTTTCAAACACCCTGTGCTTCCTTTGTTTGGTGTACAACTTGGCCACTTGCTCCAAACCTCCATCTGTTATATGCATAATTCCTCTCTCTGCCTGTTTACTTCTCCTTAAAGGGGCACTCAATGACTATTATTGCACTTCCACAAGGTCTTCATGTCTTTGTGTCTAAAATCAGCGGAGTGCCCCTTAAGTTTTTCCGTATGACGTATTGACATTTCCAGTTATTTGACCTGAGAGGACAACACAATTCCTTCGCTGTTCTGTGTCCATGGTTTCAGTAAAGGGTTGTATCAGGTCTGTAGAACATGATATGAGAGAGATGAGATTTTTCTCTCAGTAGGGAACGAATCGCTACAGTAAACAGTCCAATGTGAATCAAATACCGGCTTCTCCTTCTATCACTGCATCACACAAAATGTTCCATGACCCCTGAGTGTTCAGGACTGAAAGGGTGCTGCAAATGTCCTCATGTTAAGATAGCTTCATGTGTTCTGTGTTACATAGAATGTTTTTATTACTATTTTGAGTTTGTGCAGAAATACAAAGAGATTTTATAAGCTTTGATTTTATTTCACCTACACAGATTATTGATTACACCTCCTCTCTCTTTCCCAGAAGCATTTTGTATCACTCTGCTTATGTCTTAGGACTTTTTTTAAAACTTTGCATAACTAAGCTCAAAAGTACAAAAAAAACAAAAAACAACTCATGTGGGTGTTTTGTGCTTCTTTTTGTTGTAGTGCTGGCCAGTTTCCGAGGGACTGTCCAGCATGGCCTCCCACTTGAAATTGGAGACACAGTGCAGATCCTGGAGAAATGTGAAGGTACAGTGCACACAGTACACACTTAGTATATGTACATTGCTTTTAAGTTAGTTTCTGTGTTAGAGAGAGAAATAATTGAAATGAAACAGAATTACATGCAAGTAATTTTGCTTGGTTAATGAAGTGAACACATGCACAGATATAATGTTTCCTCTTTTTGTTAAATATACAGATCAAGTGAATCCATGTGAAAGCTGATTTTCCTTATTAAATCACAAGTAATTGGCACAGTACTGTATGTACACGGGCACCCACACAGATTTATGCATGCAACCACAGACAGGCCCAGAAACAGACACATTTGCAAGAAAAAAACGCAAGAACGCTTCGATGTGTGTTTGCTGATCAAGTGCAGGAAGTTCACCTGGTGGACATCACACTTCTCATAGATCTTCTTGAAAGTGGTGCAGTGTGCGCACAAATGAGCAGCATCATGTCTGTGATGAATGGCTGGGGAAATTAATGTTTGCTACTGTTTCCTGCACCACAGACTGGCTGCTTTTCCCGCCTTCCTGCCCACGCTGAGTCTGTTTTTCTCTTCTGCTTGCTTTCTCTAACACTCTCTCTCTCTCTCTCTCTCCCTCGTGCTGTCGGTCTATCCCTATCTATGTTAATATGTTTTTTCACTTTGCATTCTCTTTCCCTGTCCTTGGGCCTTTTTTTTGTGAAATTTCCAGAAGAATATGAAAGCGTTTAACCACAGCAAAGCCACACTCTTATGCACACCTTAACACAAATAAGCAGCCATACACACCTCCCTCTTCCGGTGCTCTCGACACACTCTGTCTCGCTTCCTGTTGGGAGACAGAAGCACACACTCACACTGAGAGAGTCAGCCAGTCGAGCAGCCAGTCGTGCAGCCAGCCAGCCAGAGGGATGTGATATTGCGGTTAAAGGCCCGGAGGAAGTAGACAATAGCACAGCCAGCGGAATGCTGGGTCCAGAATGGAGGAACGAAATAAGAATCCTGCCAGCAGCGAGGAGGCTGAGAGACAGGCTGCTGACAGCAGAGGAGACAGACTAATGGGTCTGCCTCATGTTGATACTGTTGACACGGGAGCGTACCATGTGAAAGTGTCTTTACTGACATGTGGCTCCTGTCTGTAAAAGCACCGGCTCAGTAATTGATTTTCAACTTGGCAATTTTGTCAATTTTCTGACAGCAGTGAATACATTAGACTAAATGCACAGTATATTGTAAAACTAATGTAAAACAGTGGTTTCCAACCCAGTTTTATCTAATTTACAGTCACAGCCCTAATAACACTTCATAGACACAATCTATTATGTCATGTCCAAATAACTTTAAACTAGATGTCAGTTATACATTTCATACAAATAAATGTTCCATTTTTAGATTGGTTTGGTCAAGTTTGAATTTATACTACTACATTATTTTACTACAAAAAAGGCAAAAGTGCGAAGTTTCAACTGTTTATCCATTACTATTGGCCAACTATTCCAGCTATTTATCCCTTTCTTTTATCCATTGCAACAATTTATCCATTACATTTTGATAACTATTTCAACTTCATTCTCAATCACAACATATGGGGTTCAGGTGTTACAGCTTGTTCATGTTGGTGAGGTGTGTACTGCACAGAATCGTATATATATTTTCCTTGTTGGAATCACTGATTGAAAACAGTGATGAGTTACTGATCTCATACAGGCGTGTTACTATCCTTTCCATCCTATCCATATAACTTTGCAGAAAGGAGTCATAGTACTTGACCTATGCCACTAAAAGAATGACTCATCTTGGAAATACTGAGCTGTGTTCCACTGTGCAGGCCGAGACGAATTACTCATTCAATGCTCTTCTGACCATGCATGCCTGAAACAAATCAAGGAGAAAATATTACCTAACTGTAATGTTGCTCTGGCGAAACCCAACAGTGATTAGAATAATCTAATACATTTACATTTGAGTTATGAAGATAATGCTCTTATCTGGTGGGACTTACAATCACTGCAACAGTGGAATGAGCTTAAATTGTCAGTTTGGATAAGACCACCAGCTCAAAGCCTCTGCTGTAAATGTATTAGATTGTTTCTATCAGCGTTGGGATTTGCAAAAGAATCAAGCAAGTACTAATTTGGCTTGAGTTCAGACTGGAGTGTGTAATAGTGTGAGAAGAGCATTTATTGGGGTATGTATGTGAGCCACAGAGTTTGTCACCTTTTTCTGTCTGTTTTCTTTCCACATCTGCTAGGACAAGTCATAGTGAGATTTACAAGGTTTTCAGTGGCTCAGTGTTTCACAGGTTTCACACTGCTGCACATTTATTTGTGGTCACAGTAAACACAGGTTAAAAATAAACAAGTTACTTTGTACCACAATGCTCTTGAGTGCTGCTTGACAAAATCTAAAATGGTGTTGACATTTTTAGTGGTTGTGGAAAGTTATTCAGTGAAGTACCTAGTCAGGAATCTGTTAATGTCTCTGTCCCCTTTTCATATGACACTGAAGTGGAATAAAACTGATTGTCTGGAGAGATTACATTTTATGTACATGCAGCCAGCAGAAGGATTGGATCATAATCAATAAATCACATGCATAGCCTCTCTCACGCATTCATTGTGAACAAGTCTCTTTGATCTGGCCTTGTCCTGGACTATTTTAAACAGGCTTGGACCCTTTATCTCCTTAAGAAACCTGGATTAGATCCCACACTCCCCCATAACTACTGTCCTATATCAAAATTACCTTTTGATTTTTAAAATGATTGAAAAGGTGGTTGCTAAACAACTTGTATAAATAATGCAAGGAAACAATATATTTCACAAATTTCAGAAAGAACCACTATACGGAAACATCCCTACTCAGAGTAACTAATGACATCTTATGGTGAGTGTGGAAACTCACTATTCACATTTTGCTGCACTTGAGTGCAGCCTTCACTACATTGATCATGTAGTTCTACTCAACAGACTCAGGAACTGGGTTAGCCTAGGTGAAACTGGTCTTAATTGGTTTTCATATCAAACAGAGATTTTAAAGTCACTGCTGACAGCTTTGGTTCTTTAACTGGTGGCAAGCAAGACACTTAACCCCTAGTCGCTTCAGAGGCGTGGTATCTGAAATATAAAGCAATTGTAAGTAAATGAATAAATGTAATGTAATGTCAACTACTCTCATGTCATGTGGTCCCACAGGACTCAGTCCATGACCCTAATTTGTTTGTTTGTGTCTGTTGCCCCTTGGCCATGTTATTAGCCATTTCACCCCTGTGTCCTGCCGTTTTTATGCCGATGACTCCCAGTTGTATGCCTCAGTAGCATTGAATATAGTAACAATCCATTATGGACTGGGTGGTTTCCAACTTCCTGCAGCTCAACACAAAATCCTGAAGTTCTGGTGACTGGTCGTGTATATATTTCTACCACCTTGGACCACTAACAACTAACACGAAACACTCAGCTACAAACTCGGGAGTTGTTTTTGATCAGTACCTCAACTCCAGTCTGCACATTAAGAGTCTTGTCCAGTCCTGATATTTACAAATCAGAAAGACTAATCCTGCCCCTAAACGTAGTAGAACAACACACCCTCATTTCTTCTCACCTGGACGACTGTATTTCATTATTTACGTGCCTAAATAGTGCAGCGGTTTCCCGTCTATACTTGGTTCAGAATGCAGCAGCGAGACTCACAAACACTCTACGTAGGGAACACATCACTCCAGTCCTGGCCAAATTACACTAGCTGCCCATCCCTTACAGAATTCAATTTAAGATTCTATTAATTACTTTGAAATCATCCTACATGGTCTGGATCCGCTTAACATTTCAGAACTCTTAACCCCTTACTCTGCTCCGAGACCCCTCAGATCAGAGAATCAAATGATGTTAAAAGCTCTGTGGCCCAATTTTAAAATAAATGGCTCCAACAAACTCCCCCTCAACATCCTATCAGCTGAGTCAGTGCCTTAGTATAAAAAGCTTATAAAAACCCACCTGTACTGACTGCCATTTGTATAATATTTGCATGTCTATTCAAATATTTTAATGTTGTTATTTTATATTTTCTTCTCTCTATGTTCTTGAAATCTTGGAAGTTGTACTTCTCTATGATTCGCCATCTTTGCACCTATATAGTATTTTGCGAAGCACTTGTCTGGTTGTGAAAGACGCTATAGAAATAAAGTTTATTATTAATATTTAGTACATATCTCCTTTTGTGTATTTCTATGATTAAATGTATACTGGTCTATATTTCTCAACCAACTCTCCTTGTGTACCCTGCAGACTAAGCTAGATTTTAAGTTATAATATTTATTATGACACACTGTAAATTAAAATGGTGCTTTGTCACTGCAGGCTGGTACCGAGGATTCATCCTGAAGAATCCAAATGTCAAGGTGAGGGGAAGTTTTTTGTGTCTGCATGTTTTGTCTTTTGGTTGCTTAAAACTAATTTGTACCGTCATTCAACCCTGATGCCCTTTATAATGAAGTGTTTTCTTAAATTTGTTTGAGAGGTGTCTCATCAGCCATAATAAGTCAAAACACCTGAGTGGATGTGCAGGGCCTTTTAATGTGAACTAGACTCACAAAAGCAACTCACGGATGACATTTTGACATGTGACAGCAGGAAAAGCACACGTCTGAATAATAAAATTAATGTTAATGTTTTGCTGCTTCATTTTCAGGCTCCTGATATTGTGCGTGCTGTCTGAGTGTCACACCAGCCATTGTTAATGCTATTAGAAACACCTGTGCTTTTCCTACAATGACAATTAGTCAGTAACCTCAAGGCTAATAACTCAAAGTAACAGCTTATATAATTGTTATTAAGGATATATATGTTTTTAAACGTTTGCTGTCTTGAATGGCACGTTTATTTAAGACCAGCGTTGTCAGGTGTGTCTTCATGATGATCAGCAATGAGTGTCGTAAAACTCACATTCTGTCAAGTCAAAACCCTCTGTTTGGATGAGGCTTACACTCCATAAAAAACATTTGGGGGTGGTGGTTATGATAATAAAAAATAAGTTGGGAGTAGATTTTACTTTGTGTGCGTGAGTGTGTTGCACTTATTACTTAAACGCAAGTTCTACTTTGATCTCCCTGGCAAGGAGCAACTTGCAGTTTATTAGCGTCACACTCTTCATCTTTTTTTGTCTCCTAAATCCCATTGCTCCTTGCTTTTATCTTTTTGTCTGCCCCCCCAGCTCTCCTTTCTTTTAACCCACAAACACACTTGTATTGATTATGTGCATCTCGGCCTCATGCTAACGGTCACTTGCTGAGAATTAGAAGAGCCTCTCATTAACCTGTTTATCTTCTGCTGAAAGGGGATCTTCCCATCCAGCTACATCCACTTGAAGAATGCCCACGTCAAGAATAAGGGGTAAGTAATGCCATGTTTTTTTTTCTCCTTTCTTATCCCCGTGTGTGTGTGTGTGTGTGTGTGTGTGTGTGTGTGTGCAGAGGTTGTTGTATAGGTTTGAACTGGATTTTCTTGTTATACATGTGTGTATTTAGGCAATTTGAGACTGTCATCCCCGTTGAAGACTCTGTCATCACAGAGATGACATCAACGTTGCGAGACTGGGGTGCCATGTGGAAACAACTCTATGTGGTATGAATCCACACACACACACACACAATTTGCATCTATTTAAATATCACTACAGCCTAAGTGATGCTGCCTTTTTAGGTTCCTTATATAGTGAATTTGTCTGGCCCTGGGTAATTCAAAAGCCGCAAACAGTCAACGCTTTTTCATACACATTCATTAGTTGGTTTGATTGTGTTTGTGGCCTATTAAGCCATCTGGGGTGCTGATTAAATTGAGCTGATGAATACTCACAGATCAAAGTGCATACATTTGCGGCAAAAAGCAGCAGGACACAGAAGCTAATTTGCTCAGATGCATTTTAAGTCCCTCTGTCTGCTTCTCTCTCTGGGTTGCCTGTTCCTCTCAATGTCGATTTGGCCCTCTAATGTGTATTCTGTTACTCCGTTTTCACTCATGTGTTTGGGTGGCTGGATTCAACTGTATATTTTCATCTTCTTATCTGTGTCTTTCCCTCTGCCTATCATCCTCATTCTGTCTTTCCTTCATGTCAATTTCCCTTTTATTCGTCGCCTTTGACTGACTCTCTGTGCTGCTCTACTCATTTTTTCCTTCTCCGTCCCTGCCCGACGTTTCCTCCTGCCACAGAAGAATGAGGGCGATTTGTTCCACCGACTTTGGCATGTGATGAATGAAATCCTGGACCTGAGGAGGCAGGTGCTGGTGGGCCACCTCACCCATGACCGCATGAGGGACGTCAAGCAGCACATCACGGCGCGATTGGACTGGGGCAACGAGTGAGTAGAACAAGGGCAGAAAAGATGTCCAAATATGGCTTATGGGGCAGTTGTTTTAATTTAATACACCCAACACAATGTTTTATTGTTCCATCTCAAGGATCACATCTGTGTTTTTATGTTTGTTATTCATTGGAAACTTTGCTATTAATTTTAAATTGTTTTTCCGCCCCCTGCTCAGAAATTCCATTCACTTCATAGTGTTGTATGAAAATCAAAAACCAGTGACAAGAGGCCTGCTTGAGAGCAGCAATCTATCATAGGGAACACTCAAGTCAGCTTTATTTTTTTGTAAAAGTAATTTTTTTATTGCATAGTTTATTATTGCAAGTCTTGCTTTTGGGTGCGTTCAATAAAAAATATCTAACATCAGGGATTTGAAGGTTTGTTGCTGAGCTGCAGTCTTTAATACAAAACACAAACACATTCATATCATTCTTTTCACATCATTTATATTAGCATTTTGTTTGTCTTTGTCAGCCCGTATCCACGGCAGGAACTTTGTAAGAAACGCAGGAACCATTTAAGCAACTTTAGAAACTTTGTCTGTGAAGATTCTTGGTCATCCAGGTCAAAGTTAGCCCTCCTTGGTTTAGATCAGGGATGTCAAACTCATTTTGGTCTGGGGGCCGCATACAGCTTAATCTGATCTCAAAGGGGCAAGACCAGTAAACTCATAGCAAAATAACATAGAACTAACAAAAGTCCACTTTTTTCTTTGTATTAGTGCAAAGAAGAAATTATAAAAATCTTCATATTAAATGAATTGACCTTTTACAAAATATATTATGAACAACCTAAGAGTTTCTAAGAAAAGTGTGTGCAATTTCAATAACACTTTTACTCAGTTTAACATTTGTTTAAGTGCATTATGCATAAAAACTGATCACAGTGATTGTACAATGTCGCAAAACATTTAGTCACTGTTTTGTGGCACTTAAAAACACTGTCCTGCATGTTAACATAAATCAAACACATCAAAATATATAGAAATTATTTAAAATCCATTTTCCAATTCTGGGAAGCAATTCTGAACACATGAATTGACTCCACACACTTAAAATCTTAAGTGCCAGCTTTTTTAAACAGAAAATTGATAAAGTAAATTTGTCCCCTTCCTTGTTAATGCATAAAATGTATACATATAAAAAATATACTCACATACATAACATATATGGTATGCATAAGAAATAATATTTTACTCAACAAAACTCTTCTGTAGTAAATCTGTTGCTGACTTTCACAGCAATTACCACAGCAAATAATCATTTCACAGCTGTTTATTTTTATAGTGCAATGTTGAAAGCAGCATTCCATTGGATTTAGCCTTGCTCTGTATTTACCCCTGAAACTTGGCATCTTTTAGCCTGCACAAGTGCATCAATATCAGGCATCATGTCCTGATCCATGTCTCATTTAAGTGCTTATGTGTGAGCTTTGAGCGCAGCTTCGTTTTATTAATGTTTATTACTGAGAAAACTTGCTCACAAAGGTAGGTAGTCCCAAACATGCACAACATTTTTGCAGCCAGTGCTGTTAAGGATAGCCTGGCAGGAGATACTGATAAAATGTGTCCAAGCCCACTGAGGCAAATTTGTCCTTCAATTCTACATCACACTGCAAATCAATTATTTCAAGTTGCATGTCAACGGGCACATAATACTGTGTTACAATTGTTTTGCGTCCTTGCAACATTTTGTTCAGATTATTCAAGTGCTCTGTAATATCAACCATAAATGCAAGGTCCTGGAGCCATAGTGGGCACTGTAATTCCTTAACATTTTGATTTACCCAAGTAGATCAAAGAAGCGCTTCAGCACAGCACCTCTGCTTAACCATCTTACTTCAGTGTGGTATGGCAGACTATGGGTAATGTTACAGTCACTGAGAAGGCTGTCAAACTGACGATGATTGAGACTTCTGGCTCGGATGAAATTAACAGTTCGGACAACCACCTCCATGATGTGATCCATTTTCTCCAAGTATCAAAAGTTTAGATACTTGTTCAGAGGGAAACAAGGGATGCTGTAGTTCCAGGAACCAAAAAGGTCTGGGGGTGGTACTTTCTGGTGACCCAGGAACTTGAATTTAAAATATCTTATCTCTCTGTGTGTAATTATTTTGTAAGGTAACACGAGACCAGCAATTGCTTTGGCAATAAAAGAGTCTGCAACCCACCACGACTGAATGAATTTAACTGATAGCCGAAACGCTGAATTGTCTAATGACACTGACAAAGAAACTGTATTTAATGCGGGCGTCTCATGTCTGATGCTCTCGGTGAAATGATTATCATGCCGATACAGACCCGGTGCATCAGATTGGTGCATTGCCAGTTCACGGGGCTCTTTAGTACTCGTAACTATGTGGTCAAATGTGTGTGATTTTCAAACATAACTCTCGTATGCTATGCTTTTCAGCAACTGACCCTAAAATCTTGGTTGTCTGAGTTTCTTTAATTGTACCACTGATGTGTCAATCTCAGTCCCTGCTCACATCTGCATAACTGAATTATGACAATGTATCCTCTGAGAAATAAATGAAAAAAAATAAATCAAACTTTATGTGTTCTGTGAGAGAGAGTTAAGAGTTTTACTGTGCCTGCCAGGAAGGCGGAAAATCAATCTAAAATTTTGTGGCAATGGTTATTAATAATATAAAGCATTTTTGTAGTTAATGAGAAACAGGCCAGCATGCTCTAATAACAAGTTGGTTCATTTAGCAGTAGTGCTTTCACCTGAAGTAAACAAAAGTGAATTAGAAAATAAAACAGTCTCAGCTTGTATTCAAGTTAGAGAGTAGCTTTCTGCTACTCTCTAGCAGAGTGGCTTTCTGCTACTTTCCTTCTTTCTCAGACTGTCTCTCTCTCTTTCTGCACTTTCTCTTCTCTCCTTGCTCCTCTTTCTTTTGTTGTCACCTACCATCCCTGCAGGCACACTGTTCACTCTATCAAGTCTCCCTCCCCCTCACGCTGACACCACTTTCCCCGCCCTTCCTCTCTCTTTCTCCTCTCTTTCCTCTCCATGCCATGGGGGTGAAATAAAAAAGAAATCTCCTAACTTCTGTCATTCTCTCTTTATTTCGGTCCTTGCCCTTCTCTCTCCTTCATCTCGATGCTGTAGGCCCTCAAACCCCCCCCCCCCCCCCCCCCCCCCCACACACACACCCCTCCTTAGTGAGGACATGTGTGGACAGTCCCTTGCTGTGGGCTGTTGTATAGTTGACCAGGCCTGTCTCTTTTATTGCTGACAAGGAGGCACACTCTAGCGTGCCGTTTTGGTCCACTGATAGTGCCAATCTAGAGGAGGATGAGACGATGAAAAGGGAGAAGGGAGAAAGGGAGAGGTAGAGCTGTCTGTGAGGACATGAGGGAACAGAGAGGGTGGAAGGATGAGATAGAGGGGAGCAGTTGGTGGTAGAAGGTTAGACGACATCAGGCATAGCTGGGGGGCTAAAGGGGGAGGACATTTTCATCTGTTCATTTTTTGAGAAGTGGACAATCTGTCAGGTTTATTTAGATGACTGATACGGGTTATATGACAGGACTTGTCGGTCTATATATATAGTGTTTGTTCACTTTGCTGTTGATTCTCATGTCTGTTTTGCCCGCCACAGGAGTAGGATATAAAATAACTATTAATGTGTATACGATATCTCTGATCTGTATGTAATTCACTTTCTCACTGCATGAATCTTTGTGTTACAGACAACTCTGCTTGGACCTGGTGCCCAGGCAAGAGTTCAGCATGGTGGACCCAGATGAAATCAGCGTTACAGAGCTTTACAGACTGGTGAGTGGCCTTCCAACTTTCCATGCAGTATTTAAAGGTGGGGTATGCGACGCTAATCCCATACACCTCTTTTTGTTATATTCAGTGAATATCTCCTAACGGTCCCCTAGCTGTCCGTACAGTGTGTGCGCTTAAAAAAAAAAAGTCTATTGTTTGTACAAAGCTCTGACTCTGTAAATATGAAATAAATACTGTGGCTCAGACGGAGCAACACAACACTATTCCAGCCGGTTCAGGCATGGTTTGTGTGTCAGGTAACGTTAAATTACTTGCCCACGGACAATAAGCTTACGTTCTAGTTTGCCAGGATGTGCTGCTGCTATGATGTTAGATGTTATAGTAGCTGGAGAGTTGTCAATATCGCTGTCTGGAGCTGGTGTGCTGGCTCTGGGACTGCCTCATCCTTTTCCTTTACAACCTAGCTAACATTAGTTACATTATTTGCTGTGTCGTTGTTCGCTCTATATCATGGTAAGGGATTTCTCCAGAATTGCATACCACACATTTTAACGGCTTTATTTTCAAACTAACACCTCATTTAGGGAGCAGGGTGGTAATATATAGGTGTCATTGTATAAAATGCTAAATTCAATACAGCTCATAACTTGGACTGTATAGTAGACAGTGGTACTACAGGCTTGGTCTATAACCTGTGTGTGTGTGTGTGTGATTTGCCTTTTTCTTATCAGTTCATTCATAATTCAATGCCTGGAAAACAAGTACTGCGGTACCTTTGCCATTTAAATGTAGAATTGGTCATGCTTCAACAAGCTAGTTACTGTTTATTTCAAAACCTTGTCTCCAAAAACATTCTAAAATACACTGGATAAATAAATGTAGGATAGAGGCTACAGCCCCAAGCAAATCCTAGAAAAAGTAGGTGTAGGTAATGAATAGATGGATGCATTGTGCATATAATACTTTATAAACTGTATGTTACCATTTTGTTAAGACAAATTGAAATTGTCTGTCCCAGACTAACAGCTGCATCTTGCTACAAGCAAGCTGCTTTATACAACACATTCTTCACCTGATTGTATCAGACAGTTGAAGGATGTTTTACCGGTTCACTCGGTGCTTTGTCTGATCCAGCTAACCTCTGAGGTGATGTGAGCTGTCCATCACTGACGGCAATGTTTGAAAGTTCTTCCTCGAAGCTGGCGGGTGGTAGAGGTAGTGGTGTGAACTGGCAGACCACATCAAACATTTCCCCGCGTAAGCACACCTTAAACTGTGGAAAGTTTTCCTCTGCAGATTGAGTTTGCCTAGCTCTCAAGGAATTGTTGATGTTCACAATTCCACCTCCATTGAGCACTTCTCATCCATGTTGGCTTAAAAGTTGGGAGTGAAAGTTCACTATTACCCCTGGAAACAGCAGGAGAACCATTCAGTAGCTGTTCTGGAGCTGTCGATCGTATCACACCATTTCCCTCCATTTTTCTCAGCCCTTTAAGGACCTCTCTTCCGTTTAGTGTCTCGACTGTAATGTTTAGACTGGAAGATTAAAAAACATATTTCTGATGCCATTTGAAACCATCCAATGTTTTTGTCTTATACACCATCACTAATCTTTGGAAATTTTGTGTTGGCTTTCTTTTTTAAAAGATTAGCCACTTTCCACAGTATTAACACACAACAAACACAGTGTTAGCCTCTCAAGGTGCTTCTGGCATCAGTGTTTCATGTACAAAAATAAAGTACAGCTTAATGTCTGACTCTCTCCCTCTTCCATTTGTCTCCATACCTCTCTCACTCATTCTGTCTGTAAGAGCCTAAATGCTATTTATTGATAAACAGAAATATTTGACTACGTAACTTGCAATAATTCAAGCTCATCTAAAACAGTAGTTTACATGGTTCATTGATATTGAAGGAATAGGAAGGAATACATGTCATAATTATTTCTTGGGCAGATAATTTAGAGTGCATGAAAATATTACATTGGTAATATTTGGGGAATAGACTGTGATTGTCTTTTCCTATTAACTGCATGCACCTTTAATTGCTTCTGGAAACTCTCACAATAAAAGTTTGGGAAGTTACCTTAGAGGACAGTCAGGCAAGCAGAGAGTGGAGCCACACAAGTTATTGACCCCTCTCTACCTCTCCCTCCCTGTTTTATTCTCATTAATTAATCAACTCGTTTCTGTAATCATCCTGTACTGATGTTTTGTTGTATCTAAGTCAATGAGTACATTTTTGTCCAAGTGGGCCCGTGGATTTATTGATGTGGATATGGATGAGGGGAACAGTTAGAGCATCAAACTACGGCTTCATTCAGTGGAAACCTACACTCTTTTCTTGCCCTACTGTTTGCTCCCTGCTTCCCCTTCCCATTTTCTCCAAGCCCCAACCGCTGTTACCGTGGCAACCACTTCTCTGCCCTGATACAGTGCGGGGAGAATTGCATCACACACACACACACACACACACACACACTGTGGCGGCATTCCCTTCGCAGGGGTAATTGAAGCTGTTAATCCATTTGTTTCTTTTTTTGTTAGTCAAAACAAAAGCAGGCATAGCAGGATGAAAGCTTAATGCACCTCTATTAAATGGCGTACAAAATGAGCAAATTACTACAATTCCCCTATACTGAGACAAGATAAAGGGACTGGCATTCAATCTCATCCACATACATGAACACGCACTTGCTCACACCAAGACACAACACACCATCACATCAAGCCCAAATTACATCAATATTTTTCAGTGAGATCTTTGTGTATGAGACTAGCTTCTTTGTTTCTGGTCTTGTGCTGTGCCGCTGCGGTGTGGTGTAATTAAACTGAGAGGGGGATTACCTGGCGTGTGTGTGTGTGTTTCTGTGTGTGTGCTGTACGGCAGTGGGGTATTACTGTGGGAAAATGTAGCTACATTGTGCCAATGAATTATGTGATATCTGCCCAGTGAGAAATAAAGAGGATACTGAGAAGAATGAAGGAAAGACATTCAGTGTTTTGAATAAGATGGCATAGCTTATGTTTGATTCCAAAATTAAATATATGCTGTTTGATTTTTGAAGTTTTTTTGTGATATTATAGCCCAAAAGGACTGAGTCTTGGACTGCAGTGCCTCTTAGCGCTATGTAGCATTTTAGCATCTTTTAGCTCATTGTCTTGGTTTTACTACTTTTTGGTTCACTCTCACCGCTCTTATGTACCTTGTTTCCAGCCTTAGCAGGCAACTGTTTTCAGCAAAAAAAGCTATGATGTTGTAAACCCACTTAATGCTACCTGATCATCACTCAGTGCCAGTTAGCGAATATGTGTCTAGAGAACGATGTGGTGCATTTAGCGTTTAAAGAGCCAGATACTTCCCTCAGTAGGAGGAGGAGACAGATTAGAGCGTAAATGAGGGTAAATATTTGACTTACATTTGTCAGGTGGACCAAAACAAGACTGAATGAATGCTAATGTTGCTACGTGTCTGCTGGATATATAAATAGGCAAATCCCTAATTGGCTCCCCAGGCTAAGTCTGCTCAGTTGCTAAAGCTGTCTGTAGTGCAAAGGCAAAACGGCTTCAAACTTCCCGTTATTTCCTAGGAGATTGAGTGTAGTACGGAGAGCGAGCGGAGCAGACCAGAGTTTAGATCCCAGAGCGATGAATTCATTAATGGTGGCAGATCAGACAGCAGTGATGGATAGCCCAGGCCGGGCCCTGGACACATGGTAGTAAAGTTAGTTCTGTGACTTCAGTTAAGTGCTACATACATCTCTTGCTTCCTGCTTGTGTCACACAGGTCTCCCTCCCAGAAGCTTAACAGAGGGGAAAAAAGAGGCTTAAGTAGAGATGTAAAAGTGAAAGATGAAAGGCAGCCCTGATGAAGGGATGTAGAAAGACTAGATTCTCTGTGGCCTCAGTTTAACCCTTCTGTCCTTTTAAAAGCTCCTTGTAGTTTGACATTGACTCCACTTGGTGCTGCTTCATGCTGTTTAGGAAAAGATCACGGAGTGAACAATAATAAGACGGTTGGGCTAGCACACACATCATGCTCTCTCTGTTTAGCTACATCTCTCTCGTCTTCTCCTTGTTGCCCACAGCATTTTGTGTTGCCAGCAGGGCTGCCAGGCTGTTATGTCTATCCTTTGTGTGTAGTCATGCTGAAGCTGTCATATAATCACACAATGCTCCGGCTGGGCACACTGAAAATAACTTCGTAATAAAATCCCACAGAATAAATTATGCCTTTGCAGACCTAGTCATTCTGCGTCGAAAACCAGGAACTCAGCCCTTTTGTGTAGAAAAAAAAAAGTGTTAGTGCCTTAGATGGTTCTACAGCCTGTTTTCTTCTGGGATCTCAGATAGGGAAGAGCAGTCACAACAAAACAAGACATATTTATCATTTTGACAGATACTGCAATTGTAAAATGACTTGTGGTATAATTTTCAAGCATGTTTAAGTCTTAGAGGACCATGCTAGTGGTTCTTGATATGTTTGTATTCATAGTCTGTTTTCCAAAGCACATCATATATTTTAGATTGATTTCTTCCCCTCTAGGCAGTCACTGTTTATCTCGTATTTCATTATGGCAGGAACAGCTTTTGAGTGACTTAAACCTTCTCTGAGATACTGCAGCATTTTAGCATTTTGTTGCCTTAATTCTTTGTCAAAGCACCGTTATCATCACTTGGTAATGCACTCTTGAGTGTTTTCTAAACATTGTAAACCCTAACAGTCGGCTGCCGAACAGCATTTTACATTACATAAAGCATTCAACTATAAAGAACTGTATTTCTCATATTATCCATGTTTGCGTATTAATTGTCTTCTAGGTTTGACTTTCTGATATTACATAGTCCCTCCAGAAATTTGTGAAATTGTGATTGCTGTCATATATTTCATTATTCTTGCCAGAAATGCCAAATAGGAAGACTGCTTGCCCAGTTTTTTCAATCACTGCAATTTCTTACATTAAATAATCAAATTCAGAACCAGGAATTATGAATGCAAATGCTCAACCTCTGCTGTCTAACGTCCTTGGAGAGAAGTTATTGCCTCGGGACCAATGCCACAATAATCAAATAAACATTAACAGTCCTGTTCAAACGGATATACTGCTACCACGAAGAAAAAGAAACATCTGAGATTTAAATAAATCACATTTATTTAAATCTCGGAATAGTTCAACAATATAGGAATACGCTTGATGAGTCAGATGAGACTAGTAATCCCACCTTGTCTGTATGGTAAATATGTAGCTGGGGCCAGCAGCTGGTTACCTTAGTTTAGCATACAGACTGGGAAAAAGGGGATACAGCTAGCCTGACCAGATGACCAGCAGATACTCCAAGAAGTTACTGGTCCTGGTCAAGAAATAGTCCGGAACATAACCCTGTAAAGCAGTGAATGTTTTTAGTACTATTTAAAAATCACATTTATTACCTTTTGACAGAGCCAGGCTAGCCTGTTTACAGTCTTAATGCTAAGCTAAGCTAAGCTGAGCTAACTGGCTGACTCGAATAAGCATATATCCCAAAATGTTGAACTATTCTTTTAAACACACCAACAATTGGGTTTCCAAATGGCTACTTCTGCAGCACTACCCAACAATATGACGACAAAATGCAGAAAACAAAACCTTCACAGGATAGAAGAATCCTGCGTATATGTATGTATGTGTATGTGTGTGTGTGTGTGAGTGTGTGTGTGTGTGTGTACATATACGTGTGTATGTGTGTGTGTGTGTGTGTGTGTGTACATATACGTGTGTATGTGTGTGTGTGTGTGTGTGTACATATACATATGTGTGTGTGTGTGTGTGTGTGTGTGTGTGTGTATGTATAATCTTCATATTATATACTGTTGGTGGTGATTGGTAGCTTTCTCCTTTGTGTGTTTGACTCTGATACTCAGTGACGCTTTTCTGCGGTGATGCTTTACTGCGCTTTGCCCTTGCATTTTCTTTATTCTTTTCTCCTCTCCACATCCTCCTCCTGCCTCCCTCCCCATCTCTTTACATCTTAGTGAAGTGAATGTGGAGCACTCTTTGGCAGTGGCTTTACTGGCCATCTGGTGCTCTGTATGTGTGTGTATTTGTCCTTGTATTTTTGGATGTTGACAGCAGATTAGAATGAACCTCTCATAAACAGAGCCGTTGATCTGGAAGGTATTTACAATGCTGCACCATGCTCTATGAGGCTTTATTGATCTGTTTTTTATATAGATTTATTCAATATAGCATGTCATATCAGACACTGTACTAAATGTACTGAAGACACTGAGATGTGGCTTTGTACTGCGTTGTTTCACTGTTGCTTTCCTTGCATTTGTATTCAGTGTGAATTTCAGTTAAAAGGGGGTGCAAATCACAACAACATCATTTCTTAGTGTCAAAAAAATACTACTTAAAGATAAATGCTTGAGGTAAATAAATATGGTAGAGTACACGTTTTGGTGCTTTTATACCTGATGGTAAATGTATTTTCCTCACTGAATAGGTTGTAATACATTTCTGTGAACTATTGTATGAATAAAGTGTTTGTTTATGTACATATCTGTATGTACAGAATTATGCAATTTCCATTGTCGTCCCATTTTGTTTCTCTGGCACCAAGATTGCAACAAAGAAACAGTCAGACAATACAGCTCAAACTCTCACACTCTTAGCCTCTGGTGCTGTTCACAGTCTGCAATATTATATGCTATATTAACTCGATCTATATCTTTAGCCTGGTCTTTACTGCCCTTAAATATATATGCCAATTTGCAGCAAAGCTCCTCCCAACAGTGAGGTGTCTCAGAGGCATATTATCTATCTTTAACTAGGAAACTGAAGGCCTGATACAGCAGCGCTTGACTGTGATTGGCCGGTATTAAAAGAGATGTAAACACATGTTGTTTTTTCTCTCGTTTTAACTTTATATGATAAGCTTTGATCCTGCATTTGGGGATCTTTCAGGATTTAGAGCATGAAACATTTCTGTATACATTCCTTCAGTCCTTTATCAGAATAGCACAATATAATATTAATAATAAAAATAATAACTTTATTTATATAGCATTTTTTAAAGCAAATATGTATATTCATAAATTGCATTTATTAAGTTTTTGAAGAATAAATAATGCATGGAAAGATTTGCTCATAATACTATTAGGAAATAAGGTTTGTGCTGATACTGTTCTCTCCTCTGCAGATGGAACATCGGCATCGGAAGAAGGAGACTCCTGCACCTGCTAGCACCCATCACCTGTTTGTCCACATGAAGAGTCTGATGAGCGTCAATCTTGGGGAGGAGCTAGAAGTTTTCTTCCACATTTATGATGGGCGGGAGAACCGGCCACTCAGGTAGACACTTAGAGAGCATTAATGAAGTACTGATGGAAAACGCTTCCGTTTTGTGTACTAGTAACAGTATATTATATGATATATAATATTTGCTCCATTTGTATACTTAAATTATAAGTTTTCATCTCTCAGTTTAACTGTTATACTGTTGTAACAATTTTATCTAAGCCTGTAGTTTTTTTGTTTTTATGGTATTTCTTCAAAAACTTGTTTGTATGTTCATAAGGTTGCATAGCTATCATGCTGAGGTGGATTGGTGATTGCACAGTGACATTTCGAATGGCTCCCCTTCTGATGTCAAGAAGACCACTCTAATTATATTCATGAAGATTTATTAAATTAAGCTGGTCGTTAAAGTGCACTTGGGCACATAAAAGTGGGTAAGGGCATGCTATTTTCTCATATAAAAAGTGCCTGTGCTGTCATCACCCTGTGAGTCTACACACGTCACTTGCGTGCACACCAACACACACACTCACTCCTGATGGGGCGTCGGCCAAATGCAAGACTGTGTTTAAACTCCCTGGTTTCATAGTTCAAAGCGTAGAAATTCCACTTCATGTCACAAACAAGTGGATTTGTCAGGCGAGGAAAATGAGTGGGTTGAAAAACGAGCACGGCAACACTGAAACTTCTTTTGATAAGTCATGCTTGGGTTTGACGCTACTTTCCACCCCACAGGGTCACATCAGAGGAACGAGGATGACATTGATGGGACTCATATTTATTATTTTGTTTCAGCATACAGTAACTCAACTTCTCTTTCTGTTGAAATCCAATTCATTATTCATATTACCGGCACAAAATTAAGCTGGATTCTTGCACAGAGAACCTGGGGTTTTCTTCACCACTCTGTGAATAATGGCGCACAAAAAAGGAGGTTCTATTACTTTACTTTTTACTGGACATGTGCAAGGCGTTTTCATGATGTGGTTTATCTGAGAGAAAGATGGGTTTCTGAACAATTAAGAACTTACATGTGTCCACAAAGAGCACGCACACATAATTTATCAGTGGACCAGAAGTACTTTTAATTAGTAAGGTGTATTTAAATATGCTCTCTTGTCTACTTTTAACTCCAAATTCTTGACGTACGTTAAAAGGTTTGGCAATAATGAAGGTGCGTTTTTGCGACCATTCTCAACCCACGCTTTGTCTTAAGTGGGTAATTTGTGTCCAGTGGTATGATATTAAGTTCCACTTGAAGCACTTTCTCACTGTCATTATCTGTCTCTCTATTTCTGTCTTGCTGTCTCCCTACCTGTCTGCGTCCTACTTTGGCAGATTGAGTACCTTAGCCCAGCAAGAGTCATTACACTCCTCGAGTTCTGTCATGCATTTGAAGTAGATTTACAGCTCATTCAATGTTCTATACTATGAAAATATCAAACAGCAGCTTCAGACAGTCAACATACAATACAAATCTTGTGCGATTTTATCCAAACTGAATACTGCAATTAATTTAATAACAGACAGATACAAAGATCAGTTTATACCCTAAATCAGCTTATTACAATTTTTCCATCCGTTCTGGGGGTTAAAGGCAGTCAGAGGTCATAACCATTGTGCCTTAGAGGTTCTGTCTTCGAAGAAAATCTTGCAATGGCAGCTCGCCAGCGTTGTCTCTCACTGTCTGGTCACACACAATAACAGAGACACACACACATTTACGCAAGGTGCCTGGCATGGAGCCATCCGACGGTTCCCTCTTGTGGTTTCTGTGTGTGTGTGTGTGTGTGTGTGTGTGTGTGTGTTTGTGTCAGAGACCAGATGGGGGTCCGACCCGTCGTCTCTGTACCATGCCAACACCAGCAGCCCCTGTGCATCATGGCAGATTCTTTGTGTTCAATACAGACTCCTTGTCTGGCTTTTCGGCACCACACACACACACTATGGTACTGTACCATGCTCACACATGTTCCTGTTTCTCTTTCTGCCTTGTAAGATTTGGTGCTATTCCAGATCAAGCACCCCTCCCCTTTCTCCTGGCATAGCCTTTGCTCAACTCTAACAAGGTCACCCATGGATGACCCAGACATTTGTGTCTATGTCTGTAAGTGTCTGTGTAAGTTTTCCATGTGGCCTCTATGGATGAATTTAGTTTTTTTGCCCGGAGGGGCAGTATTTTACATGCCAGTCACTCACTATCACCCTCCCACCCCCCTATCCCCTCGTGGGGTGAGCACACTGCTCCTAATGCAATCATCGATATCAGGAGAGGGACTAGCTAGCACCGTGTGGGCCCAGAGGGGAGGGAAATCGGCCATTCATGTTATGTTAATGCGACCGGTGATAGTGGGAGATAAGGTCCCGCTGGGGGACACTGGTCCTATTACCTCGGGTGATCAACACGCTGCAGCTGTGAGGGAGAAGGACCGGTGGCAGGGGAGGGAGTGTTAAGAGACTTGCGAATGTGCGTCTGTGTTCGCAGGAGTGGCTCTTAATTGGCAGTTGGGGTTTCAACAATAGAACGCTAATTATGGTTGGGGAAAACGTGCGCATGTCTCATGTCTAATGCATAGGAATCCGTCTCCATATGGCCGGATAAATGGCCTGGAAAGTTACAGAGAGCGGCTAATGAGGAACAACCGCATCTAAATCAAACTGGCTCTTAACTTGTTCGTTCCAATACGGAGGATAAAAGGAAAACTTTGCTGAAGGAATACATGTATGAAATATTATAAGCATTTGTATAATTAATTATCAGGAGCTTAATTAATTCAAGCATGAGCACCCACTGCCCTACATACACAAAACACTGAATGAAACTGCAAGAAGCAGCCTCGTATTTACATCATGGAAGCGACATGACAACTTTTAAGCTTGTATTAAGAGCGTTTAATAGGTCAGACTATTACAGAACATCCTAATCCACTGTAGCTGTATGCAGCATGAAGTTATATATCTGTATTTATCTGTTGGGGTATATTCTGCTGTGATGTGAATGGGCCTACTTGCGCCTGCTAGCGTGCCAGCGACTTGGCTCATTGTCAGGCGCTGGTGCATTACAAGGTTTTCTCTCTGCTTATCGGTGGACTGTGAAAGTCACCTAACTGGATTAGCCCTCAGCTCGCCAGCCAGGATGAAACGGGGCCCAGCAGGATGCCTGCGCTGCCTGTCTTTGAGCGTGTGTGCGAGATAGAGAATGAGAGAGAGACCGCAGTGCAAAGAGAATGAAAATGCGATCTGTGTCCGTCCTTTCTGTTTTTGCCCGACATGCACTTCATTTCCCGCCTGCACAAAGAGGGGGCGGGAGCATTTGAGGCCAGAGTTATTATTTCGAGACTGCTCTGTGAAGCTCTTGAATTTCATACTTTAATGTTGCACTATAAAGTATGTGCAAACTATCCAAAGTATGATTCAGTGTTGTTTAGCCAGGAAGCCAGACAATTTACTTTTCCAGTTGTCTCTGTGTAGCTTCTTACAGTTTTATTTTTAGCCACGCTAGCATCATAGCTCTAATGTTGTCTGTCTGTCTGTGGTTGGCCCACCTCTGAAATATCTCATTCATGATCCCCAGAGGGTGAATCCTAATGACTGATGTTTCAGCCTCAGTTGTACTTTGTGTTTAGTGTTAATTAGCAAATGTTACCAAGCTAACACATTACACCAAAATGGCCAGCATGTTAAACATATCTCCTAAACATCAGCATGCTAGCACTGTCACTGTGCGCATGTTAGCTGCTGACTTTAGCCAAAGTCCTTATAGGCTCTGCTTTAGCACATAGCTCAAAGCACAGTTGTGCCTAATTACAGCCTCACAGCTAGCATGACTGAAGACATTGTAACTTTGTCTTCCTGTCTGTCGGATCTGCTTTGTTTTTAGCTTTTGCTTCGGTGTAATTTTCAGACCCAGTGTGCCTATAGACTTTATGCACTAGCATTAGCATAGCAGTTATGCTAATTAATTTAGACCAAACAACTCATTAGTTACTGAATTATTTCTTGCATTGTGCAAAATAGCAACCAAGCAGTTACATGTGTGACTCATATAATTGCTAGTTCTATATATTTTATCCTTTAAATTACACATACAGCACAGCATCTTTGACATTTGGCAGCACTTAGTGGGTCCATTTTTTAATTTTCTCTCTGTATCCACCTTGCTAATAATGGTCTCAGTCTAGTCCTGTCACAACCAGAAGATTTTTGACAACCAGCTTGTCAGTTAGAAGACTGAGGTGGTACATTTTTTCTTGTAACCCATCACTATTTTTGCTGACAGTCCAGTATCTGGGCTAAAACGTGTCAGAAAGAATTCACAATACGCAACAACACACTGAATATTTTATTCAGCCGTGGTGGAGCCACGTGTGGATGTGCTTGTTGTCTGATATGTTACAGACATTCTGTGTTGGGGATTTGGTTCAGTAATTTAAGCTTTGTGTATCTTTTTCTCTCTCTCTATCCCTCTATGTCTGTCTTTCTCCTGCCTCCTATTCTTTCAGACAGCTTTAGTTTGAAGCTTGAACTTTAAAGCGTTGTCTCCAGTGCCCACCATTCAGCGCTTGACATTTTTGACATTGTTTCTAATCTTTATTCTGTTCCTGTTAGCAGTGGCTTGGATGCAGTTGTTTACGATGACACCCAGCCATCACTCCTGACACCATTCTTCTCAATGTGTGTTCCCTCTCTCTGTCTCTCCTCTTGTACAGTGAAAGGTTCTTTGTCAAACTAAATAAGAGCGGGTTGCCCAAGTCGCCAGAGAAGACCGAGAGACAATGCACGCTATTCGTGGTGAGTAGTGAACACGACTTTGCGTTTACAAAGATTGGTAGGGAGCAATTTAAAGTTATGTAAAGCTGCCCTAAGTCATGTTCCATTACCCTGAAAACTAAAAGCCAAGCCTGTGCTCCAGCTTGTTTACAATGATTGAATCTGATGCCAAAATATGTTTTCCTGTTTTGTCAGGATTTGGGAAGCAGTGATCTACGAAAAGATGTCTACATCGTAGTACACATCATAAGAATAGGTGGGAGTTACGATGCTGCTTCTTTATTCTACTGAGGACTATGTGTCTTTTAAATCTCGTGGGCTTTCATAGCAGTGCGGTTAGGAGTGTGGATGCTTCTTTGTGTGTGTATGCAGGGAGAATGGGAGCAGGGGAGAAGAAGAATCTGTGTAGCGTGCAGTACAGGCGGCCGTTTGGCTGTGCTGTCGTCAGCATCGCTGATCTCCTCACTGCCGACTCCAAGGATGACCACCTGCTCAAGGTTTATGCGTAAGTCACTGTAAACAACCAGTTTTTCAATAATGAGTTCTTTCCTCCAAATATCAGACCAAATGTTAAGGAAAACATTTGAGCAATATGCTATTTGGCTTTCTTACTGAAAATGAAAAAGGTCAGACACTCTGCCTACCAGCACCTTTAAAGCTCACTAATTAAGCTCACAAGATCTTGTTTGTTGAATTCATACAAGCTGAAGTGTGAAAACAACAAGTTGTGATTTTAGTGGGGTCTGTTTATACTAAGCTAAGCTAACTGTCTTCTGGTTCTAGCTTCATATTTAACAAATGAAAGTGCCTTTAAAAGCCCAGTGCTAGAATTCTCTTTGATGAAGCTACAAAGCAAACCAATTCAAGTCATGTTATTAGCCGTTAGTCCAACGAAATAATACAGCATTTTTAATAGAGACCTTTTCCTGTTGTACTCTAGGGACTTGGTACAACAGCCTGGCAGGACTTTGTGGTCCAACCTAGTCTACACGGTGCCCTGAGGGATAGAAAAGGCTACCGTTGACACAGTAGTCTGACCCAAATTATAGCTGTATCAGAGTAACTGGCCAAATACATTTAGCTCAGAAAAAAATACAACCTCTGTCTCTATACCTGCAGTCACAACAAAGAGGTTTTGGTTGGATTAGCATTAGAGTTCTGAGCCGAATGCTTTCAGAATTAGGTCGAGACAAGACGTCATTATAAATACGGTAAGAATTTGTTTTTAAATGACCTGCTCTAGTTAAAAACTGACAATAAACAACAAGGTCTTGATTGGAGTCACAGTCAAAACCCATAACGTTTTACTTGCGCCTGTGATTGTACACGTTACATTACAAGTAACTAGCTGCATAAAAAACATAAGCCTGATCATGTCATCAGGGTTATGTGAGCTTGTGCTTGGAAATGACACATAAAAACATAAAGCCTGTGTCAGTTTTAAAGGTGTGGGGATTTACCCAAGTGAAAAGAAGCTTTTGCTGCATTATGGGAAATGTTGGATACAGCATATGTAGAGCTCGACCGATATATACGGCCTAACATTCAAAATATTGACCTCTGCTGCATGTGACCATACTTTAAGTAATCTGTACTTGTGAGTTCCCCTACTATAATAAATAATACATTGCTGGAGTCCCCATTTAAGCAGACAATCTTTCTTTCTCAGGTGTAACACTGAGAGTGAGTGGTACCAGATTCATGAGAACATCATCAAAAAGGCAAATTCCAGGTACAACCTGTCGGGCTCCAACACCGGTAAGATCTCTTTTATTCATTGTGCTTTCTCACATCCACACATCTTGGTTTGAGAAATTAAACAAGGGGATTTAGTAATACTACAAGCTAGCCTCTGGTGAGGTGTGCGATTTGGTTTTAAGCAAAGAAAAAGTACTGGTTCACTTGTTTTGTTTCAGGCTTTTAAAATCAGGGAGCAACTTTCAAAGCTGTTAATTCAATAGTCTGATGATAATCTGTCTTATTTCTTTCACAAAACCTTAATTGTGCGGCAGTGACAAATTTAGCAGCTTAGTTGCATCATCAGTCTCCTACCATGCAATAGTCTGTTTCTGGTCAGTCTGGGTAGCATTTAAGGGAACAGATCAGTCTTCACATGGTTATGTCTACAGGAAGCCTGCTGTTGCAAATGCATTCAGATGTTTTTTTTTCTATATAAATAGCTGCATTTACATCATACTGAACAACACCATCAGCAGTTTCCCATAGCAACAGGTTTGTGGAAAATCAGAACAGTCAGTTCTTCAAACGTCAATGAAGTGTCATGTGACATATGAAGAGGTTTGTTCCACATTGAGATCCATTCTTTGTTTGTGTGGATTATAGAATCATTATACAAGGAATCATACAGATACAGCTGTTAGAGGAATTACACTACCAAGATGTGTATGTACATAAAATGATAGCCGAAGATGAACTTCTGATTACGACTTCATAATATAATCTACACTGAAGGAAGCTTGAATGGGGTAAAAGCAGGAGGACACAATCATGAATTAAACTGTATTGGCTAGTTTGCAGCTGTTTGCATCAAAAGGCAGAAGTATAAACAGTAAGCAGTTAGCAACAATCATCAGAAGTTTGTCTTAAAGCTGATTAACATAAATCTTTTTGTGAAATGTTTCTGCAAACTTGCCGCAGGCTGTTATTTTCATAATGACAATATTTATTGTCTTCTTACCTTTCCCTCATGTATTAGAGGAACAACATAGAAAAGGTTGCCAATTGTTTGAGGAGAAATGGGAGAAGAGATTATAGAAATGTCAAGAATCTATGGGACTGATCTACTGACTCCTCCTCTTTCCACCTTCCCTCCGAAGACCAATAATTACTTGAGGAGAAGTCATACAACTCAGGGACTTAAAATTGTCATGACTAATCTTGCACAAAGCGTGAAGGATCGCAGTAATTAAACTGAATGACACAGAGCCATTTAGCACAGTCTGCATTATCCGAACAGCATCTTTACACTACGTTCGTTTATAACAAAACTGCTGCATCCAGCTGAAGTTCTGTATAACAGTACTGCTTTTGAATAGATGGAGATGTAAGGGGTTTTGCATAGCTGAGCTGATAAGGGCAACAACAGTTTTAATTCATTTCGGATAAAAACATAAAGCAGAGCAGTGACACTAAAAAAGGAATATCGTGCAACCACTTACTTTGCTGTTTCATTATCTTATATTGAACTCTAACAAAATCTTAATCAAGTTCTTATATCAGCTTTATTTGCTACTTAAACTGTTGACTATCTGTGTTATCAAATAACGCGTGTTATTATATTTAATTACAGATAAAGCGGATAATGTGGTGCATTGTTGATGTTAAACTTCCAAGACTTTTGGCAGATGACACTGACATGTGGCTTAGTCAGTTAGTGTTTCACGCCTGATGACCAAGCTTTAAGATAAACGTTCTGTAATTAAAAACAATTAATTACGTAGATTGGGAAGCACAGCGTTTGCCTTTGTTCACAGTATTTTCTGCGTTTGCTTTACGCTTTCATATGACAGCATTACCCATGCTAGCACACACATCATAAACATTTGTAAGTGAATTATTTTAAAGAGTTACTCCCGTCTTTGGCTGTTGCATGCAGTTTATCACAAACGCTTGGATGTTAGCTATTGAGTAGCTGTCAGCTAAAGACAGTGATCCCTCTGAACGCTTGATTTGCCTCAGTGCTTTCTCTTTCAGAGTGCATTAGAGGAGTGCTTTGGGTCTTTTGTCACAACACGCTGGCGTGCATAATTCGAGCGAGTTTGTTCCAAAATTCCATTTCCGCCACTTAACTGAATTTGACATTGATCTTATGAAATGAAAGAAAAATGCTTTAATCACAAAAGCAGAGGTAATAATTTCAATTTTGAAGATGAGCAGTGGGTATTAGGTTTCATTTATATATTACGAGCACCATTCATCTATCTAGAACAACTTAATTGATTATAATTTTATTTGCTTTGACAGTTTTACTTTGCAAGGACTGCGCTCTTATCTCTTATTGTTTTTAACTTCTTCTATCCCTTTAATTACATCTTACAGGCACACACACACAGGCACACACACACAGGCACACACACACACACACATACACACATACCACTGCTCTCACTCTAATAGGGATGATGACAGTAGTGATACAAGTTGCAACTTAAATCCCTGCATCTTAACTGTTCCCTTCTCTCTCTGCATTCACAACAAATATGCACAACTTCACTTCCTGCACATTTTTGCGCAGCAGAGCAACATTACAGAATAGATAACACTTGTCTGGAGAAGGAGAATAATTCAACTTCAGCAGGTCAGTGTCTCCTCTTCAGTTTGTTCCTGTAAAAATGTTCATGCAGGTGTTATGGAACACCATGCATAATTTAAGGACCACAATTTATTACACTTAGTGTCAGGAAGGCGATTAAAACAAATGTGCAGTGGAGTGAGATAACGTTATGTGTATTTGTGTGTCTATATGTGTTCATATTTATATTTGTGTGCACAATTCTATCTTTATTGGGTGTTTGTGCATCCTGGTGTGTGTGTCTGAAGTTGTCCCGCTGTGTGGTTCTCTTTTTAAACAGGCCTGGCTGTGTGCCAGAAGTCTCTTATTAGCAGCCAATTAGCAGGGGAGAGATGAATGCATTGGCCTTAAAGTATAAAGAACACTCAGCTCTTTGGGTAATAAAGAACCATAGAGACAGTTATTTTGTTCACATGTACACTAATGACTACCTAATTTATCTTTACCTATGTTTTTCAGGATAAGGGGGGCTTTTGCGTAATCTAATTCGAAAGACGAGAGAGGTGGTTGAGATGAGATGAGGATTTTGTAAACATGGAGCCCGGTAATCCATAAAAGGGATTTCATAAGAATATGTCTCTGTATGAGTCAAGTCAGGTAGATAATGCAGCTCCCACCTCCATGCGAGCGTAGGCAGTGACAGAAGAGGCTGCGACAACTCCACTGTTTTGTTTTTGAGTTTTTATATTCCTCTGTTTTTGTTGAGCTTGTGAAGAGGCAGGCCGGGTGGGCTGAGGGCAGCAAAGGTCGATAGTGTTTTTGTCAGCGTCAGCCACATCTACTGGGCAGAATAGTAATGAACCTGGTTTGCCTAATTGTAGCCCTGCAGTAGCTTTTAGAGCCTGCCTGTGTGTGCTCGTTTATGTGTGTATAAATGCCAAAGGCTTGATCCACATTAAGGGGCAGGCAGATTAGCTTGGGTAAAAAAAATCTCCCCTGAACCTAATGGTACTCTCATTTCATTTCCCACCAAGCCTGAACACGCTTTTGATGGACTGTGTGTTATTTTTAATTATTTAGACCAGGAGACTGTTGTGTGGATTGTTGTCTTGGAGATGTCATCCTTGCGTTGTAGAAGTGCACAGCTGTGTGCCGCCCTACAAAGCCAAAACACGGTTATTATAATTTGGTCAAAATTTAGTTATTATACTTTTTGATATCTGTTTTACCACAGAAAAAGTATTATGCCATTGAATATATGACAAAAGCATCTCAATTTTGCAGTAACTACAACACTCTGTAGGCTGTAGTAGCTACATTCTGGTTTGGTAATAGCCTATGTGAACACTTGAACCTGCCATCACACAAACTGCACTCTCTGCCTGCAGAGAAACAGCAAACTAGACAGTTAAAGCTAGCTACCGAGTTAGCCTTAGCTAAACCGAAAACAAAATTTACTGTTTAGGTTTTTCTCTAGCTGTTATCTGTAATTGAAAGATATCCACTTTGATTAACTGATGTCTTAAATTCATCTTTATTCCACATAACTAAATGAGGCAGTATCTAAATCCGATCATGGCATAGAAAAACCCCAGCTAAAACCCCTGCTAGTATCCACTGTCTCAGCTTTTGATGCTAATGGAATTCATGTAGTTTGATGTGGTTAAAATACCTTTAAATAACATATTTAAATGTTTATTTTATTGATTTCAGTGTAAATATTGAGTAGACAGACAACAAACAGAGATGTATTTAATCCCTGTGAACTGCGGGATGTAAATAATCAAGATGAGGTTTATTTTCTTAAACAAAGTTGTTAAAATAGACAAGAAAGCCAAAATATATAATTTTGTTTGTAGACAGCTACTGCATTTCTGCTCAGAGACCAGTTTCTAAGGAAGTATGCAGGTTCTATGGCACTTTGTTTTTTGAGTAGAATAGTCTTATTACCCTAATTTGGCGGCAAGCCTGCAAACTTTAAATCCCTAAACTTCATTGCCTTTTACTGCTCTATGCCTTTGCAGTGCAGTATATTTTGGCGAATTGCTAGCAGGTTTGCAAACAAGTCATGTCGCTATTTTGACTCCCAGTGACTGAAACCGCTTGCAGCTAATGAACCGTTTCACCACCTCCCAGCTTTCCTGAAAATATCCACAATAATAATAATCACCATCATCAGCGTCTCTTGCACACTCCCTTGTTCTTTAGCTGTTTGTGTATCTGCCTCTCCTTGTCATGAGCATGGACGGGCACACACACACACACGGATATCAAGGAGATGCATTTTGAGCTCCAAATAAAAGTCTGTGCTTTAATTTATCTGTGCTGACATTTGGAGTTATTGCATAAGCATATTGATTTGACAGCCTTCATGTAGGATTTCCTGTTAATAAAAAAGTGCAGGAGGATGAGTCACAGGCTGTTTGCATTTTTTGTTTATGTGTGTGGGGGTGTCTGCTTGCCTTCCATACACATAAGTGTTGCTCTTGCCAGGTATAACTGTAGCTGTCCTGTTCGCAAACTCATGCAGCTGTAATAAAACTGAAAATATGACCTTGTGAATACTTTTTTTCTGTGCTCACAAATACAAGATTGTTTATAGTGTTGGGAATAGGCTTATGATATATTTTGAACATTTTATTGAGTGGCTTTGGTAAGGGATAAAGGAGGGAAAATCAAGGCCATGTAGTGGAGCATTGGAATATGATATTTCAGATGTTGAACTTTATTATTGCTTTTTTGTTAGGTCTGGCAGTGGCTCTCCAGCTCCTCCACGGGGACATAGAGCAGCTGAGACGAGAGTACATGGTGCTCTTCACTCGGGGTGTGTCCATCACCAGGAAACTGGGCTTCTCTGACATCATCATGCCAGGTAGGGCACCACAAACAAGCTCACTTCCACAAGCCATATGGTGCTGAGTTGATTTTCAGCTATTACGTTCCTTCAGTACAGTATGTTCAAGAACTCTCCCAGTCTTGAGGGTATGTGATCATCGAGGATGTCAGCTGTCTTTCCTATTGCTCAATATAGACAACTTCCCATTTTATTCCTGCGCACTGTTAATTTAAGATTTAGACTTCGTTGCATTCTCTAGACATTTTGAATATAAAATCAATCCTATACTGAGTGAATTTTATGATTGCTTAAAATTAACAGATAGACCAATGAATAAAAACAGAAAATCCTGGAAAAAACTGGTGATCTAGTAAAAGAATTGTCCAACCATTAGTAAGCAACCAAAGTCATCCTAAACTATTTTAACAATCGCGCCATTCTGCCTGTCTTATTAAATCAGTTTTATGCCGAACTGATACCCCATTTTATTGCAGTTTACACAAGATCCTGCATCAAAATTAAGGCACACCTCATTACATAGGGCCATTAACAAAAACACTCTTGTAGTAGCATCAGCTGACTTGTCGGTCGACTGATCTTGTACCCGATTCAGCGCTAATGTATTCCACTATCACTTTGCTGACATTTTTGGAACAGTCAATGCTGTGCTGTTTTTCCACTACACTTCCATAAACTGCTGCTACAGACATAAAACATATCATTTCCTTTCTATCAGAAAGATGGATAGGAAGTCTATACAGACTTTTATCAGGCAGCAGGTGTGAAAACGTTGACTGTTGATTCAGACTTTTCTGTGACATCTATCAGGAAGAGTATTAAACAATCATTTCAATGTAAAATGTCAGCTCATGAAATACTATTTTAGATGACATATTTGAGGCTTTAAACATAAGAGTGTTTTTATTTAACACAATATCCTGCCTTAACGATAATGTCTTTGCCTAGGTAACACTTGACATCCTTACCCAGTGTGTGAGAAGCGATATTTGAAATCCACCTAAGGGCGCCATCAGAAAGATTAACTATTTAGGTTGTTTCAGGTAGATTGGCATCACTTAGATAGCTGCTTCTCTAAAGGACACAGACCCCCGCAGAGGCCCTCAGGCTTAGCTGGATTGGATCTTGTTGCCGTGGTAACAAATACACAACCACTTGAATGTAAGACGAAACAGGAGCTGAACATGTTTATATTTATATATACTGTGAAGAAAGTACCAAAGAGGGGGAAAAACTGTCTGAATTAGCTTTCTGACTCTTCGTCTGTTCATTAATTTATGAGAGCTGGATGTCGGGGGACTTTTCTTTTTAAATAAGTGAGGTGTGCTGTCTGGTCACACAGATAAAGAGGAGCCACAGACTCTGGGTCCCCCAGCGCCTCACTAAAACAGATTTATGTCCACTGTCTCTTTCTTTGTCTTTGTCTGACTACAAACCCTTAACACTGAGCGCTCTCACCCTTTCTGCCCGTGTAAATCGGCCCTTGGGCTAAGGAAACTGTCTCTCCTCCTTTTTCCATCTCTCTTTTTTCCTGCATTTGAATCTGACTGTATCTTTCTCCTCATTTTCTTTCTTCAGCTGCTCTAGCCTCACCCTCTCCACTTCCCTTTTTCCTGTTGTACATTAAGAAACTGCCCCCAGTGTGTGTCTGTGTTTGTGTGTGCGTGCGTTTGTGAAGCGATTGTACGGTGCGATTTTATATGGATTGCCTCATGTTGCCATAGTTACTGTTGTTAAGAGCAGTAAATCAATGTTGACCCTAGAGATAGAGATATGATGAGTGCACACACACAGAGGTTAGATAGGCAACCTATTTTACAATATGTCTGACCACAGCGTGGCTGCAGAGGAAACAGGCCTATCATCTTTCAGAGCGCTTTGTACCATTTTGACTTCCCCCACAAAAGGAAATAAATATGTGCCTGGTCCAGTCATTGTACATCCAGCTGCAAGTATAACAAAAAGATGTAGAATATTACTTCCTGGGATTATTTCCCCTTAGTGTTTTGGCAGATTGCGCCTCATGAAACAGCTGCGCTACAGGAGTGTTTATAAGTTTTTGTTTTTATGAATCCAGATGCCAAGTTCATTGTTAAAAAATTGTTGCTCAACTTTATCAGGTTATTATAAAATGTATGTGCAGAAAGGGACTGTATTTTAGTAATTTTTAGGATACATGTTTGTTGATAGTTAGTTTGCTAGGGATTACACTTGCTCCTTGCTCTTTTAAGTGCATGTTTCTCTTCATTGTCAACATGTTTGTTATCTTGTTATACAGCATTGATATGGGCCAAATATGCACTTGCATGCATGTAGGTAGAAATGTTAGCTCGATAAAAGCACTAACTACCTACCCAGGTGTTTTGCAAATAAAACATGTGTGTGTTAAGCCTTTTTATGTGGGCTCTTTGTATTGCTATAATTCAACACTACATGGGCAGGAAGCACCTGTATTTATGTGGTTTTTGTTTTGCTAAAAGTCTTCAACAGAATACTTATGGAGCTAGTGGAAATCCGTTTTAATACAAATAATCAGCACTTTATATTGTATTTAATGTTTTTGTTTACTGTCTGTGTTGTGTGAATTATTTCTAATGCAGTCAGAGGTTCCCAACCTTGGGTTTGCAAAACAAGCCTGAGGGGCCATGAAATGGTGAACAACACCATTAAAAACACATCAATTCTGCTTCACAAAATAATGTTTATTCTTTCAAACTTTCCTTGGATTGTTGCCTTTCTTAACTGAGTTCTTGCACAACTTTCAGCTCTTCAGGCCCCTAAAAGTAAAAAAAAAAGACACTCTTTGGCTGAACCTGGTCACAACCAGTACATGTGTGCAAAAATATACCATTGTGATGAATCATGGCTCTTAAATACATTCAGAGTGTTGTTTCCAGCGTGGCTTGTTTTAACTTTATCACTCATGAAGCCAACCCCACTGACAGTTTGATATGACATGTGCAAATGTTATAACTATGCACCTTTTCTTGTTTATTGAAATTATACTTTAGACTTGAGAAAACAAATGTTATGTCAATTGCTATGGGCTACACAATCTGCTTACAGCGGATATTAAGTCTTCTCCCATGGTCAGAGCTCATAGCTCATGCTTAGAGTTCATGTCAGCAGAAAATATATCAATAAATGCTACTAATGTGTAAACTGCTGTCCACCCCTGTCTTGAAGCATTACACTAAAATTTATCCTCAAGCTGGTGAGAGGTCATTAGTAATGCCTGCTTGTATGTATAATCAATGTCTTGTTGCCTCTTTTGCCTTCCTGTTCATGCAGGAGAGATGAGGAATGACCTTTACATCACACTGGAAAAAGGCGAGTTTGAGAAGGGTGGGAAGAGCGTAGCCAGGAACGTAGAGATCACCGTCTATGTGCTGGATATCGATGGACAGATCCTCAAGGTAAAAACACATTTTTTTCTTTCTAGAAATTTTATGTCGCACTTGTTATGTCTCCATTTTGCAAGAACCATAACTGTCATTGGGAAAATATATCATTTGTAAAGACTAAACATTTTGTTTAAGGACACTAAATGCCTTATTTAAGTCCTTAGTTAACTTTTTTCTTGACAGTGGGGTGTCTTATTTTGGAGCAAAACTCTTCATTTAAATATCGCTGACCCAGATGAGAGCGATAAAGTGTCTCTCCAGTGTGTTGCCCATTTCTAGTGCAGCGCTGTGACAGTCTGCTTCTGTGGTTTCCTGCTCTGCCTTGGACAGAAAATAGACTCAAATATAACCCTGCTGCCACTACTTCTGCCACCACATGCACGCAACCCTCTAATACACACATGTAAACTATGTCATTCTCACTTTATTGGCAATAATAAAGTGAGCGGTTTTCAATACATTCCTATCTTTTCTGACTTCATTGTGTTCTTCAAATCTGCTTTGCCTCTCATTTCCTGTCTTTGCTTCCTCTTCTCTCTTTCATTTTCCCCCCTCCAGCTCTTTCTTTATTCAATCTCTTCATTCTGTCTTTCAGAGTCATGTGGCTGCTGGCTCTGGCGAACCTGGTGGGGATGAGTACCACTCCTTGGTGCTGTACCACAACAACAGCCCCCGCTGGGCGGAGCAGATCAAGCTGCCCATCCCTGTCGACATGTTTAGGGGGTCACACGTCCGGTTTGAGTTCCGACACTGCTCCAGTAAGTGGATGGCCTTTATTTATCTAGGAATGGTTAAGAGAACACATTTCTCCAGGCTTTCGCATCTTAGCTGTTCAGGTATGAATGCCCAAGGCACTGCTTGCTTTTCAGTTGATTATCCAGTGTAGCTGGAGGTAAAGAGGTGTTGTTGTAGAGGGAGAAGAGCCCAATAAGCATTCACTTTCCCACTCACTTGTATCTGCCAGCCTTAAGTCCAGTGGCTGCTGACACCCTCCAAATAGACAATGTCTAAAAGTGTGCGCTTGTTTAAGCATTTTCATAATGAGACCAGTTTGTCCAACTTCTCACCTCTCCTAATTAGACAAAACTTTAATTGTGACCAAAATATTGCTCTCACTATCTCGCACCCTCTTTCTGGGAAACGGGGAGGAGGCAGAGTCTCCTCTCTCATAACAAGCTGATATTATTATGCAGTTTGCAGCCAAGCTGGGAGCCTGTGTGGCTGTGTGCAGTAGATATAGTAGCCTTATTACTGCTGGCAGTGCTAGCATAGCTACCCAAGGGCTGGCTATTAAGAGCCCAATTTAAGCCTGTGGTGACAAACTGAGCAGACCATATTACACATTACTATTAGGGCTCCCAAACTAGGGGACAACCTGCCCAAAGAAATACGATGATCAGACACTCATTTTCAATTAAGGCAAAACAGAAAGCTCATTTTTATGAATATGATTTTAAATGCAATCTTGCTTTTGCGCTCATTATGCAGCAGTTGTAATTGTTAATTTGTTTGTGGGGAGTCCAGTGTTCCTAAATGGTGTAAAAGGAGACTGTAAGGACCTGTCAGAATCAGCAGTGCAATGCTTTATTTTATTATGGCAATATAAACGTTAAAACAATTTGCAGTAGAATGAGTACTGTATTACTGAGTTTTTGTTCTAACTAGACAGCATAGATATAAAGTCCTTCTTTGTTTACAATTTAAAACCCTGAATTCATAACAAGCCCCAAACTATTAAATTGAATTATATCATAGTGTATTTGGGAGTGTGTTTGAAGATATAACATACATCAATATCTACCTGTTCTGCCAAGCTTAGCTAAGCCCGCGTTTCATACAGTACCACACAATCTTTCTTAATGCCTGAGGCTATGAGGGCTTATAGATTAGGAAAAGCAGTCCGAAAAAGAACCACACACAACAAAAAGTACTTAGTCTTGTAAGCAATAACTTTCGTGGTGTAAAAAAACTTAATCACAGCAAAAGCAAGACTGAAATTGGTACTGCACCATGGCCATTTCATTTTGTAGTTTAATACAGTAAAACTTGTTCTTTTCCTGGGAGTGTGAACACACACACACACACACACACACACACACACACACACACACACACACACACACACACACACACACACACAGAAGACTGCTACACGCTACCTAAATAAATAAAAAGAATAGAAAGACCCCACTTCTCACTTCCCGCTGTGCGCACATTAGCACTTTATTGCAAAAGCAGCCGATAAATCAGATTACATGTGTTCGTAATGCAAATTATGCCCAGAGCTTTCAGAAAGCTTCTTAAAAACACTGCACCCCACTTTAATGATGCTCTCAAAGAGTAACTTAACAGCATATAAAAAATCTTCTTTTTGCTTTTTGCAGGTTGTTAAGGTTGTGTGTAAGTGCACTTAGTACACCATGAAAGCAGGGCAGTGTGTGGTTACAGGGCAGTGGATTCTAACCACACCCAGCATCTCAGTTGGGTGCGGTTAAAGGTACCATGTAGAGGTTTCCTGGAAAGGTTAGATGTAGAGTTTCTTACCAGAAGAAATTATGTGCATCACAGAGGCTTAGCAGCTGTGTTAAATGCATTTTCTTCCTTTTTAGATAACATTTGCATAGTCATCTTTTCAAAAACCTGAATTGTTTGCATCCATGTTTGCCAGCTAGTATTCTTCTTCTCTGTCTTTTGCTGGCACATTGCTACATTTCTTGGTGCTCTTCCATTGTCAATCAACGTAATAATAATAGCAGTGCTTCTCAGCTTGGTGTTAGGTTCATATTTTAATTAGAATAAAATGCACTGAAGGCTGAGCATCAGATTCTCTTTGTATTGCATAACCTGAAAAGTCAAACTGTTTCATAATACGAGCTTTTGTTTTGTTTATTTTCTCGCATCCTGTGCTGGTGTACTTTGGACTCAATATCATGTCCATGTGTTGTTGTTTGACAGCTAAAGACAAGGGAGAGAAGAAACTGTTTGGCTACTCCTTTGTTCCTCTGATGCAAGAGGATGGCAGGACTCTGCCAGATGGCACCCACGAGCTCATTATCCATAAGGTAATACCTAGATACCCACCACCACCACAATCATTTGACTGAACCACATATAATCAAATTGAGTGTGCTTTGCAGGATTTTTTTGGCACATGTACAGTGGTTAATATTCATCCTGATGATGTAATTCCAATCATCTCAATAACGGGGATTCTGCTGTGTATGATAATTCTAGCTGCTTGGCATTTATCAGTGTGCCATCCTGCCCACTATTAATATTAGGTATTTAAAAGGAAAAGTGCAATTTCAAAACAAAAGATTTCAGTGTACAGAAAGAGGGGGGGGGGGGGGGGGGTGAAGTTCATGAAGTTCCATCGTTATTCTTTTCATTGGTAAATTGCAGCTTAGAGATTCTCTTAAGTGAACCCACTCAACTGTTTTGCATCACAGGTGTCACTAAGGCTTCGTGAGATGGGATTACATACTGTATATGATTATGTGAATCACTTGCTCTGAATGGCAAAATACGGTCACTCTGTTATCACACTGTTTTTGTGCCACGGCCTGACAACCAGCTCACATCACTCCATTACAGCCTGAATGAGTAATGTCCACTTATGTAAGTTTGTTTTTGCCACGAGAGCATGTTAATGTACAGTATGTGTGTTTGTTTGTGACAGCTGGTAACCGGATGCATAAACATTTCCTTTGAAGCAAAGTTGATTCATATTGTTTCGACTCTACTTCTCTAGTCTCTGTATTTAGCATGACCTTTATGTCAGTTTTTGCACTTTTACAGGCCATAAGAGACTCGTGCTCAACTTTTCACACATTTTGGTTTTGAAACATCAAAAGACTAAGACAAATAAAATGGCCAGCATCCCCGAGTTAAAAGCTACTGCAAGACCGTCTTGGGTGTAATTCAGAATAATTGCAGGCTACATGCTTTTCCTCAGCTGCAGGCGAAGGGTGTGTGCATAAACCTCAGGCCTGGCGGAGGACAGAGAAGCATGGAGTGCATTCATACATTTTATTGCCAATAAAATGTATGAAGTGAGGCAGAACAGTAACCAAAAGTCTGATTATTTATTTTGCTGTTAGCTATAATCTTTAAAAGCAAAAACAATAAAGGCTCCTCTTTTCATTGTCGTCTTTTCCTGTCAGGTGGACAGATTCAGTCCTACCAAACCCCTCTAACCTCAGCCTGCCAGTTTTAGAGGACAATTCTGGTAGTGTTGTGTGTTCCCACCGTTGAGAGGGGGGAAAAGGCCCGCTCTAATGCCAGATGGAAGTTGCTGAAAAGCTCAATGAAGCTGGCATGGCCTAGATTCTCCTCAGACCCAAAATAGACACAGAAGAATCAGTCCAAACTGTGTGGTAGCTTTGGAGCTCAAACGGCCTCAGCCGTGCATCAAGGCTTCACATTAAATCCCCAAAATAACAGCAGTGTTCTGTGATTGATTATGCCTTGGTCGTGATTGATCTAAACATTTCATATAATATATAAACATATGACACTTTGATGATATTGCGGCTCCTTTCCTACAGTATAAATCTTCTTTCTTTCCTTTTTTTTCCATAGTGCGAGGAGAATACCAGCTTGGCAGACTGTTCGCGTTACCTGAAGCTGCCGTTCTCAAAGGCCAACCTCCCGTCCAACAACCAGACTCTGAAAGGCACCAAAGAGTCTTTCTGGATCACCAGCTTTCTCTGCTCCACCAAGCTCACACAGAATGGTAAACTAAGACTCAGGGATTGATGTTTTGGCCACTTGCCTGGTGAGGTGTTTTGGCCGCTCCAGCTGTTGTCACATTTAAAATAGCAGTTAGCTCGTACCTTAATACGCTCTCTGCTCCTGTGCTTCTGTGCGACTGTGAGTGGAGTATAGAACTATTATTACTGGCACGGAGAGCGATCACTTTCCCTCACAGAAGGCTAACGAAATGATAAAATGCCATATGTTTAAGAAAAACAAAACAAAACAGAGGGAGCGAGAAGTTGTGTGCGAGAGAGAAAGTGACATTTCCAACCAAACCATCCAAGTGTGTGAAAAAAAACAACCTGTGAATGTGAATGGTGGCGAGAATAGCCTTGTATTTTCAGACTGCAAAAAAACAGTGAATGATAAAGATTATTATTATTTTTACCTCATTAAGTTGATGGTACAATACATAAATATAAAAGCTACAGGCACAGTTTATTTGCAACAGGCTGTTAATGTCCTGAATACATTTGATTCTGTTGATGAACCTATTATACAAGTATTGTACAGTATTACCAGTTTCTGATGACAAAATAGACTTGACAGATTGGTTAAAAAAAGGAATGCAGTCACGCACGCACACATACGCGCGCACACACAGACACAAATTCACACATGAAGTTGCAAAAAAGACACGCTTCAGGTTGAGCGGAATCCAGAGAGACAGCTAAGACTTTCTTCTGGAGGCTTATGTTTTATTCATGTGTATGTCTGGGGACCCGGGCTCAGGAAAATGACTTTTTATCTCTTTTATCCCGCCGCACTTGAAAATGTCATCATTTGTTTGGATTCAGAGGAGTTTTTGGGGGCTCTAATTGAAGAGTGTGGTGATGCTTTGTGATCTGAGGCGCACGTTGCTCCCACAATCCCGCGCTTCTTTACAAACAAACATTTACAAACACGATGTGTCTTTATCTCTTGCGCTTGTCACTTCCGGTTTTTGTATCACCTTTATTTTCTGTTACATTTCTCTATATCTCCTACTTTATGTCTTTCTCCAGGTGATATGCTGGACCTGTTGAAGTGGCGGGCCCATCCCGAGAGGATCAACGACAGCCTCTCCAAGCTGAAGGAGATCGATGGCTCAGAGATCGTCAAAGTAGGCCCCACAATCAGATTCGCGGCTTTAAGCTAAATTTGAGAGGATGAAGATGTTCAAAAGCTGAGAAGTCAAGTTATTTTGATGCTGCAGCTCTTGTGCCAAACAAACTCCTCTTTTTCCCCTACCACAGTTTCTACAGGACACCTTGGACACACTCTTTGGTATTCTCGATGAAAGCTCTCAGAGATATGGGCTCAAGGTGTTTGACTCACTGGTGAGTAAGTTGTTCTAATGGTCTGGTAATTTCCATGGATGTTTTTGTATATTCTGTTTCCTCTTTTTCTGCATGTGTCAAGTGCAACCTCATAGTGTTTGAGCCAAACCCAGAAAAACAGAAACACAAATGTACAGTTGGAGAAAGATTTAGTGATGTAACGCTACAGAGCTCGCTCAGCCAATCTCACCCGGGTTATGCTGCGCTGCACTGATAGAGCAAGCGATCGATTTCTCTCTTTCTCTGTCTACACATCAGTCTAACACTGACACATGAACACACTCTCTCCTCTCAGCGTGGCATTATCAATGATGAAAAGGTCTAGCGAGCCGGTGCAGTCATCAAGTTTCCTTTTTGCGGTTTCAGGATCAATCCAACATGTCTGACAAGTGAACTTACCTTCTGTGGTCGGACAAATTCAGTGCTTTTCACAACAACCTGCACACAAGGGTCTCCCCTCCCCTAGATTAACACGTGCAGCCACTGTCAAAATGGTTTGCTTGGTTTAACTTGGTTGTTTTGTTATATTTGTTAGTGGTTGTATATTTGAATATCTATACTTATTATCACTTTTTTGAAATTACATTATTTTCCTCATATATTTTGTATTTTAGACATTTTATCTCTTTTTTTTCTATTGGCCACATGTATGAAATAACGTAAGGTGATGAACTGATAACCAGTAATGCGCAATATTCTGTATCTGTGTATGTGGAGGGTAATTTCATAACACTTTACTCACAATGGCTGTCCCACCTGGGTGTTGGAGTTTAAAGTTTAATTTCAAGGTGAAGATTCATATGATAATAACAATCAATCATATTATCTGTCTTCTGTGCTTACCTTACAAATCAACATTGCTTCATGTTATTTTTTCTATTTTATTTGTTTATTTTTCTCAGTATAAATATCATATAGCTTCAATGAAAAGCTGGAACAGACTCATACATAATATATATGATAGTTTAGTGTAGTACAGATAGACAAAAACTAAATCTTTGTTAAGGCATACTTTTTTTACTGTGACCTGTTTATTTCCAGGTCCATATCATAAACCTCCTCCAGGACAGCAAATTCCAGCACTTCAAACCGGTCATGGACACCTACATTGAGAGCCACTTTGCCGGAGCTTTGTCCTACAGGTACGTGACGTTTTTAGCCTTCACTTCACTAGATGTGGCTGTTCAAGGCTACAGCGGCGCTTTGAGCATACAATAACGCAGCCTTACCCGTGTATTGTATTCTAACGACATGCTGTATCACATGGGCCGTGCAGTTGGAGAGGCCGACCTGTGTCAGTGCCGAAGGGCAGCTCCACTCGCCTCTGTGATGTGATTAAGTCGACAGGCATGTGAATGAAATGCTTATAGTGCCCCCTGGCTGATGAAATATGAAATTGTGCTTGCCTTTGCTTCCTAGCTCCTCGTTCCTACTCCTATCTATCACATGTGTACACACGCACATTGGCACACATATTCACAGCCTGCTGTTCTCACTGGCTGCCTTCACCTACACCTGCTAAGATACAGTGCTGGAGCTGTCTTCATCTCTCTTTTTTTTCCAGTCTGCACGCAGCCACACACTCACAGAATTCTGCTGCCACATCCATCCATCCATCCATCGTCAACCACTTATCCTGCGTACAGGGTCGCGGGGGGTTGCCACATCCATCTTCTTAAAACTCTTTTACCTGTGATATTGTTTCATTAGAACTGTCACATCTTTATTCATTAACACAAAAACTGTGCATGTGTATCCCATTCTTTTCTTATTATAGCTAGATTTAGTTATTAACAGGGAACCAAGATGTCACTCTCCTGATTAGAAAGAGAAACCCCTCTCATTCAGTAATCACTGTCTACCTTCTTTGTCACCAACTTACTGTTGCACAAACATGATGCCTGTCTTGAATTATCTGCCTAGTTTTTAAGAGATTTATTCTGAACTCCACCAATTTAAAAACTGAAACAAACAAAAGAGTTTTATTGAATTTGCTGGTCATCCTAAGATCATTACTCTACAGAAGACTCTATATACACTATAGAGTGGAAGGATTTTCTCTGAAATTGATTTAAACTTTGTGTAATGAAGTGTTTCATGTTAAAACACTCCATTGCCTCATCTATATTTGCTAAATCCAGAGAGAGAAGCTGTGTGATGTAGCTAGAGGTGAGTGGTGATGCTGTCTCTGTGTGTGTGTGTATTCTCCAGGGATCTGATCAAAGTACTGAAGTGGTACGTGGACCGCATTGTTGATGCAGAACATCAAGATCACATACAGCAGGTGCTCAAGGTGAGGCATTTGCTGTAACACACATACACACACATATACACACGCGCACACACACACACACACACACACACACACACACATTCAAGTACATGTACACACACTACAACTACACCAAACAGCAGTGAAAACATTGCACCACCATTCATTATTCCCCTCCTCAATCTATTATGCTGCATGCAATTTTAATCAGCAGAAATGCAGTGCCCCTGGTGATGGGAATCCACATCACATTATTCTAATGACTCATGCACATACGCCGTCACATGAAGCACTTTTCCATTTATCATTCACAGAATGCATTCTGCACCAGAAGTAAATGTTATTCTGACATGCAGTAAATAATAAATAAGTGATGCGCCGCAGATTTGTTTTTGCAGGGTTTCCTAGTACGAGCGACCTATGGACTGTCTTTCATGAGTTTTTTTTTTTAAAGCACCTCCTTTAGACAAGTTTCATTTTATTTCAAAAATGTTAAGTGGGCCAACTTTAAACAACTATGTAATTATTTTCTAATAAAGGGGGAAAAGGCCATATTGAAAATACCATAGTACAGTAGGTAAAATCAACATTATCAACTGTCTTTGCTAGGGCTACAACTAATTATATCTTTTGTTAGCTAGTTGTCTATAAAATGGAAGAAAATCATCATATATTCTATTATTTTTATATAAAACAGGAAAGCTGCAAATTCACACATCTATGATGCTAAAGCAAGAAAATATAAGTGTATACCACTTTTTGCTTTCAGATAAATGAAGTCATAACACTGAAATATGTCAGGGGCAACATTTAACATCACATCATTCTTTAACCTTTTTTGACAAACATGTGATGAACGATGACTGTTCTCTCTTCCAGGCCAGCGAGTACATCTTCAAGTACATTATCCAGTCTCGCCGGCTCTTCTCATTGGCCACCGGAGGCCAGAACGAGGAGGAGTTCCGAGTCTGCATCCACGAGCTCTTCATGTCCATCCGCTTCTTCCTCTCGCAGGAAAACAAAGGCACCAGTCCCGTTGCACAAACCCAGGTGTGTGTATGTGTGTCGTGTTCAGAAGGCTGTGACCCGCGTCGTCTCAAATCCTCTGTGCCTCTGCAATCTCAAGTGTGCATCTCTGTGTGCGCATATGTGAATGGGTAAATGTGTTCCTGTTGGTACTTGTGGCGCCACATTATGATTTCTTTCTCGAGGACTCAGTTGTGATAGGTGAGAAATTGTCTGTAATTGAATTTCACGCTGCCGGAGGGTCTGGAGTCGGAATAGGAATTTCTGTGGCAGCTTCTCCTTTTCCGCTGGGAGGTCTGCACAGCAGGGTAGCAGCCTTCACTGATTTCGAATAAGACCAAAACAAATAAGCTGAAGACGCCAAAGATAATCCTTATTACACACCAGAAACAGCTGTTTGTGTGGTTGTGTATGTCTTTGCGTGCACTTGTAGGGAAATGCCTGGGTTTTTGCCTCTCCATGACCTGTGTGTGGATCTGTTGCTCTTCCTCTTTGCTTCTGCCTCTTCTCTGCCTTCTCCATGTTTGCTCTTCCTTATTGTCTTTTTTATTTGTATTCTCATCTGCTGCTTCTTTTCCGATCCCTTCTCTTCTGTCCATTAGAGTCACGTACTCTTTTAATCGATTAAATCCCAGGTCGCTGTCAGCGCTCATGTCTGACAAAAGTTCAGCTGCGTATGTGTTTACTCTCCTAAGTGTGTTAATGAATGTCTTCCCTTTATTGAACCCTAAACATGTTTTTTTCTATCATCAGAAAATAGCTCTAACAGGTTTCCTTTGCACATCTTATTGGAATTCGAACACTCTTCTCAAAACCAGCAGCCTTGTTTTAAACTCTCCAGTCTGTAATAATTTACACCTCCACAAGAATGAGTGTAACATTAGCTATTCCAGTTGTGCCCTCTCCATGCCGCCTGAAAAGCTCTACTTCATCCCTCCACTGACTTCTGATCCAGACTAATCTGTATTCTCAACACAACAATAGCTGTGGGAAGCTGCACGTCAGGCTAATGCTAAGCCAAGTTAATCTGTGACACGTGGGCACACACACACACACACACACACACACACACACACACACACATATACATACAAACAAACAAACAGCAAAGCGATGGATGCATAATTTAGCAGCATGCTGTAGTTTTCATCACAGGATGACACCGGTCCAGTGTGTCGAGCTCTGAACACACAGAGTGACGGTGTTCAATCAATACTAGAGACTGTGTGTTGTTATAGTGGTCCCTGAATATTGTTTAATTTATGAAGGAAATGTAAATAAGGATTTCTGCACAGATGGAATTTGCCTTGGGGAACAATTGTGTTAGGGAACAAGTGGTTCCTCTAAGCAACACTAACACAGCATCAAATCTATCTGGTCCGTTATTTCGCTCCAAATATGTCATGTACAGAGTTGAAAGTTGAAGTTGCAGATTTTATTTTTGATTTGAAGGAATTACAACAGATTGCAAAAAAAACATATTTAATGTATTTATGCTAATTCAAACCAAAAATAGAAGTTATTTTCACTTAGGGGTGTCCTCACTTTTGTTGCCAGCTGTTTAGACATTAATGGCTGTGTGATGTGTTATTTTGAGGGGGCAGCATATTTACATTGTAATACAAGCTGTACACTCACTACTTTACATTGTTGCAAAGTGTCATTTCCTCAGTGTTGTTGCATGAAAAGGTATAATCAAATATTTACACAAACGTGAGGGGTGTACTCGCTTTTGTGAGATACTGTATATGAATCTTTTGTGCTCCCTGTCTGAGTCTAGACTCCAGTACTAGCAGTACTATGGAACTCTTTGTTGCACCATCCGAACTGCCCAGTCATTCATAGAGCAATAGTAAATATTTACTAAAGCAACTCTCCATAAAGTATGAGGGTATGGATTGTTATGGCTGCCTATTCTTATACACTGTAACAGAATCTTGTGTAATGGACTGTTTTATCCAAAGCCCCTGAGGCACTGAACACAATTTGTTTGTTGTTGCCAGCTTTGCCCAATGAGCTTCCCATGACCTCCACTTCACTGTGTGATGGTGGCCGCTTGTAAGATTTAAATATACAGTATGTAATGCTGATTTAGTGGAAAATGTATTGAAAACACTGAACTACAACTATCAACAAAGTGATTCCAGTCATAGTCATAGTGCCTGTTTGATTTACCCTCCAAATGATTGATTGAACAATGCCCCATTCTGCCTAGGCGGTGTTCCTGCGGACATTTCCGGCAGTTTATGGCGAACTGTTGAAGATCTTCACAGTGCGGGATGTGGCCGGCTTCGTCAGGGAGACACTGGGAAGCCTGCCCAACACTGTCCAAGCTGACTGCCCCCTGGAGGCCGTCAAACTACAGTGTATCGCCAAGACGGTGGAAAGCCAGCTTTACATTAACCCAGGTAAAGACTTGTACACACAAACAGATGAAAAGTTTATGTAGACTTTGAAAGGCACACACTGATAAAGCTTGCAAACATGCTGAAAACCCAAACACAGGAAAATTTGTGAGCAAATAGCACAAATACAAAAAAGCCTTGCATACAGATTATGAACACACAGGAAAAATAAACAGCACAGAGGGACACACTTTGTACTATATGTTTGTCTTGCATTATGTACAAACAGGCTATTAGTCCATATTATACTGTTTGGTTGTGCGCTCCTGCAGTGCAGTCATTTGAGAACACAACTGGCTAATTGTTAACCTGCAGTGCACCTAATGCCAGCGTCATTAAATTGCTCTTAAAGGCTGTACACTGAAGCAATTACTGTAAGTGTTTTATCCCAGCATGCTCCCAACGACTACATGTAGCAAGAAAGACATCCCTCATGCAAATCACATTAATGTTACACAAAGAGTTACATTTAATTATATTTTAGGAACAGTATGCGCTTGTGAAAGCAAAACAAGAGCTAATACAGCCACAGATGATTAGTGTGTTCTCCCGGTTGGTCTTTGTTGTGTTTACTCTTTATATAGCATTTTGTCTTTGATGTACGACAACTGTGTGTGTGTGTGTGTGTGTGTGTGTGTGTGTGTGTGTGTGTGTGTGTGTGTTGCAGAGTCACGGTGCATCCTGTTACCGGTGGTGCTCCGGGTCCTCCAGGCCCACATGCAGGAGCAGAGAGACCTTGTCATGTGTGCCCGCATCCTCACCAGCATGCTCTCCCTCATCAAGAAGGAAGAAAATGGCACTGCGGTGAGTGTTAAGTTGTGGTAATTGGTCGCCATACACAGACCCAGCTCATCCTTAAAACAATAGTTCATAATAGTTTTGGGAAATAAGCATATTTGCTGTCTTGCTTCAAGTTACATGAGGACACTTTCATGTCTGTACGATAAATATGAAGCTACTACTAAGAGCTAATTAGCTTACCTTAGCACATAGACTGGAAACTGAGGGAAACGGCTAGCGTGACAAAATCCACAATCCTCCTACCAGCATCTCATAAAGCCTGGCTCTGTCAAAATGTAACCAACAAAATGGTTACATTTTGACAGAGCCAGGTTAGCTGTTTCCTCTGCTTTTCAGTCTTTGGGGTAAGCTAAGCTAACCAGCTGCTGGCGGTAGCTTCATATTTAGCATACAGATTGGAGCCCGACCAAAATAAGATTTTTTTTTTAAGACCGATACTGATTTTGATCTGATTGCAATATATCGGCCAATATTCCCCCATGTTTTTAGAAACACATAACATAAACAGAGATTATCCCTAACATTTGTTATGTGAGGTTAGATAACATAATACAGTTAAAAAAAAAACTTTTTTATTGTTATAAATAGTACATTGAATAAAAGTATAGCAGACTACTGTGTTTTGTGGTGGATTTGTGGCGTTCCTAACACATTTGATGCCAACAGGGGGAGCAGAGCACCTTCTGGTGGACAAACTATGCATGCAACACCACTAACATAATTTGATGATGATCTGTCTTCAGGCTTTATTACTGGCTGTTATAAACACTGATATTAGCTCATATCAGCCGATAATATCGGCATGCCGATTTATCGGTCAGACTCTAATACAGGTATTGAATTGGTATCAATTTTCCCATCTGATTCTCGATAAGAAAACTGTTAAGTATATTTCCCGAAACTTCAACTTCAAAATGTCAGTATATTGTTGCACAAAACTAATAAATAGAGAAGTGACTTTTACATTTTATTATGGATGAAGTGACTTTATTACCCAGCCGTTATCCTGTACCGTTAAAATTAATTCCCCATTCTGTTCTCCAAGACTTTACAAGGGAATTACCACCATAATAACTGGAAAATAACTTTAAAGGAAGTCAAAGCTAGAGGAATTAGTCTTACAGCAATTTCCTTGCCAATACATTGCAATAGCAGATTGCTTTGTTGTGTGTATATGGTCAATTAGTCTTGGTAACAAGGACACTGCCAGCCGCCCAGTCCAGTAATGAGACCCATCAATTTAGCAATGGGCATTGTCGAAATAGCAGTCACTTCGAACGGTGTGTGTGTGTGTGTGTGTGTGTTTGTCTGATTTGGGTGAGAGTGTGCAGCAGCTCGGGTTGCCTGGCTTGAACTGTTCGCTGCCAGAGGGGCAGCTAGTGGTAAAGGCGCCCAGTAGGGGACACACACACACACAGACACGCACACACACACACACACACAGACTGGCACCACATCTAAAGGGAAGTGACAGCAGTGGCAGCCAATGTGCCAGTCTGAAGCTCCTTCTCATTATCGCTCTGTCCAAGACCTGTCTGTCTTGTCAGGGGTAGAGACTGGCGGGAGATGTGTATACACACACACACACACACACACACACACACACACACACACACACACACACACACACACACACAAACACACGCCAGTTTATCCTCCACTCTCTTCGAGTTGCTTTTAATCTTTAACTGTCTCTTTCTCCTTTGTGTTCCACCTTCTTTCTTCTTTCCCATTCTCCTCCTTCTCTTCTGTGAATTTCAAAATGTTGCTCCTAGCCTTGAAACTTCTTATTCGTCCCCACACTTACTGGTTCAAGACTCATTAAAACTGCGATGAAGTAAGTTTATAGGGTAAGGAGCCCAGAAAATTGGCTCTGAGGCAGAATGATGTCAGCTTTTAGTCATGGTGCAAGGTTGTGCTGGGCAAAAAACAAATGAAAAATGGTCAAGATAACATTAAAGGAACATTAGTGTAACTTTGGGAGAGAAATTGAGTAATTGTTTGCAATTTCAAGGCTGTGGGATTCACATTTGGGTAAAGTGAAGTGTAACCTGTAATTCATGTGCAGGTGTTTTGTCCTTTGTGTAGGAGCCGGTGGTCTCAGAAGAGGTGGAGCTAATTGTAGAGAGCTTGCTGGGAGTTTTACTGAGGACCATCCTGGAAATTAGCAACCGGCCCCAGCCTGCAGGACCTGCCATGAGACTACAGTTCCAGGATGTCACTGTATGTGTGTTTTACTGTGTACAGTTCTGTGTGTGTGTGTGTGTGTGTGTGTGTGTGTGTGTGTGTGTGTATAAAATGTTTTGGGACTTAGCATAATGTGTAGGAGTAATTATAGATTTTAAATTGAGTTGCTGCTGTGGGGACTATAATTGCACTAACATTATTAACATTAATGGCAATAATTAAGATTTATAATACAACACAGCACAAAAGGAGAATGGTGAAGTGGATAGTAATGAGATCATCATCATCATCATCATCATTGTGTGATGATGGAAAAGGAAGGGTGGCGGGATGTTCCACTTGTAATAGAAATCTACTAATGTTGTGACAATTCTTACCGTTTGCAAGTAGAGGTTAATAAAGGGCGTACTGGTAATTCAATATAACAAAGTGCTTTCTTGTCTATTTCCTGTAGTATAGTATACAAAGGACTATCCTTTGCAACATGGTTATGGACAGGTTTTTTAAAGACACAGCAAGATATAATTTTCAATACATTCATAAATGATACATACAGTATCTTTTTTACAACATAAATAACCCCACTCCAATGGAAACCCAGTCTTGCTCCTCAAATGTATTTATTTTTGATTGTATGCATTTAATAACAATAATAATAATAATTTTATAAGAAAAGATACAATATTAAAAAACTATAGAGGTAAAATGTTGCTGGTGTCATTCTTTTTGAAGATCAGCTAAGACATGCTGCCGTACAATGTAGCATTTGCCTGCACTGCTTCTGGTGGCATATCAGATTTTCTCTAATGTCAGATGATTCATTAGATCCCCCAGCCATGGAGCGAAGGTTGGGGGGGTTGGTGGTTTCTTTTTCATTTTAATAAAATGAGACGTCTTGCTAAAAGCTTCGCAAAAGCTATTATATTTGTGAGAGAGTCACTAGGACAGAGATCCTCCAAGATAACACCAAATAAAACTGATGCTCACACAATCCTCTCTCTCTCTCTCTCTCTCTGTGTTTTTATCCTGTCAGGGAGAGTTTGTTGCATGTTTGCTGGCGCTTCTGCGACAGATGAGCGACAGACACTACCAGCAGCTACTGCAGGCGTTCAGCAGCAAAGACAACCTGAGAGTAAGACCACCACATCCATCTACCCCCCCCCCCCCCCCCCCTCAGGCATTTCTAAAGTCTATGTACACACACCATTTATGTTAATATACTGTGCGTGTGAAGTATTCATGTCTCCAGTCTGTATGCATACCTTTAAAAATGTGTACATGTAAGCGAGCTGTACTGCAAGGTCAGCAGTGGCAGGTTACGTAATGAAGAGACGCGGAGAGAGGGAGAAAGTTAATGAGGTCACAAGGTCATTCCAGTGAGAAATATCAATCTGCTGAATGTCAGAAAAAGTGGAAAGGTTATATGCTGTTGTTAGCTTGAGAGCACTTATTCAAGAAAGACACTTATTATGCTTTAATTCTAGCACTTTTATCACAAGTATCCATATTCGAATAAAACAAATTGAAATTTGCTCTCCCTATAAATTTCAGTGTTTAAACAGTCCAAAATAAATCAGATATAATACACTTTTCGGTTTCAAGTTCACAGCAACTCATGAGAATGAACTAAGTATTTGAATATTTAGAATGCATGTGAATTTCTGATTGATAGTACTGACAAAAACAGAATGAAATGTATATACATGTCATATGCAACACAAATTGACTGTACATACTACACACTAATCCTCAGATTAAGTATAGAATGTCAATTTTGAGAGATGTGTTTGGGTGGAAACAACTATATTTCTCCTTTTCCATGGATTAAGAAATGTCCATGTTGTTCTTCACCTCTAGCCCTGTGATTATAGACATGTCCATTATAGCTAGGCAAAAAAACACCTGCCAAGGTGTCTTAAATTCCAATTTAATAGTCAGAATAAAGTACCCTATTGAGTGTATATCATGAAGCAAATAGTAAATGAGTGATCAAGGGAGTGTGATTTTGTGCCAGCACCATTGAGAGACACTAACTTGAAATTTAGGAAGTTTTCAATAACAACACGTCTGCTGTGTGTGTGTGTGTGTGTGTGTGTGTGTGTGTGCGTTCCAGGACTTTCTTCTCCAGATCTTCACAGTCTTCAGGATCCTAATCCGACCAGAAATGTTTCCCAAAGACTGGACCGTCATGCGGTTGGTCACCAACAAGTAAGACCACACACGTGAATGTACCCACGTAATAACAGATGACAAGAGATAGAAAACGGCACAAAAACCTCGAAATAAAGTCAGGCGAATGATACGCAACAAAGGTTCTCAGTTGGAATCCGATAAGGGCTGTTACATGGTATTAGATGTAGACTGCGATGCTATGAGGACACCCCAGATATGAAATTTTAAACATCAGTGAGACAGTTTAATCTGATGAAAGTATGGGGATCCTTGTCTTTATCCATGGACAGTGTGTTCCACTTCTCTACAGCCTCTTTTAAAAGGTTAGCTGCCATCAGTAGTCCATGGTGATGTCTCTTTATTCCACATGATTCCAGACTTCAGCAATAAGGTGGAGGTACAAAGACGTCTGTCAACATCCCCCCAAAAAAACATTATAGGTTAAAAAAGTAGGAGGAATTTTGATGTAGTGCTCTCAGTTTAAATGAGACTGAATCTGAGGCTAATGCACCGGATCACTTTAGAAGACACTTTCAAATGAAGTGCATTAATAATCTCATATTTCTAGTAAAAAAATTCTGTGGATGATGACACAGATTTGTGTCTTTAAAATCATAAAAACTGGAACTCAAAGCAACTTTGCTCTTTTTATGCTTTTGCCTTCTCCTTGGGGTTTTATAGTTGACCTTCCTCAACATGGAATGCGATTGCAGACGTGTCCTCTGCATTACTGCTATACACACAGGCCATTTGACTTGCATTTAAATTGTTCATGGTGATGCATTTTCCACCAAAGTAACACAGCAACCCCCTCCTCTCTTTCTCTTGTTCTTTTAGTGTCATCATCACAACTGTCCTCTACCTTTCTGACGCTCTGAGGAAAAACTTCCTCAATGAGAAGTTTGACTACAAGGTGGGGAATGTGTGTGTGTGTGTTTGTTTGCGTAGATCTAAACAATGCCACAGTGCTACGAAGCTAGTTGAGTATCAAACAGGCTCACTTCTAAAAGTCAGTGCACCCGCGCAGAGACTGGAAGATGCACGTTTATAATAAAAGTGGTTTATTTATTTGCATCACACTTTTCAAAGCAGAAGCTTTCACAGAGACAGAGACATAAAACAGAGCTAATACCATTAGTCTGGAGCTTAAGGCGGCCAAATAAATTAGCTCAAAGCAAAAAACAAAAACAAAATACCAATAAAAACAGCAATAAAAATACCACAAAGGACAAGTTAATTCAATTATAATGAGGCTTTACTACTTCCTGAACTGTGATATTGTAGATTGCCTAGTCCATGTTTCAGTTGTATTTAGATATTACTTTGTGTAATGATGCTGAACTTGATTTAACAGCTGTTAGTACCTCAACATACCACCAATATCAAGAATCCATGGATACCAGTGGCAAATTATAATTATTTTTGCCTGAATTCTTGAAAAGGGAAGATGTAGGAGGAAGATTTTACACGGCATTGACATGATGCAATTTTTTTTGCTGTCATTTCCAGGTGTGGGACTCGTACTTCTATCTGTCTGTAATATTTATAAACCAGCCGTGTCTGCAGCTGGAGTCCTTCTCTCCCTCCAAGAGGAAGAAGACGCTGGAAAAGTAAGTCCTGCTTGTCTGCAAATACACCTGCACGTACTGTCATTTGATGCATGTGTTAGGATAGCCCGTAATTAGCCCTGCGCTCACTCAACAAGCCATCCTATGGTGCTCAGACAAAAACAGTTACACACACACACACACACACACACACACACACACACACACACACACAGTATACTGTAGGCCGCATACAGTATAATGAGTACTTTCAGTATTTGCCTGCAGCAATCACACATGTCTAAACATATCTTGTCATGCAGGTATGGAGACATGAGGGTGATGATGGGCTGTGAGATCTTCAGCATGTGGCAGAATTTAGGTAAGGTTCATATAGATTGTTTTATTTCTTAATGTACTCCTAAAATGTGCAATAGATTGTTTAAAGAGTCACTGCAATATCTGACCGGTGCCACAAATATAGTACTGTATAGGCAACTGTCCGTCTTCTGTTCCTGCAGTGGGTATCTCTTATGCCTGGTGCACACTAGATTTTCACATAACAAAATATTTTACCGCTTTTTAATATTTTAATTGTAAGAATCCACACACCAGACAATTCAGTGAAGATGCAGGGCCACACATTTGGCGTTTATACTAAACGATTTCAGAGTGGCGATTCCTTTGACTTGGGATCTCACAGAAACTCGCGTGATCAAACGTGACTTAAACAATATAAACAACATGGAGGCAGCTAGTCACACTTGTGTGTGCTATGTTTTGCACAGAAAAACAAAAAAAGAGAACAGATCTGTGGATAAATTCATGGCTGAGAAGAGGGAACCAACCTGGTTAATACATTTCAAAGCGCAAGCAAATACACAACATGTTGGTGACACTTCCCGGTCAGGTCGCTCTCATTGGCTGTTGTGGGTTCCTTATCAGAGGCACCCCAATTTCAGATCTTATATATGTATATAAGATTGTGTATGTAAACCCCTCACACTACAGGATCATTTAGGCTGATAATCTCTTCCGACCAGCTTCGGGTCGGGACCGCCCCCGCAATTGTTGGCAGGGGTGAGTCAGACCTTGAATCGGCCTAGTAATCCTCTAGTGTGTGGCCAGCATTACAGGCCCTCCCCTGATGCAGGAGGATTGTTCTTAAAGTAACATCAGAGAAAGTAAAGGCAAATAAACTAAATAGAATATTTTTGTACTTGAAAAAATTCTCAGCCTTTTTTTCTCTATGCCAAAAACTAAAACTAAAGTCACCATGGCAACCAGCTGGATGCCTGACTCTGTTTTGTGTAGATGCTTTTGTTCTGCTCAGAGTCTGTGATGGATCTGTGCAATTGTGTGTGTTTTATAATCATTTCTTTGTGTGGCTCTTTGTGTAACAACAATACATTTTAAGTAACACAGGAGTTAGGATTATTTAGTTTATTAGAATACTGTGTCAATTTGGTTAGGGTGCAGTGCAGCCAGCCGAAATTTGCCTTGCCAGAGTTGGTCAAATTGCCTCTGACACAAACAGCACGCTGTGTTCATGGATAAAGTGAGAGCCTAACCTGTTTGTTGACCTCTGCCCCTCCTCAAGGGGAGCACAAGCTGAACTTCATCCCAGCAATGATTGGTCCATTCCTGGAGGTGACGCTGGTGCCTCAGCCTGATCTGAGGAATGTCATGATCCCCATCTTCCATGACATGATGGATTGGGAGCAGAGACGCAGTGGAAATTTCAAACAGGTACACAGCTGTTAGATTTGAACTTGTAATGTTTATTACCTGGTGACGGTGATCCACTTTTTTGACCTTTTGCATAATTCCAAGATTAAGTCATAAAAATAAAAACCTGTCAGATTCAATCGCCGCGACGCCTTAGCATGACAGGAAGTAATTTGATCTAACACACCGTTCAGTGTTAAGCTCTAAGCCCTCCGTGCTGCTCTTCCACCCAGCCATTTCATCAATATCGTTTGAACTGGCAGCCCCCGTTGAAAATGCGTTTTCTTCACAGGTGGAGGCCAAGCTAATTGACAAGCTGGACAGCCTGATGTCCGAGGGCAAAGGAGATGAAACGTACCGGGAGCTCTTCAACAGCATGTGAGTTAGAGAAAGGAATAGTAGTAGAAACTATGGGGATGAGGGGGCGTATAGGTGCATATTCAATTACCTTGGATTTTACATGAAAGGGGGACGTGGTCAGGGTGCCTTTGTGTTATGAAATTTGGCCTACACAAGAGCTCAACTAGCTCACAGTTCAATCGCCTAAGGAAAAAGGCCAGTCCAGGACACTTCCACTGACAGGCAAAATTGCCGGTTATTGAGTCTAATGACCTAGATGATGCAGCCCACACAAGGCTACATCAGGTAACTGCAACTCGCAGGTTGTTTGCCTCAGTAAGTGGCTGCTTTATCTGTAAGTGTCCGCAAGTATTCCGCTTTCAAAAGTGAGCTTTTAACCCTGAAACCCAAAGAGCACAGATAACAGTGTTTATGCTCAGAGAAAACTCCTTTACCTGAATTATGTGTTAGGATTGATTACAGAACCATGCACACCTGTCATGAGTATGAACAAATAGGCAGTGGGTAGTTCTGTATTTGAAATTGTTTATACTGAGTAGACTGATAAAGTAATAATGAGAGGTAAGTGATCAGTACTTAGCTCCAGTCACCTTCATCTTCACTCACACCTCCTCTGTGGCCGGTCCTTGTCCACTCTGTCCTTGTTAGGTTTGTGCTCCTGCATGCTTGGCGTACGTGCTTACGCTAATGCGCGTGTGTGTGTTAGTATGTGTGTGTATCCCTGCCTCTGTCTGTGCCTGTTCATATTTTTATGTCACCCGCCCCCCTCTTTCACAATGACTACTATATTTGAAGTCTGTGCTACATTTCAACTTAGCTTCCAGAAACACAATGAAGTCATTTTTCTGACCCATGTATGTCTCTTTTACTGTCACATAGATGTGAATTAAAGTGTGATCTTGACTAGTATTTTATCAATATGCATCTATTGTAATTGTCCCTTTGTCTTTCATAGTCAACCATTCTCTTTCCATTATAAATGTGAAACATTACAGAAAAACAGTGCAATATCACTGCATAATATTAAAATATCTCTTTATCTAATCTGTATTGTGCCATATAATACAATTGTGCATTAGAAAGCATTATTATTAAATTGCTACTATCTATTCAGCCTGTATGCAGATTGAGGTTCATGTTTATGATTATGATTTTAGCCGACTTTTATCTTTTCTTGCTTAATTGATTTATTGTTTTGATTTAGTTTCTCCATTTACTTTTCCTCTCCACTAACCCCTAAACTAACCTTGTGTGAGTGGGTGCTGATATTAATCACATTAATATACATTTATTCCGCCTATGCTTCCCGCCTGGAGTAGAATTCCTCTGTTTGGTCCGTACCCTAGGTAAGACGTTCTCCTCTTTGTTTCTCTCTGTGTCTTCTATGTGAGGGGAAACAGCGGCAAGGGGTGACGTTGGGAAACAATAATTAACTCAGCCAAAAGCTAACAGCAATATTTTGGCTGTGATGTGTAAAACAGTGTATCAGCTATTGTGATATAGATATATATTTAGCCACCTAGAGTATTTATTTCCCCACAGGCAGGCCAGCAAGCATAGGTGATACTGGTGTGACTGGGATTGATTTCCTCTTTGCTTCGCTTCCTTTTCTGTTGCAGTAATTTTTTCTTTCTTTCCCCCCTCCTGTCACCTTTCCCATTTGCTCACTTTTACCACTTGTTTCCTTTGGTCTTTACATCTCTCTATCTTGTCCTCCAGCCTGCTTAAGAAGATTGAGAGAGAAACCTGGAGGGAGAGTGGGATCTCTCTGATCGCTACGGTCACCCGCTTAATGGAGCGATTGCTAGACTATAGGTAAGAGTGCAAACATATACTCTCAGAAACATGCAGACACGCTTGGTCAATTTGAATCAGGTTTGGACGTTTTTTTTTTTTGCCACTTACTGATGATGTTTCCATCACAGGGACTGTATGAAGCTGGGAGAAGTGGATGGAAAAAAGATTGGATGTACTGTCAGTTTACTGGTGAGTAGAGATTACTCGGAGCGTGGTTAGCTCACTTGATTGACCGCGCGCCCCAGGTTCAAGGCTGGGTCCTTACTGCAGTGGCCAGGGTTTGAGTCCAACCTGCGGCCCTTTGCTGTGTGTCTCTCCCTATCTCTCTCCCTGTTTCCTACACTGTCCTGTCTGTCAAAATAAAGGCAAAAAAAAATCTTTAAAAAAGTAGACTAGAGGTTACTCTCATGTCTCTGCATTAAATATCAAGCTACAGCGAGAAGTAGGTTAGCTTAAAAGGTAAAAAAAAAATCTAAAGCTCATTAATCACATTATATCCAGTTTGTTGTTATGGGTTTACATGGGGTTAATGCCGCACAATTTAACTGTCTAATAAATGTGACGTAACACATTAATAAGTGAGCTTCAGAGGTGCTGACAGGAGGATTTATTTACCTTTGGACAGAGCCAGGCTAGCTGTTTCCCGTTGTTCGTGCTAGGCTAACTAGCTGCTGGTTGTAGCTTCATGTGTACCACACAGACATCAATCTTCTCATTTAACTTGTGGAAAGAAAGCAGTAAAGCAGATTTCCAGAGTCCTTTAAGTGACAACAAAATGCGTTACCAAACAAAACAGATACCTCTTGACTTTTGTCTTGTGTCATGTTCTTGTGCCTAATGATTTGTTTTAGCATTTCTGTCCTCTGTCAATGTTATCTAACTCTTGGCAAGAAAGTTTATTTCATAAACTATTGTTTTAATATTTGCATATAGTTTAGAGCTTTTTAATGATGGCTTACATCTTTTAAATAGGCCTTACCTTCTGAAAGTATTCCATATCTCTATATGAGCCTAGTGACCATAATTATCCTTTTTATCTTCTGGTGCTATTTGAAGTCCTATGATGTTTTCAACTTTTTGCCTGTTCAAGAATTATCCAAAAATCAAATATGTTAAGTTCATTTCTTCAGTTCATGCTATTACACATAACTTTTATTGCTTTTATGGTTGTGTATTTTGCAGGTTACATAATTAGTCTCTCTGATTAACAGTGGAAAATATAAATTCATGCTTAAGACTTTAAAGAGTTTTTCATTTCCTTCCCTCAGAGACATAACACGAATGTCAAATGACAAATCACTTTTTTTCTCTGATCTTTCCCTCTTTTGTTTCAATTGTCAGCCCTTTGTGCCTGCTAGTATTTCCTTATGTAACAGCAGCTGTCTGAAAGAGCACCTGGGTGTGTAGGCAGATGAATTAGAAGTCACTGCTTATCAGCAGCTGAAATATATTGTTACACCTCTACCCTAGAACAATCTGTCACTTTTAAATGTGTCCTTATTTGCATCTCCAACTCACCATTATTTTTATAATCCCCTTCTCTCTCTCTCTCTCTCTTTGTGATTCTTTTTGTCCTCATTCATCACCGAACCACCCACTGCTCCTGTCAGAACTTCTACAAAACTGAGTTGAACAAAGAGGAGATGTACATCCGCTACATCCACAAACTGTACGACCTGCACCTGAAAGCACAAAACTACACAGGTACGCCTAAAGGAATGGCCCTAACATACAGTGCGTGTGAGTGTGGGTGTCTGCATGTATGACAGATACATTATTGTGGGTCTTACTGCATGCTGTAACGTGTGTACATACATGTGTATAGCCTTATTATTGGAATGGCTAGTCATCCTTACTGTCCCATGAGTCAGATTTTAAAAGATGTTTCTGAGACACTGAATCCTTCATGTTTTCCTAAAAGCACATATCCTGCTGCTTTAAGATGTATGTAATGTCCTGTGTGTGTGTGTGTGTGTGTGTGTGTGTGTGTGTGTGTGTGTGTGTGTGTGTGTGTGTGTGTGTGTGTGTGTGTGTGTGTGTCTCACAGAGGCTTCGTACACCCTGCTGCTGTATGATGAGCTATTGGAATGGTCAGACAGGCCACTCAGAGAGTTCCTCAACTACCCCATGCAGAGCGAGTGGCAAAGAAAAGAGTATCTGCATCTCACCATCGTACAGAACTTCGACAGGGGGAAGGTGAGCTTGAACACACACATTTGTTCCCCACACACTCATCCGTCCTCTACATCTGCATTACTTTGGTGACAAAATCAAGCAAAAACATTTAACACTGGTATCAACAAGCTAAATACCCTCCATTGCCTTTATGTTTTTTGTATAGGAATTATGAATCAAAAAACTCTGTTTTTAGTGACAGCAAATCAGAGAAACACTGTGCTGTACATATGAGCCTCAAAACCAGCAGTGACTTCTTAACACTGCTAAATGCCAGTGAATGTGTCACACCAATGTGGCAGCAAAACAGCAGCATTTCAGCTTTGTATGCATATTCAAAAATGTAACTTTAATTCAAACCTCGCATTGAAACTGAAGCACAGCCATAATATTAATGCTTCATTTAGAATAAATAAATACATGGATTTTAAACCCAACCTAATAAGCAATTCATTAAACATTAATACTGGATGGAACATGAGAGGACTGGAGTACCCCGCCTGTTCAGTGGAGACGTCACTCACGTGAAATGAAATCCCTTCATAGGAGGAGAGTAGAGCAGAGCTGTAAGCTGTGTGGAGCTACAATAATGCATGTCACTCGTAGTCAGACATTTAGTTTCTACCTGTTGTGATGTGACAGCAGCTCGAGGCATCAACACCTCCTCGGTTTAATCAGATGAATGGCTGGCAGCTGTAATTAAAGCAGGATCTGTGTCATCCCATAACATCCAACACCATTCCTGCAAGAAATATTGTGGGAGATGACGGCAAGACTGAGGGGTGAAGCGTAAGTCGCACTGCTGTGTTGGCTTTATGTATCAGCTAAGAATGAACCGAGTAAATGAAACCCAGCTGATTCAGGATACAGCAGCATTTGAGAAGCTCTCTCCAGGCTTTTGCTTTGTTTCTGTTACCCATGAAGTACATTTTTTTCTTTCTTCCTCCCACCACTCCTCTCCACTGATTTTATCTCTTTCCTAACTACCCTTGCCATCATTCTGCAATCTCAGGGAAAATTGGCATTATGGAAAGCCTCCAGAATTACACACACAAAAAAAAACTTCAGCATCCCTGATGAAATAACGTAGCTCTACGGAATCATTAAAACTGCTCTCCTCGTTATTCATAGTCCAATTTTCCTTCACATTCACAAGCTATGCCATCTGCTGGTGCTGCCGCACAGGGATTAGAAGACAGCAGGAAAGGAAAGCTTTTCATTTAATTAGCAAGATGGGTGCTGCGTGTACCTGCATAAAGAGGTTATGCTCTCTTGCTATTGTTGACTCACCAGTGCCACCCAGTGGGTCACATGCAGTTTAGCAGCACTACTGCAGAGCATGTTATACAGTTTCCTGATCTAAGTCAAATAGATAGGCATGAGCTTCCTTGATTTTTCTGCGTTTATTTTGTTTTAAGACAGAGCACAGTGAGCATGAGGATGAATAAGTGTGTGTGTGTTTTTTGTCTTCAGTGTTGGGAGAATGGCATCATCCTGTGTAGAGAACTCGCTGACCAATATGAGTCTTACTACGACTACAGGAACTTGAGCAAGATGAGGGTAAGTTGTCCACAATAAACAAGCTACAGCACTTCCTTAAGACGGGTTGTTAGTTGGAGTCTTGTGATGATACAAAGATACAAAAAAAGATATTCAAATTTGATATATGTTATGCACATACAAATTAATCTGCTTTTAATATAACAATGCTTTTGTCAATGTATCAAATCCCGTTGGTTTATGCTCAATATTGTCCTCGCCAGATGATGGAAGCCTCTCTCTATGACAAGATCATGGACCAGCAAAGACTAGAACCTGAATTCTTCAGAGTGGGTTTCTATGGAAAGAAGTTTCCTTTCTTCTTACGGGTAAAAAAATCTCCATATTCCCTCTGTGTCATGAATAACAAGTTGAATAGAATAATACTTTTACCCTCTACATAGAAGAGCTAGACCTGCAGAAAGAATTAACTTTTCTTATATAAGACTTCTTCAGTATGAGGTGACATTCAGCAACTCTTATTCAATGCCATTTAATGATGTAACAGGCCCCTGTCCTTGGTGGAGTTTGCAGTTGAGGCTGCAGTTGCAATGTGCAGCCACTAGATGTCAAGCTAACCCCACGCTGTTTCCTGCTTCCCCCCTCTGCAGAATAAGGAGTTTGTGTGCCGCGGCCATGACTACGAGAGGCTGGAGGCTTTCCAGCAGCGGATGCTCAACGAGTTCCCCCACGCCATAGCCATGCAGCACGTCAACCAGCCAGACCAGACCATATACCAGGCGGACGCGCAGTGTATCCTTGTCTATAGAAAGAGGCGTATGGAAAATTCATATGCTCAAGCTTGGACACGCAGTGAAATGTGTGGAAATGAATAAAAACATGACACGCCACAGTGTACATACATGCGTACGCACATACACAGAGGCTTGCGTGCACAGCATGCTTGTGTGTTTACATACACAAAATTGCCTGTAATGAGGCACATGCTATAAAACGCCGTGACTCCCTCGGTCTCTCACAGTCTCTTTCCATTCATTATCAAAGGCCAATTCAAGTACTGCATACTACGTACAGTATACAGATTCTCATACACAGAAAGCACATCAAACATGCTACGGACATACATATGCTTAATCATAAACCCAAGGGCAGAATTTTCACTAGGGACAGGCTTTTCAAAAAATAATGTTTTTTTTCGTCCTTACTTATACAGTTGATTTACTCACTGAAATCTCTCTAAACAGCATCTTCTTACTTGCTGTAATCCAGATAAGAGAAGCTCTAAAATGATAAACAGGCTGATTCTACAGTCATAAGCTTGCCTCAGTCCCCAGCTCCTCCAGGCTGCATGTCGAAGTGTCCTTGGGCAAGATACTGAACCCCAAATTGCCTCTTGTGGCTGTTCCACCAGTGTATGAATGTGTGTGAATGTTAGTTTCTGTTCTAGCACTTAGGCTCAGTGAATGAATATGTGTGAATGGTGAATGCAGATGTAGTGTAAAGGTGCTTTGAGTGGTCGAAAAGACTAGAAAGGCGCTATACAAATACGGAGCATTTACATTTTACATACTGGCTGCCTTACCTTCTGATTTGTGGCGGCCGTTGGAACAGTATGCAGCCCAACAGGAAAACAGCAGATACTACTTAGGATTTTCAATTTTATTTGCAGCTACAGTTAATATTCTCCTTTAAAAGATGCTGGAGTCTTACGATACTAAATAAGACTTTAAGTAGGGTTATGACATGATGATGATGAACATAACTTTTCTCAGCACGGTAGCAAATTTGAAATGCATATCTATCAGTGCAGTTCAGTCAAGACACTCACGTCAAGGTTTTAACCATTTACTGCCAGTACAAATTTGGCAGTGTGGCCATGCCTGCCTACATAAGTCATACTTTGTGTTGTTTTTTTGACTTAATTTTGTGCCCCCACTTCTGAAACCAAACCCACGCCCTTACATAAATCAAGTCACCAACTCACATTGAGAGCTATACTCTTCATTTCCAGGCAGCATGCTCAAATTTTGCTGTACAGTATGGGAGCATTTTTAATTATTCACACTAGTGTATGGGAAACCTCTATAGAGGGAGTGGGAAGACAAAGCAAATACTTGGGGACATAATGACACAGAGACTTTATAGAGCAGAAACCTGATGGAGGACAGAATGTAAGTTGTTCTGTTTGTCCCTGTTTTTCTTGTGCTTCCCCAACTAAAAAGATCTAAAAAATTAGCACCCTGCTGTGTTATTCTCACATAACGCTAATCAATAGAGTTTCTCTCAGATTGCTTACCCATCTGTATATCCTTGTCAGAAACACTCATGCATATAATTGTATGTTTAATAACTGTCCCAACTCCTAACTGGTGGAGATGCAGAGGTTGACCACTGCTCACAATGACCTTTCGTGTGGCTGTCTCTTTTTAATTTCACTGTTCAGATATTGTTTTGGTCCCTGTTAGTATGTCCTTGGCAGGGTATTGTTTCCATGTGGATGTAAGTAAAAGACTAATGAAGCAAAGGATAATGCAAGAGGGATTTATTTATTTCAAAGACACATGTGTTACCATCCTGTGAAACTCTGCATGTGCGTGTTCTTGTTGTCTGTGTGGGCACGATTTCCCATGTTCTTTCAGGTCACTGAAGAATTCTTGTCCGTTTTAGCCCAGAGTGCTTTCCCTTGTCACTCTCTCCTGTGTCTTTCCTTAACTTCCGTTCGCCTCCAGATCTGCAGATCTATGCTGTAACCCCCATCCCGGAGAGTCAGGACGTGCTCCAGAGAGACGGAGTGCCTGACAACATCAAAAGCTTCTACAAGTTCAATCACATCTGGAGGTTCAGATACGACCGGCCATTTCACAAGGGCACCAAAGACAAGGAGAATGAGTTCAAGGTATGGCTGGGAAAGGGGAGAAATCACTAGAAACTCAGATGGCGATGAAGATTGATAGCACCACATAGACACACATGGTAAGAGGTCAGTGTGATGCAGACATTTCCCTGCCTTTATGTAATTTCATCCCTTTTTCACAAAACATGAATTTACAGATTTTGTGGAGATATGAAAATAAATAAAGAATTAACTTAACAACCTACTACAGCTTGTGGAGTAGCTACAAGATGTTATGTGCTATAGAATAAAAAGGGGAAAAGTCTAGTTATCTGTGAATATTTCAGAATTTAAAATTATCCACTTATGATCATTAGCATTTTTTTCACTCCAGACTGATGTGAAACAGCTTCGTTTTCTTCTGTGCCCAGGTATTAATCTGTGTATATAGCGCATGTTTTATTCATCATGACTCCTGTATCACAAATTATACACGCGCTGCTCACACTCTAAACACATAGACACACACAAACACACACACACTCTGCAAAGACCCTGATATTAGGCTCATAAATATTCAATATTAGCACACACATACACAGACACAGTCATTTCGTCTCAGTTCCATCAAAGCTATTTGGCCAAATTTCATCATGATATCACATTTCAATTAGGGCGAGATATCTCTGGCCCTCATGGGGTAAAAATATGTATGATAAACTTTTGCATAGCGACAAGAATATCCAGCAGCCAGGATATGGGGTTATCTGTCAAAATAAAGTAATAAAGAAAGCTGTCTCCATATGACATTTCTATGTGCAGAAGAAAAAAAAAAAGCTTGCTGAAACGGTAAGACTTTTATTTTTGTCAGCGTTTCATTTCAACTTCCTAATACATGTTTGTTTTTTTCAAGAGGTGTTCAGGTGGGTTTCTTGGCCTTAAAGAACAGAAAATCAATAAAGGGCAGCAGGGCTGTGTAGTGAGTCAGAAGACCCTTTTTCAACCTGAGGACACTGGATCGATAATGCATGTCAGCACTCATCTGCTCTGCTGGAGTGTCCTTGAGCAAGACACTGGGCTCCAAACTAAACATAAAATAAATGAAGCTGTAACGTTACTGCATCAGCACGTTGACCCTGACCTGCTTGTGAAATGGGCCCAACATAATACAGGATGTCCATGCGGGGATCAAAAATATAATAACATAATAATGCTTCAGATTTTGAACACATTTAGCCTCATTTAGAATAAAACAAACTGATGTGGGGTTAAGATGATTTAAACATTTCTTCAGCCTCAGTTGTACTTTTTGTTTAGTGCTAATTAGCAAATGTTAGCAGGCTAAACTAGCATGGGAAATGGTAAACAAACATACCTGTGCTTAACATCAGCATGTTAGCATTGTTACTGTGAGCATGTTAGCATGCTGAAGTTAGCATTTAGCTCAAAGCACCACTGAACCCAAATAAGGCCTCACAGAGACACTTAGTTTTGTTTAGATTAAAAGTGAAAGCTAATGTTTGGTCTTGGAAACAGTAGTTGGTGACAAAATAAAGCTCCAGAAGAAGCTAGTAAACAAGGTTTTGTTTTGTTTTTTTTAGATAAATTGATGAATGAGTTAATGGTCAAAGTTGCCCATTACAATTTTCTAGACCCCAAGGTGACACATTTAAATTGCTTGTTTTTGGTTAGTGCAAATCTCGAAAATATTCAGTTTATAATGATGTAAAAATGTGGAAAGCAGCACATCCTCACATTTGAAAAGCTTGAAGCATTTTTTGCTTAACAAATGATTTTAAAATTGTTGATTAACTGTTTCAGCCCTATCAAGTCAAACGTTATGAGTTGGTTTTAAAAATACACTACACAGAAAATGAAATTAATGATTGCTTTCCATTCTTCATGTTTGTTGAAACTTTGTTGCTTTAGATTGCTCCACTGTAGTGTTAATCTGTTATATTAACAGCCTGCAGTCAGTGCTAGAGTTTCCATAGTTTACGTGCTGTCAGAATGACCTTGTGGTATGTTGGCATATTGACAAGCATGCTGGCCGACGGGGTAAGTGGTGGAACATGAATGATGATATGAGATATAAGACATGACATCTGACCTACACCTACAAGTGAGCGTTTGGCAGTAGGTGTACTCAACATGTTTTCCTCAAACTGTGGTATCTGTAATTAAAATGTATGCCGTCTGCCAGATATAGAGTGCATGTGCGCATCAGCATAAGTAGCTATGGATTTTTTTAAAGTGTTTTTAGCAATCTGCTAATACTCACGCCATGCATTGATGTGTAGAGCCTTTGGGTGGAGAGGACGACCCTGACGCTGGTCCAGAGTCTTCCAGGCATCTCCCGCTGGTTTGAAGTGGAGAAAAGAGAGCTGGTGAGTGGGACCACTTCTGAGGAAATAACCATCTTACACAAGGCACCCTGTAATACACTTTTATTTTACAGGTTGCAATTTGGAGTACTGCCAGCCAATATCCAAGTATTGATCCAAGTCATTACATTGAACAACAATAATGACCTAGGTCATGAGTTTGGGGCTATTGGACAGATTTTATTTCCTCCATCGGATAGATTGGATGTCGTGCTAAAACTCAAATTGCTTTGCTTTGATTTTTGTATTGGATTGTTATATTGGGGATTTTTTTTTTGACTTACTTACCAGCCTTTTTAGCCTGGACTCATATTTGTCCATTGCTACACTGTGTTACATGTTTCCCTCAGAAGCTTTCCGTCTTGGATCTTCATTCAGATCTCTAAGGAGTGGGAGGATTTTTAAATGCTGTTTTGTCTGGTGTATGCAAAACACAACACAGTGTATGTCTCTGTTTTCTGAGTGCATATTCTTTAACTTTAGCACATAGCTGTTGAGCGTGGTGTGAAATTGTGGAACTGGCAAAACCCTCTATTAGCAAGAGGAATAAGCTTTGTGTGAGGCAGAGGAAGAAAACGAGAGAGAAAAAGAAGCGCAGGATGATGGGAAGAGCATTTTTCTTGCACCCATGCAAAAGTGACCATATACTAATTGTGTGTTTTTGGGTGTGTTTACAACAATACAGTGCAATACAGCATTGTAGCATCTTTCAGGTCATTGTTTTGGTTTTACGACCTGCAACTTTACCATTTTGGTTCCTACACTTCCCATAATGCACTTCCACAGCATATTTTGTTTCATTACACCCTTGATAAATGGCTATTTTTTCAGACTCCACACTCCCACCTTGTAATGCAGACTTTCTTTTATAAATCATCAGGGTCCTTTCCTTCTAGGTTTCAGATTTCCCTGAACTCCCCTGAGAGCTACAGAAGACGCGACCTCTTAAAACTCTTAATTTTGCGAAAACCTCCCTCTTTGCAGGTGGAGGTAAGCCCGCTGGAGAACGCCATCGAGGTGATCGAAAACAAGAATTTACAGCTCCGCACATTGATCACCCAGTGTCAGAGCCGGCAGATGCAGAACATCAACCCCCTCACCATGTGCCTCAACGGGGTCATCGATGCCGCCGTCAACGGGGGGCTGGCCCGCTACCAAGAGGTATGGATGGATAGATGGAGGACAAGGTTGGAGGGTTTTAGAGACAGAGGCAGGAGTGAGGAACGATGATACATGGATTGCCTAATGATGCATGAAGGTGGGCTTTAGCGGGGAGATGTATGGGCAGAGAGCGTTTTGCGGAGATATGGATGGATAGAATGGATAGAGAGCAAGTGGAGAGCAGGAAGGGGGTGGAAGCGGCAAAATGAGATGGATGGGTTTTGTAGGAATGGGTGGATGGATGGGGGGGTTTGGTCAATGGATGGGTGATGGATAGATGGATGGATATGTGAAGGAAGAGGGGTCAGGTCAAAAAATTGCAGTTAGAGGAGTAGGAGGAAGGAGTGTAAAGAGATGGATGGCTAATAATGGCTGAATGAAGGAGATGGGAGTGTTTATGCAGCTGCTTAATTATACGCTGAAGTAGCAACAGACAAGCACACAGAGTGGCAGAGAAAAACTAAAACAGTCAATCCCTCTGACAAACATTTGCAGCTACTGGTTCTCCAAAATCTCCTTTATAGTACAATTTCAAGATAACAGTACAGTACAATTTCCTAACCAGGAGGAGCACAATTGAAGAAAAAGACATCTACAAATGTACTTGGGGAAACTAGAGAAAACTGACTGGACTCAGCGACTTGCTCTGTGTCGCATAGCAACTACCCTTTTCCACTGGGAGTGTGCGTGTGTGTGAGTGAGTGCGTGTGTGTGAGTGCGTGCGTGCGTGTGTGTGTGTGTGAGTATGTGTGTGTGTGTGTGTGGGCACATTCTGTATGTGTGTGTGAGTGTATGTTGGATTTGTGTAGAAGGGCATGCCTCTGTGTAGAAGTAGCCTATTAAGGTTTTTGTAGGATGCTTGACAGAGTCACAAGAGCAAAGGTCGCTGAAGTGTTTTCCTCCCATACTGCCATTATTTTTGTTTGAAATATGATAGCATATGCATTTTTATCTTCCAGTATACTTATAGAGCAGGCCTTTTTACACTGTTGGTAGGGTCATGTGAATCTTTCTATGGATAAAATGTATAAATGGGAGTTCTCTGGGTAAAACAATTGACCACCAGAAGTTCCTTCAGCCATTTCTAATATTCATATCATCCACAATAGAAAGTGACAATTATCTCCAGTTAAGTGGACACAGATGGGGCTTTTTCCGCGGCAGACACACTGCCACCGATATCAACGCTCATTTTTCTTTGCAGAGTATGGCACGCAGCACCCCAGCGGAACGCGTCGTAGATCTATTCATTTCCCCCTGTAATGCCGATTGACAGCTGTGGAGGCCCGCTTGGCTACAAATGAAGGAGAAACTGTCGTTATTAATATTTAGATTTATTGCTTTAGTTTGAGTGGAAACCATTGAGAGGGGAATGCTGTCTGATTTATTTCCCCCCTCCCCTCAGTATTCCATCTCTAATTGGACTTTTCTAAAGATTAACTCCATGGCGATGTCTCACCCCCTGCAGCCCGACGAGAAATTCCATCATCCGTAGAAGATTATTGATTATTTTCAATGCCTTTTCCGAATTTCCTAGGTTTGAATTTCCTGCTGAAGGTAGCATTACTACTTTGCTGCTGTTGCTTGTGTACTTTATAGTACATCAAGTATAAAGAGCATAATAACATTTATAAAATAAAAATCTTTTACATTTCTTTTATTTATATACATATATATATATATATATATATATATAGCAGTATCAGTATAGCATGGTTTTGAGAGGAATGTGATGTCATTATACATACAGAACATACTAATATATGCTGTCTTGATAAAGATTGACATCTGACGATGTTTGTCTGGAAGAATAATATTCCTTGTTTTATTGAGGATTCATAGTCTACAAGCTATTAACTCGTGCAGTCATTGAAAGTGATCTTCATGTGTTTGTGTGTGACATGTTTGAAGCAGTGTTGAGCATCTTTTCTCTTTTACTGTCATCTGGCTCTGTCTCTTTGGAGATAAACAGCTGTGTCCTTGGTAGAGGAACCGTGCTGCTCTTATTTTGTGAACTTTCAGTCCCTTTTTGGTGTATGTGAGTATTTCCCTCTGTGGCAGATTTGAAAGCAGATTGTGAGCCGGGTCTTTCATCGGCCCGTCGTCTCCCCTCTTTGTGTGCCGTGATGCAGATTGAAAAGGATTTACCATAATCTGTAGACACATCACAAGTGTTGATGGCATTGTAAACAGCATGGAACTGGCGTATAATGTATGGATGCGACAACAACAGTTATCATCCTTCAAAGCAGCCCAGGGCATTTTTCATCTTATCTCTTTCTCCTTTGTCGTACTTTTGAAGGAAATGTTCGGGAAAGTGGATAGAAAGCCTGTAAGCCATAATCAAGAAGTATGATGTTTATGAAGAGACATGATCTGCAATAGAAAGCAGAGTCATGAATGAATGTGATTTGGGAAAAAAAAGCTTTTAAAATCTGAGACCAAATTACACCCTAAATCAAAGTCAAATCAATCCTTTGATTCCAATAACATCCATTTGTTAATTTGAGTGTATTTTTCTCTATTTTTAGCCAGTGTGCACTTTTATTCTTGTCCCTGAACTGACAGGAGTATTACCCCCATTTGAGCTGAAGATTTTGGTTATTCATTCAATTTGTTTGTAAATGTTTAAAGATTCAACAAAAAAGTGTGGACACTAATTCACTGTGTCAGCCCAGCGGGGGATTCAGGTAACACTGCAGTGCAGGAAGCCTTCTGCTTCAGCTCTCGGTGTGTGCATAACAGATGTTCTGCATTTTGTCTCCACGCAGGCCTTTTTCGTGAAGGACTACATCATGAATCACCCTGAGGATGGCGAGAAGATCGGGCGACTGAGGGAACTCATGTTTGAACAGGTTGGTAATAAAAAAGACCTTAAGCATGAATAGGCCACCTGATATTGAACAGCGTGCTTATCCCCTAACGTGGAAACAAAAATTGAAACAGTACTTGAGCGTGACAACTCATTCCTGAACTTGGAAACAGTCCACTTATCACTCAAGCAAATAAATGGACAATGAGTTGTTTTCAATTTACAGAACTATTTATGTCATTGAGTTTAGTTTTAAGTGTTAAAATCCATGTTTTTATTAGAAAAAGTGGATAAAAAGTCAAAAGGGTGATATACAAACATAAGAAAAGAATCCCTGCAATTAGTTTTTTTTTTAAAGCACTGTGACCAATATGTGTACAAAATGGAACATTTTTCTGGTGAATAATTAAATAAACGCAGCACTGTTTGAATAACATTTATTTGGCATTCTGTACTGCAATGTGTTGGCCAACAAATACGCTGATACGATATATATTCTCAGACGATTTATTGGTCCAGCTCTAATGCCTGTATCGTGTGAGATTTACTTGATTTTGTGGATATAACTGGTTTTATTTTCAGATATTTACTGTATCTCATTGCATCCACAAATTGATCTTGTTAAAAAGTTATGAAGTATTGCAACAACAACAAAAAAAACAAACAAACAAAAAAACAAAACTCAATTCACAATTAAATCAGTTAAGGTGGAAAGTATTTTACTGAATGTGTAGACTTATTTTAAACACACACGTCTGGAGCAAATATTTAATTTCAGCAGATAAAGTAGGAGCGCTGTCATTTTAATTCAGTGTTATCGCTGGACTTGTCCTCTGATTTGGTTACTTGTGGACTTAACATCCAGAGGCGTTAACCCTCTTTTGTTTGTGTCAGGCACACATTCTGGAGTACGGCCTCGCTGTGCATGAGAAGTTTGTTCCCCAGGACATGAGACCTCTCCACAAGAAGTTAGTGGACCAGTTTCATCTGATGAAATCCAGTCTTGGCATACAGGTAGGCCAGAACCCAAGACCAGGTGACACTTATTTCAAAGGCTAACACAAGTCATTTTAGTTCATTACAGTCAATGATGTATTAGGAAGATGAAAACAGTGTTTTTCCTCAAATCATCAAGTCTTTTATGGAAGCATGCACTGTACAACAGAGCCCAACCGCTGTGTTAAGACCTCCGAGTGAATGACCCCTTTATTCCTCCGAGGAAAAAGCTACCCCTCATTAAACATTTTTCCTTTATCTGCATCTGTATGTATCTTATTTACTGTACATAGCTCACGCTGGCGTGAAGAAGTGTTTAATAATGTGCACTTCCTCTATTCCAAATTAAAAACCCCAGGAGTTTCCGGCTTATGTGCGTGCAAGCCCAGTGCACTTCACCAACGGGAGCCCGCGAACATGCAGGAACTCTGTGCCCAACATCATTAGCCCAGACGGTGGCAGAGGGGTTGCCAGGCGGAGGTAACAACCTGTTTTGTATAATTTGTCGTCTATTTTCTTTTTGTATTTGTGTAATGTTTATGCTTTTATTTCTTAGTTTTCTTTCTTTATATTATATTAGACATTTAAAAAGCAGCCGAAAAGCTCCATTACAGTATTAAATTTCTGCTTCATATTGTCTCACATTCCTTTGCTTTCCCCCCCGATGTGCTGCCCTTCACTGCAGACCTCTCTGTCTGATTCTTACCTCCTTTATTTATTTATTTTTTTTAAACTCTTCCCCACCTGGAACACCACGTTCTGTGCCTTTGCTCTGTACTTCCTTGCGTTCTTTACCGGTGTGGCTCCATCTGGGCATACAATAGCTGGGGACGACTGGCTGGCACCCACAGGGATATTTCTGTGTGGCTGCTGCCGGGCCAGCAGGCAGACAGGTTTTTTTTTTCTTCTTCTTCTTTTGATGTGTTCAGTGACCCTGCCACTCTTGTCTACCTGCGACATTCTGGCTCCACAGTCTGATCCCACGGGGCACAGCCACACAGAAAGATACAGACACACACATCACCTCAATCCCCCGGTGACATTTTGCGTTTTACTTATTGAGTTGTGATTTCTTTTTTGTACTTTTCCTCTACTTTAAAAAAAATAAAATAATAATTTTACCCTCCTTTAGAAAACCACATTGTGTTTGTTCTCTAACCTTTCTTTTACACTTTTGCCTTTTGGCAGACAAATGCTTGATGAAATGCTGCGATTGCGGCATTGATTATCTTCCTGTAACCTGACATTTTGTCTTTTTTTTCCCTCCCTGTGTGGCTTTTGTCGGCCATTCTGCGGTTCATGGTGAATTTTCGGTGAGTGAAACCTCTGAAAGCAATTAAACTAAGTACCATTCCCCTGAACGCCACCATAACCGCCTCGCTCTGTCTTTCTTGTCACCCCCAGGCCCCTCAGCTACCCTGCAGTGAACCGCTACTCCTCGTCCTCTCTGTCATCTCAGGCCTCCAATGAAGTCAGTAACATCACAGGGCAATCGGAGAGTTCGGATGAAGTCTTCAACATGCAGGTAATCTCGCTCGCTCTCTCGCTCTCTCTCTTTCTCTCTCTCTCTCTCTCTCTCGCCTTCCCACACAGCCACACAAAGGCTCTTAAAGTAGAGACACACCTCAAGGTTTGGTCTCCTACCCCTTACAGATTTCACTTGCAATACTTTTTAATCCCCCTCACTATGTTCCACCCTCATTTCTCTTCTCCTCTGACCCTTTCCCTCTATTGTCCCCTCTGCTTGTTCGGAGCTTTGTCTGGCAAAACAAATTGTCATGATTATATCAAACAAGGACACGGTGCTTTGTGTGGTCTGTCCAGTGAGCTCGCTGGAGTTGGGCAGTAATCTAAACGAGATTTGGCCAATTCAGAAAGCTGCAGACAACTCCTGGCAAGCTGTCAGGCGCACCTGGCAGGCCTGGAATAACAGGAAGCAGAGAAAACCATGAGAGGAAAAAAGCTCTGACTGAACCAATTACAATATTATTTCTGACCATCATCGCTTTTATGCACTGCACAGTGATCCCGAAGACAAGTATTACTACAGAACATTTCCCTTCACAATGTGGAAACACATATTTAACAATAATTATTGTATATTATCGACAAGAATATATTCATTGTCACTAATATACAATCATTATTGTTATAACAAGTAATAATAGTACTCTATCTATATTTTAATACTGTGTCATGTCTGTACAAATATGAAGCTTTCAGCAGCAATAATTTTTCACTTTGGTTTTTGTACAGATTAAACAATTAAGATACGAGTTAATTACTGAGCTTTAGTAGTGCTGTTTCCGGTCTCTATGCTTGCAGTCTTTAGTCTTCAAGCTAACCAGCTATGGCTTTATACAAAACCCTAAACCACAAAAAAAGTGTTTTTCCCAAGATGTCCTAAAACTATTTCCTACTGTAAATACGTTGTGTTTATATGTGATAATAATAGTTAACTAGCAGTTTTGCTTTTTGAGTCTGGTCTTCCGTTATCTTTAATCATCATTTGCCTGTGGAATAATAGCATAGTTAGTTGCTCAATTTCATACATCCACACTTAACAAAAAACTCAAATTGCAAAATACTCTTACATGAAAGTGGAAAAAACATCACAGGTTTAAGACTCCATCACAAACACCTAGACTCTGGAATTTCTCTGTTTTATAAAATAAGCAAATTTATTTCATATGGAAAGGTTAATTCATGTTCATAATGTTCTGGTTCATGATAATGATGCTGTTGTTGTTGTTGTTGTCATCCCACCTACAGCCCAGTCCGTCTACCTCAAGCCTCAGCTCCAACCATTCTGCCTCGCCCAATGTCACCAGCTCAGCCCCTTCCAGTGCCAGAGGTGAGACTCATTTTACAGTGTTATACGCCGTAGGCTTTTTAGCTGATATTTCAATCCGAAGTGACTCACACAGAGGAAGCAGACACAGTTTCAGCCGGACACACTGAACATGAGCACTGAACCTTTAGCCTTTCAGCGTCACGGTGTCCTCTCAAACCACCGTGGCGTCCTGTCTGGTGAGGTTAGACGAGGGTTAGACCACAGTCCACGTACTGTAGGAGAGGGAGAACAATGAGTAGAAAGCGGGGATTGAATGGAAAGTTAGAGACTGGCAAAATAGAGAGAATGCAAAATGAGCTGAGATGAAAAATGAAATGGGCTGAGACGTGGAGACAAAAGCTGTTGAAAGAAACATGGAGCGAGTAAAAATGCAAGAAACAGTAAGAGATGATCACAGCTCTGTGTAGTATCCCTCTTGGACCTCAATACAATCTCCAAGTCCAGGCCTCCAAACCCATCCAAGCCTCCTCTGCAGTGTGGTGTGAATATCTAATGCCCATCTCTGTCTGCCCTCATATCTCGCTGCGTTCAAATGTGCAAACGCGTTTCTGCCTGATCCACATCATAAAAAGTAAGAATATATGAAGACATTTATGGAAGCGTATGCACTCCCCTTTGGCGAGCTGCTGGCAGCGGGCGGCGCCCTTATAAAAGTGGCCTCTGTCTACCCATAAAGCCTGGGAAGAATTATTGCTTGTGTGTTATCTGAATGAGAGCCAGCGATGGGTATCTCATACTCATATGATAGCCCTGCAAGCGCTATCACATTGGCTAATGGATCAAGATCTATATAGTGGCTAACACCAGATGAGGGGAAGGGCTGTGAAAAGGTTGTGAGCAAGTATTTGTGTGTGTGTGTGTGTGTGTGTGTGGCTTTCGGTGCATGTGTTACATATGTATCTGTGTCAAGGTTTAGCATGTGTCTCTGTCTGTAGTGATTGTTCGATCCAACTGGGTAGGTGAGGGGGTGCGGTAGGAGGGAGTGAGGTGGGTGTGTGCGTGGGGGGGGGGCAGGCCATTTGTCATGTTGTGGAGCCAGTGAGGCTGAAAGAATGGTGGAGAGGCTTGGAGGGAGAAAGAGAGATTGGCCTTTCCTGATTGCCAGTATTTGTGGGTAATAGTCTAACACCTTGCTGCTATTTGGTCCCTTATGTGTTGCACATGCTCGTGTGTGTGTTACCCCTCTAACATCTCATAACATCCATTCCAGGTTCACCCCAGATGGCAGAGAAACACAAGCATTCCAGAGAAAATGCCTGTCTGTCTCCACGAGAGAGGCCGGTCAGCGCCATCTTCCCCAACCCCCTGGACCCTGCACAGGTTAACACATACACACATTTACCTACACACACGAATCCGACTACACCCTGTGTTCCAGTGTCGAATGAATTATAGGTCACCCTTTTAGATCAGAACAAATGGATATTTGCCTGCAAAGAAAAAAATGGATAAAACAAATGAAAACTGACAAATGAGCGTTTGACCTTTCGGTGACCAAACAATGAGGAAATATGTCTGCTAGTACGAGGAAAGTCTGAGAATGTGCTCCTGCTTTCACATAAGTAGTTCTATATCTTTTGGTTGAAAGCAAAACAAAACCAAACAAGAAATAAAAAAAATGCTTCCAGAGGCAATAATCATTTGCTGCGCTAATGGAAAGGTAAGCCAGCAACACAAGCACAACCCTAACTGTGCATCTAAACCGTTCTGTGAGATGGGATGCTGGAAATAAAAATTTGCCAACTAAAATTGAAATGTCATTGTTCCATGTGCGGCGTCGTGTAGGCCTTTAGCATATTAGCATGCCCAAATAATTACAGTCACAAAGTGGGAGGAGCTATTTCAGACACCACTGGTTGTTCCCATTCATTTTCTCAGGCATGTTTTTCCAATTCTGCAGCTGCCCATAAGGTGCATACTGGGTCAGAAAGCGAGGTCACCTTTGCATTATACAGCATATCACAATGGGTGACTTCTTTCTTAGGAAAAATTGCCTCCCGGACAAGGGCACATGCAATGAGGCCCTCTGTAGCTGAGAATTGCAGTTTTTCAAGCGGCTTTGCCTCATTGTCTGTTTAAAAAAAACAACATTCCAGTATAGTGCGGTAATGTTGCCACAAGAACAAGAGCCAACAAGAACAACATGATATTGCAGTTTCTCTCTGTAGCTGAAGGGCAGCACGTAACATAATCACACACTCCATCCTCGGTGACAAAGCTACTGTAACAGGAAAATAATGTGTTTGTTTTTCAAGGCCTTTCATCTCTTACAGTCAGTGCCGATGCTACTGCCACAGCTCACCTGTTTTTCTTACCTTGACTCAAAAGAATCGTTTAAGTCAACACATGAATAGATGCTGGGAGGCCCTAGCAATTTTTTTTTCAACCTGACAACAGCGAAGCTCTTTGCTGCTAATGGATTATTTATTATTGAGAAATATTGATCATGTGTATCATTTAATGTAATTAAGAGCAAAAAGGTAAGACAAAAAGGTATTTTACAAATACCACACCGCTGCCAGACATAAAGGTTTCTCTTTGTCTTTTCTATTGAATTTGTTAGGGGAAAGATTTCACACCCTGATATTTATTTTTTAACCATACGATATTCAATTGTTCTTCTGTGCATTAAAGCTGGCATTTACCTATGTTGTATCAAGTATACCGTTTAATGCTATAAGTAATTCGAGCTATTTCTTCTGGGTGCAGAGAGCTCCTCCTCATCAGATAGGGGATACCACTTTACCAAGGAGTGACCCCAACCTCTCAGCACCAGACAAAGGTAAAACACAATGTTTAGCTTGTTTTATTTTTAACATACTTCACTTCCATGCACTCTCAGAAACCCTCAAAACACATACACCTTGCAGGGAATCTCCTCCCGCTGTATAATAATGCGAACATTTGTAGACACTTCATTAAACCTATTCTAAGGTGTATGTTTAAAATGATTTTAATTGTTTTGAGTGACCCTTATTGTTATTTAAAAGAGCATTTTTATCCTCACGTACATTTCCCATTACAAGTCCCACACATGTGTCCATTAAGAATAATTCCTGTTGAATTTCTTAACAAAAGCTCTCTTCAGTGGAACACAGCAATGCATGGCGTGCTGCAGTGGTAGCGGGCATCTTCCATGTCACTCACCGATGCTTACACCACTGTCCACTCATCTGTCCAGACATGCAGTGTGTGTGACAGTTTGACCACAGAGTGACTAGAGGCATCTGTCTTAACACAGTTTCTTCAGGGAGCTCCTCAGGACACACACATTCAAGAACATTTCTGGCCTCCATTTTCCTCCGACTCCTAACCAGACTAGATAACAGCTTTTCATCCTCCCCCAGCCTAAAAGAGTATTAAAATGGCAGGTACTATTCCTGCAATGCTGATGGACGTGTGTGACATTCATATGTATGAATGCATATCCATTAGTTAAGCCCCCCTGGTTGTCATTTTGCTCAGCATGCGTATTTCTTGGATTTATTCTGGAAATAATACACCTGTGAATGGCTGCCTCCTCCCCCTCCCTTCAATGTGTAATTAAAAAAAACAACAGAACAGTCTGATTGCTTTTCTCTGAACTCTGAGTATAAAAGGAAATTTATGAAATTGATGGCCTTCCGCCAGTGCTGCTCACTGTCAGGAAAAACAAAGGAGCACCTTATAGAACACTTTGTGAACTACTTAGAGAGGATTGCGGAAGAGACACCTTTAAAAGAAAGGGTGTGGATGTGATCGCTTCCTCGTGACTCGCACACAAACACACACCTTTCCGTGTGATTCGAGTGTGATCTGTAAATAATGCAGCGAGAGAAAGATGAACTGCCACAACATGGTGACATGACACCTTTTATGCATACGACAGCGACGAAAGGTGTTAAAATTTACACAAAGCCTGATTGTATAAAAGTTTTCGTTTGTCACATCTTCTGCCTTGAGCCTTACATTATAACAGCAGATACCAAATATGGAATAATAGATTATGTTCAAGACTCTAGTTGGCAGTGGAATGGGGAAAACAGCCTTTTTGTGCCTGTTCAGTGGCCGTGTCCAAAGGCACCAGGCTTCCACAACTAGACTGTGACTTGACCAATCACCCTGATTGTGATTTCAATTATGGTGTCTGATTACGTTTCATTTCTTCAGAAATGTCTGCACTTGAGGTAGCTCCTAGACTTGAAGTAGCTACTTTAGAACTTAAAGTTTGATTGAATGTGACCCACTGTATAAACCTGATATAAAGTCTGAGATTTCTACAAAAGGTACTGTCAGTTAAGAGAAGTGTGTTTGTATTTTAGTTTATTCCTGTTTATATGAAATCCATCCCCCTGTTTTCACACCAAATATGAAAGTGTGGCTATCGCACAGAACAAGGCTATTATTTCTCTCTTTATTTGTGGACATTTTTTCACGACCATAAGGACACAAAAACTAAATAAACAGCAGCCTTGAAAACAAAAGCTGTGATGATTACAAATTACGGAACCCCTAAGCAGCCATCCATTCATTGTTTCTTAGTTTGTATAGATACATTTGTTACAGAACTCACCCCTCTGAAAATCTTGCTCCAGTCTATGTTGCCAAGCTGGTCTCCAACATGTACAGCTGAACTGAAGCCCTGTTTTCTGGCTTCTCACTGACCCACCCTTATCTGCTTCTGATTGGCTAGTAGTCCTTAACTAGGAAATGTGTATGTGCAACTCCCAACAAAGATCATTTAGAGACAAGATGTATCACTCCATAGCTAAAACGAAGCCTTCAACACAGGGTGAGAAGAGGAGCTACAGCAATGTGTAGTATGACAAAAAAATATGGTGTTTTTTGAAAATCAAGCCAAGTAAACCTGCTAGGAAGCAGGACAAGAGCGTTTCTTAATCATAATGTCAGAGTTGTGTTCAGTGTCTTTTGTTTGCTCAGTTGGTAGAGCACAGGACTTAAAGTCTGTGCTGTTGCGTGCTCGAGCCTCACTTAAGGCCGATTTTTCTTTCTTCTTTTTTAATCTTTTTTATAATCCTCTTCAACAAAGTTCTTATGAAGAGACTGTTTAACATGCTCATAACAAAGCAATTGCTGGACTGTGTGTGACCCAGCAACTGGTCCACATCCATCAACCTATGGACTTTTCATTTCCCCATCATTCCAAGGCAGAAGAAATTCCTGCGCTTCTCATTCAAATATATGCATTTTTCTAGTAATTTCTGACTATTTGATAAACAAAATATATCTACAACCTGGAGGAATAAAGGTATAAAAGTATAGTATAATGTTAGTATAATAATATAGTTACAGGTTACACTTGATTTGGATAATTTGCTTACAGATAGTTTATTACTTGAGATTAAGCTGTTTCACTAATAAAACCTCTCACTGTGGTTAAGGTTTGATTAGTGCTAATGTTTGTGTATTCATTATAATTTCAGATCATAGTAGGCTATAGTCTACTATAGCTTACCATTAGTAGCCTAATATTAATTCCAGTTGGACAAAACAGCAGTTTCATTTTTGTGGGTTGTTTTCAGTCATTCAATTATTGTGCAAGAAAAATGCTCTACTTGGTAGTTAGTCTCTCATTTGTTTATGCAAAGTAAGTTAGTATATTAACTCGTCAATAATAATAACCGTGCGTACAGAACAACAAGTTCCACATTTCTAAAGTTTACTGTAGTGCCTCAACCATTTTTTAATGTCCCGCCTCCTCCAGGCTGTGATTGGTTAGTTCGCGAAAAGTGACTTTGATGAGCTTGAGGCACATGGCTGCATGAAAGTCTCCTGATCTCCCTGCGGAGATCAACAGGCAGGCGAGAACGGGAACAGGTGAGCGTCACGTAGTGAAAACCTGATTTGGAGAGGGCAGAGGAGAGGACCGGTGCCGGTACGCCAAAGAGTAAAATGTAGAAGTTGCAGTACTGGTGAATACTGGTACACTTCAAGCACAAAAGGCTTTTATATTGTGAGAAATAACAGGAAGTCATCTCCCATTAGCGTAAGGTCACCTTCGTAGCGGAGCGTTCATGCGCAGTCAAACCAACGCAGCCGTTTATGTTCTGCTTGCTCAACAGTTTGATAAATGGCTATTAATAAACATTAGGAGAATATTTGAAACGCTTTTTCCCCCCAATTCTCATCATTTTGGTGCTGGTGATTTTCCTTTGGCGCTCGCTAAAACCTCTTTGGGGGGCGCCAAAAATTTCTCTATGGAGGAAAAACCCTGCTCATTGTTAAGAAGCTGACTGAGAAAGTACATTTTTAGGGTCTTCAATGTACGCTCTTTCTCTTGCACGTCTGGTGTGAAACCATTTTTACTGTAGTTTCCCTCTGCAGGTCAGAATGCGTTCTGAACACTTGACAATCAACTGATCAATTTGTTTACAGTTGTCATACCATCCATCTGAAATGTGCATGGTTCCACTGTGTTCTCTGTGTTGTCTTGTGTAATCCCCATACCCTGTTGAGTGACTTGTGATGTTTCTGTGTGCTGTAAGTGAGACCCACACCCAGTAGCTGGAGCCTTGACAGTGTCAAAGAGCGCACTCCATCCTTCACCGACTCTGTCGGCAAATTGCAATGCCCTCCTGTACCTCCTAGACCGCCATACTCAGGTAAACTTGGCCGATCACGGTGAATTCACCTGATAAAGAATGGTACTAATTTTCCGCTCTGACTTTTGACACATGGTGCTTTCTCCACCTCCTCCTCACTATGACATTTTCCCACCTGAGGCTCTCAGCTACTGCTTCCTGGCTTACTGCTGCCTAATATCATCCACATATATGATGACAACAGCAAATCCTTAACTAACTGCCTTGAAATGCTGATATTTTCTGGCATGAGATGTGTTAGTGCAGCTGAGAACAAGGCTGAAAATCTCTGTGGACTTTGAGAGGGCTGAAGTCAATCCCAATTGAAATTCCAGTCAATTCCTGGATTTGCGGCCTCCTGCAACCCCCCCCCCGATCTCTTGAGAAACTTGTCTTTGCTTTTCAACAGCAGTTTTCTCCACCGTCAACTTACACTGTGTTTTAGTAATTTACTCATTACAGATGCAACAGACTTGACGCTTCCTGATATATTGTACTGCCCCAGCAGTGTAATAAGCAGGTGGAACAGAACATCAGTGCTAGTTTGATTCATTGGCGCTTTAAGCCACTGGCCCTCTCAGCTCCATGTGTGTGTATGTATGCATGACTCATGCTCTGTCATCACAATGGATAGAATAAACGGTCCTCTAATTTGAATTTGCCCTCTTTTCTTCTCCCTCTCTCCCCCTTTCTCGCTCATCTGGTTGTCAGCAGGCTCCTCGGCTAAAAGCATGAGGTCACAGTCCCCTGTTTCCACGTCCAGATCGCCGCAAAAGGTTGGTTGTGTTTCTGTCGCTCACTTCCTCTGTCCGTTTGGTCTTGGAGGTTTTGGGGCTTTTTTTTTTTCTTTTTCTTTTTTAGTTTCTCTTCCTTTTTCAGAGACAGCCTGACCTTGCTTTTTGACAGCCTTTTATCCTGCACTGCTAAAGTCTTACCGGCCAGCTCCAGTGGTCTTTATCCTACTGTGTCAACCCAAGGCCTGGGATCTTTGCGTTACTGTTCACTGAAGCTGCTAACTGCTCCAGTGTTGCTGATTGTGTAGTTTTTATGACAAGGCTATCCAAAAGAGGACCCAAAACGGGACTGGCTGGAGGGCATTCATTGTATTAGCTAAATGTGCTAGACGCCAACTGGTGTCCACTGTGTTTAATTCAGGCTCTGAGATGATGTCACCTGGCCTGCTTGCCAGAAAAATGCAAAACCAGATGGATTTATTTATTGCTACGTGTATTGTGAGTGAATTTAAATTAAAAAGACTGAACCCTGTTTGTTATGATACTTTACTATTGCTATGAGACCTGAACTGAATGTTCCCTTCTCTCAACTGAGATGTTTTTTTTTAATATCTCTGACCTCAAGTGTTTATGTACAGTCAAACTGATTACTCTGGTTTTGTCTCCAAGCTCTCATTTATTGTTAACGAGCCTCACAGTTAATACCAGTCTGCAGAAGCAGGAGAGGTCCAGGAAAGGTTAGCTAAGCGCCGAGCGAGCTCTTAATGAGGGTAAAAGTTGTTTTGAAACCCCGGTGAACTGAAGCTTGTCTCCTGCTGACTTTTATCTCCTTTGTGGGCTTGTCACGAGCAACAGTGCTAAGCTCCCAGCTTTGTTGAGGGTGTGATGTCTTCTTACATGTGACAACTAAGAATGCGGTTGTTTGTGTGTGTGTGTGTGTGTGTGTGTGTGTGTGTGAGTGAGAGAGAGAGAGAGAAACTCTGCAGAAGTGTGAGTGACAGCTTGGCGCTCAGCATGCTCTGTCAATCAGATTTGTGTGTGTGCGATTAGGTGTGTGCATGTCGACGCATTTGTGTGTGCCGCTATTGTGCTGTGGCAATAGAAGAGGCCCGGAGCGAAGTACCGAGCTGCCCATCACAGCACTGCCAGAGACGGGTCCGTCGCGGACTTCCAGCAGGCCCCATTATCGGGCACATGAACGCACACACACAGCGAGCGCACACACACATCAATCAGTGCAGCCAGGGGCCCATTACCACACCACAAACCCCCGGGACAGCAGTGAACCTGCAGAAAACACATGGTGCCAGTATGACAGGGCTGCACTTACTCATCTCCAGATGTAGAAATTATATTTGTTAGTAGCCTCTCTCTGGAAAGCTGGGTCAGGACTTTAATCTGCTTGTCAGCACTGTATTTAATATACTGATTTTCATCGTGCTCGCACCCAGATATGAAAAGGTTTGTCCAGTCGTGCATGTCAAATGGATACCTTACTGATCAACTGTATACTCCACTAGATCCAATTAAGTTTTAGCAGACATAATGGCAGCCTTGTGTAATTGCCTTGAAAAACATTTTGTTGAGTGATCGGCTTTTTGAGGGGGGGAAGTGCGACATATTGTGTTTTTTCGTCTCGGTGCACAGGGCCGGTTGGACTCAATCTGTTCACTGACTTTTTCAGTATTTATTGAGGCTGTATGGCTGTGTCAGCACACAAGTTGGAGAGAGCAGGATAGGGGGTGCATACAATATGGTTGCATGGTAACCATAACTGGCTCACTATATTTGAGACACAACATTTGCTAAAATAACACCCTCATGCATGTATGTTATGTGTATGCCATTTTTTGTTGTGATTTTTAAAACTGTATGGGAATTCAAACTAAAGTAATGCTAACAACGTGAACGTGATTTGTTTTCTGACTTTAATTTAGTTCTTTTTCTTGATACTGTCACTTTAAAATCCTTCAAATAAAACAATCTGACAACAGGAACAGCTTTAGGGCTGCAATTAACTAGTATTTTCATTATTGAATATCTACAGATATTCTCCATTAAATGTCAGAAAATGGTGGAAATGACCATCTTAATGTCTAAGAGCTCTAGGTGACCTATTGGAATAGCCAATAAAACCCAAAGATATTCACTTCAGTGTAGACCCGAAGCCGTTAGTTGATTAATTGATTTGTCGATCCAACAGAAAATGGCATATAGTCTGTAGTTCCAGCTTCTGAAACGAAGCATTTGCTGCATTTCTGTGTTTCATGTTGTTTTAAACTGAATATCTGGTTGGTGTCACCTTAGGGTCTCAGACTGTGTGATTTTCTTGTTGACATTTCATAGACTAAATGATTGATGATCATCTATTCATCAAAAAGTAATTACAGTGTAATCGATAATTAAAATAATTTGCAGCGCAAGTTTGTTGTGACCGTAAGACAAAGAAATTGTAAATTGTAATGTTTGGAATTTTATCCTTAGGAAATAGTTTAAAGAGTAATTTGAAACCACATTGAAAGGCAGTGTTTCACAGCCCACAGTTTCTGGTTGAAAGTTTATATCATTGCCACAGGCCGAAAAGTTAAAGCAGGGGCAGTTAAGTTGCTCTTCAGGTGATTAATCGATCATTAAAATAGTTGTTTAGTATATAGTTATTTATTTGTTGTTCAACTAATCCATTAATGGACTAATGGCTTAACAATAAAACAAGCAAAGCAGGATATGGGCTCTATGTACAATTTTTCAGAAATCGTCAAGAATAACACCAGAAAGCTAGAATGCTTTGTGCTCCTTGATGAAGGCAGGTAGATGGATAGTCATCTGCAAATGATGAACTTGACAGCTCATACATTCAGAAACACAACACGTTTCATTCTTTCTCTCCCTCTAGACCACGGTGCCGCCTTTCACACCTTCACCCACCGAGTGCCAGTCCACCAGCCTGGTCTCCAACTCCCCTGTCCTCTCCGGCAGCTACAGCAGCGGCATCTCCTCCCTCAGTCGCTGCAGCGTGTCGGAAGCTTCGGGCACCGAGCTACCTGCAGGTGACCACCCACCCCACCCGCTGCCTCCACCCACCACCCTGCCAAACTCTGTCTCCAGCAGCTCAGACGAGCCGGTCCGCAGAGAGAACAAGACCCCGCCCCCTTACAGTGTGTACGAGAGGAACAACCGCAGGCCGGTCCCACTGCCCCACAGTCTCTCCATCCCCCCACAGACGGACCCCCCGGCCCTGCCACCTAAGCCTCACCAGCTCCGCACAGGCAGCATGAAGCTGGAAGGAACCTCCGACCCTCGAGTCCCCAGACCAAGGCCTCTGCCCAGAAAGGTGTCCCAGCTATAGGTGCTGGTTCAGGTCCAGGTCTGGAGCTTGAAGAAACACACTGGCATATTTTGCACTTTTCTACTGGGCACCTACTTGTTTTTTTGTGATCTTCAGTTTGGCATTCCTGACCTATACACTCCAATAAAAGACACCGGCCTATAGATTATCAGGCAGTCAAAGAAACTGAAGAAACTGTCAAATAATTAAAATTTCTTTTTGTATTTACTAGAGGGCATTGCATTGACTTTGACATGGTCTTTCCGCACTTTTAGCTCTAGTACGTATATTAGGTCACCACGGTCAGTCGCAACGTATGTTTACCAGAACACTCTAGAAAAACACAGTTTTGATAGATGTAATAATCTCAAATATATGTATATTGGTATATATGAGAATTGTTTTTGCCTTAAGTATTGGAAACAGAGTCTTTTATCCGTGAGTCTTGCACGTTTTTTTTTAAACAACTGTGTACATTTGTATACTGTTTGGCTAAAAGGTGCTAGAGGCCTCGAGTATGCATTTCAGTGAAGTGTAGTAGACAAGGGTGTGTTCCCATAGTCATATCCACACAAGCAATGGCACAAAAAAAGTTGAACATATGCTAACAAAAGTGTATTATGGTTAAATGGGGAAAATTTGCTGTTAACTGCATTTTTTTGCCTGCCAATTAACCATATTGTGTCATTTTTATGCAGTGATGTAAAAGGTTTGGTAACTTCGGCCCAATAATGAGAGCAATTTTGAGGCTTATTTAACTGGTCATAGGTAAGAGATGTAGAGATTTTTCAGTGGGAAGTTGCCACCTCTACTGCCCGCCTCTCTCTAGAATCTTAAAATCACCTCACCCTTCATACCGACCAAAAACTGCCCCCATTAACAATGAGCCTGGACCAAACACATGGGCAATCGTTGGTGCAATTGCATGTTAAGAAGCTGTACCATTGCCATTTATGTGAACACATCCTATCCCTCCTGCATGATGTCCATGCCAACAGATCTTTGGGGGGGAGGGTTACCAGGTGTTGTGCCAAAGGAAATGTACAATGTGCTGTAAAGAAACTTTACTTTTTTTTTTTTTTTAACTGGGACCTGGAATCAAGAAGCTTGGAAATGTTCAGCTGAAAAGACATTTTTAAGAAACACTTTTTACAGTGATTTAACCCAGAAGTCCTACTTAAACGATAACCGACTGATCAGATGTAACTCCAGACAAGCACAAACGAGATCTATATTATGACCAGTACTGTTATTATGAACTCTATTTGACAAAATTAGAGTTGGAATTAGTTTCACCGTCAGCAATCACTCTTAAAATACACGCTATTGAAGAAATATTTACAAACTAATCATTGTCAGATATACAGTATGTACAGATGAGATTTGCTTTGCATTTGATTAAAAAGATGGACGTGAGTTGACTGCACTATAAATAGTTGCTCAGTTCAACCACATTGCATTGCTGCAGTGAAGTAAATGTTCTGTGGCAGGTAGATTTCACATTGTTTTGTAAAATAGGAGATTTTGACATAAAATACTCATCAATCTTAAATTCTGTGCAGCATTTTATGGGGTGGGGGAGGGGTTAGCTTTAGTATTGTTCTTATGTTTCATTTTTGTATGGTTAATTTACTTTTTGATTTGTTGTGAATTTGAGATTAAATATTCCCATTAATCAGTACTTGAGAACCTGTAAATTATATGATGAGATTAATGTAAGTATGCCAAATATAAAATTTGTGTATTACAATTAATGTAAATACTGTGTTTTTAACAAAATGTAGCTATAACAATTTACAGCTTTGAATGTAATGTTGAAGCAGCAAAATATTATTATAAATGTTCAGACTTTTATGGTTTTGTGAGTGTAGAAAAACACAGGTCATGCATTATGACACCTAACACATTTACAAGTTCAATAAACTGCCCTATGTAATACAAATGGATTGATTGACAGATTTCTACATTAGATATTTTGTGAGTTGGATTGTGTCTTCTTTTATGTGGTATACATCACCCAGTTTTGCAGAGATCTCTGCTGATTGGCCATCAGCAATGTCCTGGCCTCTAACAAAATCATTGGCTTCTTAGTGTTTGAGGGGGGGGGCAGCTTGGGATCATGTGGTGGTCACTGCATTAGTGAACTCTTCTAGGTGGACACAGCGTCTGTTCTGTTTACCATTATCTGAATCAGATAATGTAAACATTAGTACATGTTACACTGTCCCATGGAAACCATTCACTTTACCGTCTGCCGGGATCATGAGCCACAATGTGGCCTACATTTTCCCCAGGCTAACAGGATGCGTTGGCAGCAACAGGGATCATGGAGCACAGAAGGAACTGGGAACAATTAAAGTAAGAACGAATCTGGTAACGCTGTGTAATTGAGGAGACCCAGGGTAGTAAATTCTTCATGCAGGAAATGAGAACCCTAGATTAAGCAAGACAGGAATGCCAGATGAAACAAAGGTGTTTCCAATTTTTTGTGAAGATGAGGAAGCCTTTCCATTTTATGTGATTTTCCACCCCTGCTTCCACCATCAAGTTTATCCTGTATTTATTATACAAATATTACTTTATATTCAATCAACCTTCTTAATATTTAGTAGGCTATAATTAAATATTATATTTTTGGGATACACAACGAAAACAAATGATAAAAAGCTAATGTGTATATGTTACAAAGTATAATACTGATGGCTATAGCTATGCTTTTAGTTTAGAGAACAGCAAATCAATACTTTAATATTCGATATTTTCACAAAAACTTAAAGTTTTTACTGTTAAACTGTGATCTATTCATTTGGCTAAAAGCAAAACCAGCTTAATGAACAAAAACACTTGAGTCCTCATTATAATCTGGGAGCCCAAATAAAATTTTACACCCCCAGGAATTAATTTACATGGCCACACCTTGGCTCACAGACTCTGAAAAGAACCAGGAAGTGCGTTAGGGAAGAAAGACGCTTATTTTTTGTTCCCCGCCAGAATTTCGACGACTCGCAGTTGACTGACACCAGGGCCAAGTTCATTCTTAGAACGTTTTGCACCGGGCTTTGAGGTATGTCATATATATATATATATATATATATATATATATATATATATATATATATATATATAAATAATTCAGTCTATGGTTTGTGTCGCTTGGTGGGTGTGTCAGAGGTGTTACTCAAAAGACAGCGACGTGAACTGCGTGGCGCTTGCATTGGCAACATCAAGTGTGTGTAGAGCTAACGTGAATTAGCAAAATAGTTTGCTAACCGAGTTTAAAGGTACAAATAAAGTGGAAAATAAATGTTTATTGTATTATGTTAGTCTTCACATACTGTAATGTGATGACCACTTTCCCTCCAAAAAATCACTTAACATCTGTGGTTCTCATAACGTTAAGTGCTCTGATGCTAGCAAGGATATTCTGCTAACCTGAAACTTGTTTAGATCAGTCGCCTATATTGAGATTGATTTAAAAAAAAAAAGAAAGAAATTAAATCCACTTTTGCTGAGGAGGCATAAAAGTTTTTTGGCTTCTGAAGGGGGATGTGACAGAAAAGTTTGAGAACCACTGCTTTAACTTACACCATCATATGCAATGCTGCTCTGCCTTTTATGCATAATGTTAGTAACGTGAATATATCATGTGGTCTTCTACAGGGAGACTTTAAGGTTAAAAATAAAAATAGTCTCTTGCAGCTATGTAATAATATGCAGCAAAACTCATACATTTGTGTGGTCAGTGATTTTCTGCACCAAAGATAGGACACAGAATTTATAAATCGTAGTTTACATCTACCTTCGGTGGCATTCAGATTGACGCTAAACTCTCTTTTATGTAAAAGATGTAATTGGCCCAAATCATCTGCTCTCCATAAATCCCAGGCTTGGGCACACATGGCCATGCCAAGCATTAAAGCTTGTAGAATTTCCCTCTAGCACACATGGCTCAGAGGCTGTTGATGACTTACCGGTGTGTGATAACCATACAGAAGAAACATTCACACAAGGGAGCAAGTTCCCTGTTCATCACAGAGCATCTAATTACCCCACCACCACAACTGAAGACTTACTCTCGCTCTATACTCAGCACAGCAGTTGTGTGTTGATGGAGCTGTGCTGCTTGACCAAGGGACCTTGAACAATTGCAGAATGGTTGGTTGCAAGTTGGTGTGTAAATTGTGTGTATTTCCTCACTCTCTCACTTATAAATATACCATCTGCGCAGGGCAGTGATTGGGAGACGAGCACACTTCACCTGTCAGCACTCATCATAATTGTTGGTGGTTGGCTGTAATTTGACAGCAATTACCATGTCAGGAATGAATTCCCGGCTAATCACAGAGTCTCCTTGCAACAGAGGGCACATACTACAGCGACCGGAGAGCCATTCAGCCAGTCTGGGAGAATTGTTGTCGGTTACAAACCTCCACAGACTTGTCAGTCTGCCTATTATTGAGAGAAGAGCTGCGTTCTGCTTGTAGTTACAGCGAACAAAGCCTGTCCTGGTTAAAGGACAGGAGAGAGTTAAGCAGGCAACACATTTCTGCTGATCCCAGACATTGACATTTTGCGTTTGTGGGCACAGATAGCTCCCTTACAACAAAAGGAACCATAGCTGGAAGCTACAGAGCTGTAATAACATGTAAATATTATGAACCTGCAGAGCTCCCTGTAATTGTAGAGACGTTCAGCACATTTCTAAAAGATGCAGCATTCATTATATCCAGCACAAGGTTTTTGCATAACAGTTTAGCCCCATTATAAAAGCACTAAACAACCTTCATTTATAGCATTCATGGGTGATGATACATAATTATCAGGGGAAAAGCAGTGCTTGGTATTAATTTAAAGTTGCCTGGGGCGAATTTTGGAGAACACACAGCCGCAGAGAAACCTAAGGTGTTTGTCTCGCTCTGCAAATCTCTCCAGGGAGAGGAGAAGCTGGAGCAGCTCTGCAGGGAGCAAAGAACCTCCATCTCCGAGGCACACTGAAGAGAAGTTTCAAAGAGAAACTCAGGAACGCAGGAATAGATGGCATGTTTTATCTTCCAGCTCCACTCCTATATCTGCTCTGTTGTGTTCTGTAGCTTATGGGGGATTTTCACCTGACAGCTTCAAATACTCCAGGTTGTTTTTAATGGCACGATGAGTGAAGTTTAATTTTTTGACTTGTGCTGTCCTCAGAGGAGGACTATTGCCTCAGCTGAATGGGGAGTTGACTGCTAGTTTCAAATACTTTGTATGCTGAAGAGGAGTACAACACAAAAAGAGATCAGGGAAATGCAGGTGTGTGTGTTTGACTGAGTATGTGTGGGTGACTGAGTTTTCTTGGAAGAGGCATACTGTATATATTCCTGCAGATTTGTGCAGTAATTTTCTAAAACCACTGCAGGATGGTGTAATGCAGGGTTCAACCTTTCTGCTAACAATATAGAGGAAAATGACTTCAAAAAATTTTGTTTGACTGCAAAGTAAATGTTTTAGGCGGGGAAACAAAGAACTTTATGGCAGTAGTAAATATTTCAATTATATTAGATCTGGCGCCTTTACAGAGAGAAAACTAGTTAGGTTGCATAACAAGTATAAAAAAAAAACAAGGCCAATAAAGCAGGTAAAACATAAGAAAATAAACTTTTTTTTAATTATTTGGGGGGGCTTTTTGCATTTATTAGACAGAACAGCTCAAAATACCTTCTAAATTGTTTTGTCTTTTAAAAACTAGCCTAGAAACCTTCAACCCGAGGTAAGGTTTAAACTCCCCCTAGTTCTTTCCTCCACAATGTTTTCTAATGAGTCAGAAGTCAAACCAATTGTCAAAGCAACGTTTCATTTTATATAATCCTGCTAATTGGCAGTAATGTTGTTACCTCAACATACAACAGAAAAATCAGACACTGGCAACAAAACTCTGAAAATTCAAAGCTCCCTACTGACCCTGAAAGACCTGGACTGTGCCTTTTCTAAATATTACCATGAACCTTATATTGACCATTTCAATTTCAGATCAGTATGAACAACCAGATATTTGAAAGAGGAAACAACAAAGCTGTCAATAATAGTAATTTTGGCTCCGAGTTGCTCTCCAATGAAAACATGAAAGGAAGCAGAGGCACTTGATAAAAGGATTCTCTACGTCACAGATGGGCAAACATTTCTTTACATTGGATCAAAGATTGAGGCTCTACTCCACAGTACTTGGTATGGCATGCGTCGAATCTTTTATACAGTCTATGATCGAAACAGCTAGTGTAGAATACACAGCAGAATATTCAGTATTCTTGAAACTAAGTAAAGGCCTGGAAGAATATGAGCTAAAGTCTTTCCAAAATTTAAGATTAAAAGTTACTTCTAAAGGCTAGTACTGCATCCTGTGAATACCTTTGTCCATGATAATGTAGCCTAGTACCATCATAAAAGTACCATCATTAAATTCGTGGTTAAAGCAAGGGAGGTTTTTTGTGTATACAAAGAAGAATAAGTGGATGGCAGTCTGTACTTAAGGTCTACACAGAATCTTACTAGATCATATTTATTACAGCTTGTATACATTGGTGGAACAAGCTGAAAGCTGCTTAAACCTGGAAGTTAGGAGGGATTATGGAAACTGGATGTTAAGGGGTTAAGTTGCAGAACCTTCTGTAAAATACAGTACTAACCGTGACAGCGTCCCTCCCAAAATGATTAAAAGTATTAATTTCCCTCAGTATGCTACGCACATGCCCCTTGAGACACTTTTATCCTGCACTTGAACCACACTAATGCAGTTCTCTCATTATCATATGCCCCTATCCTTTCCAGTGAGTCATCCTCCGAAGGTCAGCAAATGGCGACCCTGTTTTCAGAGCTTTCGTGCCCACCACAGGTCCTCGATCCTGGCTTCCACCCCAGCCCTTGTGGTTCAGTAGTTTGCACGGCAGGACCAGAGGGCAGCTGCATCAAGACTTGCATCAGGCCAGCCATGCTAAAAGGTACTCTTTTGCCCTTATCTAACCTCTCGCTGTCACCCGCCCTCATTCTCCGTGGGGTGTATATTAAATTAAATGTTAGGCTCTCCCCGTCTCCAGTCTCTTGGGTGATCGACTTAGTTTTGCCTGGCTAGTTCAGCTGTGAAGAGGCCTTTCTTGTTTCTCCTACACACATGAATAAACATAAGGTCAGGTGATATTCTGAAGCATTGTCCCTATAAGGGGTTGCTGTTGAGTTAAAAACCAGCTCAGGGGTTGCATTAGGGCAGGAAGGATGGCACAGTGAGGGCAGTGGGGAAGTAAACCTCTGTCAGTATAAAGCAGACTTTAGGCTGCAGTAGTTTGAGTAAATGTACAATTTAATAAGCTTAAATGGGAATTGCTCTGTCTGGGGAGTGACATAACTTGGATAATTTTGGATATTGGAGACAAGTTTAACATGAACAGACCAATGTGTGGCTGCTCCGCACTCAACTGAAATGCAGCTGTAGATAGCAAACATTCTGACATACAATCGAATGGGCATAATGCATCACATTTTTTTCAGGGGGGCATATTTTCAAAAATCAGCAGTTTTCACAATGAACTGGGAAGTTCATTGTGAAGACAGTGAATCAATATGTTATATAAAACATCTAATATTGATGTGGGTGGTGGTCTCACATAATATCTTGGGTATTCTGTCTATAGTCAATCAAATGGTGGCAGATTGTTTTGTAGTGGGCTTGTCTCTTGTTTGACCGCTTGCTTCTAGAAACACAGTAAAAGCCTGGTCCCACCATGGCAGCTCTCTAGTCTAGTCCAATGTAATTGCCAAGATCACAGGCACAAGGAGGCGAAATGAAACTTTGTGAATGTTCTATGTAGAGTTCAACTTTGACCAATTGCAAGCCGTTTTGACAGTGCTGACCTTTGAAGGGATGGGAAGCCGTAGAGTCCAGGCTATTGTAGTTTACAAGCTTTGTTGTTCCTTCCACTTTTATTTAACCTCCTCATGTTGGGGTAAGAACTGTTACACAACAGAGCAATGGTTTGCAAACAGTTATGAAAAAGGAGTCTACGGTACAAACACGTCTTTTGAATAATCTGCTTTACCGCTAATGAGCTGGCGAGTTTGCTAACCTATCGTTAGCAAGCAAGTACAGAGTCACTACAGGCAGAGGGCTTCTCTCTCCCGTAGTGTTTTGACTTTTCTCTAAATCTACAGTATAATTGAATAGTAATTAGACATCACTGTGGTTTCTGTCTTGAATTTGCGGACGTTTGATTGAGTTAAGAAACTCCGTTGCACACACATTGCTGTTGGATGGTATGCGTCATGGCTGGCGCATGTAGACTGATATTTGTGAATAACAGAGCACAGCTGACATGACCATCAGGTGTTTGATATTTGTACAAGCTCTCCCTGCTCAATGTGGAGCTCTTTTTGAATGGCAGCAAACTGGTCATGGTAGACTATAGACACATTGAAAAATGAATAGAGGCTCTCAAGCAGATTAAAAAAATCACTTGCTTCAGGAATGGCAGTGAAAGTGTGGCAAAGGCGTAGGTCATTTGCATAGCAATGCACATGGACAGCCTCTGAATACTTTTCCCAGAAACGGACTTGCACACCACAAACGGATCGACTCATCACTGCTGTGCAGTCATATATTTGGGCCACAACTTTCAGGTCAGCAATTTTGTTGCACACAAGAACCTGCTCGACTGCATTTGCACCTGCATCCTAGCCATACAGCTTCTGCAAGCATTGGAATCTTTCCTAGATGTCACCTTCCTGTGTGCCCGTCATTGGCTTCGTCCTCCATCACCACATACATCTTTGATTCTTTTACTTCTTTAATCAACCCGTGGTTCGATCTTCTGCTTGGACAGAGGACCCAACAATATCATATTCATTTCAAGGGCTTTAATGCATAATTAGTATGATAGATAATAGATCAATGGCTATTTTTTTATTTTTATTATTCTATGCTATAGCCCCGGATGTCCATGCGTAAAGACAACCATGGATGGTCAGTTACCCAGCAATGTAGATTATGTAGTACAAAGCTCACATTCTCAACATGTACAGTTCTTTACTTTCTACTTAGAAGGCATTTTGGGGCTGAAAAATGGTGGTTTAATATGAATAAGGGCAAAAAACAAGCTAACATGCTAAAGTCGCTTACAGTGATGCTAACATCACTTTAACTATGGGTTATGTTAAATCTGAAGCTCTAGTTACTTCCAGATTCAGTCTGATTAAGTCATGCTGTTCATGATGTAATTTGACATTGCTCTATCCCACTTAATAATTACAAGATGTAAATTTTACACAAACTTAACGGTGTCTGAATGGGCATTCTGTCATTGCAAGCTAATCTGGCTAATGCTAGTTCATATTTGGAAACTTTAGAGAACATCTTCCTCCCCAGAGTGAAACAAACCACTGGAAAGTATATGGCAAATGGTGAAATCCATCCATATTCGAGCCAGCAAAGAGGAGCTGTGGGAGAAGGAACCTAAAAGATTCAGATGATGAGCATTCAGGCAGACAAGAGAAAGTACCAGCACCACAAGGAATACAAAATAATTTTAGAAGTTCCATGAAAAGGTGCAGAAAAAATGGGCAGCAAATGGCATTAGGGTCTGGAGGGTTCAGATTTGAGAAGACAAACTTTGTACATTTTGTAGCCATACATGGGGGGAGGGGGAGATGCAGTTTCTCTCCCAAAAGTAGCTGTATTTTAAGATATCTTGGTTCTATAAATACAAGTAACAAATCAGAGCTTGGCATCAGAGCTAACAGCAGCTGCAAAGCTAGCAGCAGCATCTTGTATCACCCTCAAATTTACAAAGTGGTTATGACTTCTCTGCAGAGTTCAACAAAAGCAGCTAACTGGCTGCAAACAACTGCAAACTTTCCATTTTGCTGCTTGTTTTCGACTGCCCTTAAATTGTAAATGGTGTTTCAAAAGACAGTGCTGTCAGAATTTGGCGCTTGGGTGTGTGATGAAGGGGTTGGGGGGCTGGCGGAGGGTGGGGGGTTGGGGGGCTGGCAAAGGGTGGGGGGGTAAGCCATAGGAAGGATAATGCACTGCTTCAGCACGCATGGTTTGATTCCTGCAGGAGAATGACTTTACTGGGCTATTACCGCTTCAGTTAGACAGCACTGAATTGTTCATCTTTTGTTCTGGCAGTGAAGCTCTGAGGGGGTTTCTCACAATGAATTCCTATTGATTTTTCTGGTCATGTCATCAAATTGTATGTGGCTTGAATCGTGACTACTGTTTTCTCATCTGCTCTCTGAGGTTGCCCTTCTATTAACTTTTCATCCTATTTGGATGGGGCAAAACTAAACAAAAGACAGGGAGAATTAAAGTGGGGAAGAAACTGGAAAATAGAAGTAAACACAACCAGCAGACCTGAGGTGTAAGTCTCTTGTTCTGTGAAGTTCCTGGACATAATTATAATAATTTGATTTAAAGAACACAGTTATAAAGTGCTTCCCATATAGGATAAAATACACATACATGATACATAGACAAAGATCAAAGCATATGACCAAAATAAACTAAACGAATGGGGAGTGTTTATTAAAAGGCAAACCTATAGAAATTACTTTTCAGCAGTAGCTTAAAACAAAACCACAGTTTCAACAGATCTGATGGAATGGGGAAGGCTATTCCAGAGTTCAGGAGTTACACTGGAAAATCGCTGGATTTAAAATAGGAATGAGGAATGGATAAAAGGCCTTGATCAAGTGATCCGAGTAGCCAAGAACTCGAATAGAGGCTCAAAAACTCTGCTATATATGCGGAGCCAGGCCATGCAGGGGCTTAAAGGTGATTTTGAAACTGATTCTGTGTTTTACTGGCTTTAGAATGTTTTTTTTCCTCCTGTGGTGGTGTAGTTTTTCTTTCGCTAGTCCAAATATAATTCGTTGTATTACGACTACAAAGACCAACATGCAGCTGTTTTGTTATTGCTGCAAGTCTCTTTTGGATTGTACCACAGATATAAAATGGATTTATTCTTCAGCTGTGCAAAAGTGCAAACTTAGCAACTCTTGCCTGAGAGAAACAGCGCTTAGGGCTTGGTTAAAACCAGTTGCTAGTAACGTATTTGAAGCCTGCTGTCGCTGCTTAATGAATGAGCGCTGCTACTAAAATTTCACATGATCATTAATGATTTTCAGTAAGCTACCGTAACTCAACGCGTGACTGTCTCCCTCTTCTCATTTTTCAAAGGACAAGTGAATGTGAGGGAGAGTGGCAGAAAGTGATGGCAGAAGTTAGGGGAGGAAAAGATCAGCATTAAGTTAAATTAAAAAGAAAGGAAGGTGTTGACCACGAAGGAGCTGAGGTTAGCAACGTTAAAGCAAATTAGGGATGCAAGCTAATGTTAGTCCTTTTTAAGCTAATGAGGAGATTATTCTTTTGGATTTTGATGTACAAATGAAATGCTCGTAATTATAGAGAAGGGAGGTGGTTCTGTAATGAATCTGAGGTCATATTAACAGTGTTTGGTGCTGCGCTGTGTACACCAGTCAAAGTCTGATTTCCTACTTGTAAACTTGCGGCAAATCCATCTACCCCGACATCATAAAGAAGCAGTTGTCTGACGTTCACAACAATGGCAGCGCCCGTGGATTCACACATTGGAAATGGTAAACCACCAACTAAAAGGCAACATAAAGTATATTTGCTGTTTTTAATTTAAAAAATACATACTACCATATTATAAAACCTGTTCTGCATGTACATTGATGGCGAAATATGTAGCTGGTTGCGGCTCACTATCTCTTAAAGTCATCTTCTCTGCATAAAAGTTATTTGGAAAAACATTAAAAATGCCCAAAAACTTGAAAACATTAGGAAATATAAAACATTGACTGACTTTTGCAGATTACCGATGTAGCTAGACAAGAACAGAGTTAATAAGAAACGTATGTTTATGTCACTTGTTTTCATTAAAACGGCTATCTCTATTTAACACCAAGGGTACTGCTGAGAGTACAA